GGGGGAAGAGGTAAGGCAGGGACAGGACCGAACACCCAAACTTCCTCAAGCAAGAAAGGGGCAGAGATTCGACTAATCGGAACTGCAGTCCCCGGTCATCGTCGCGCGGGCACCACGACGGGACGTGTGCACACGGCGTTCCTCTCTCGCGCTGGAGCCTGCGCGCGCGGAGGGAGGGGGGGTACGGCGTGTGCGGCGGACGTCGAGGCGAGCGGGGACGACGAAAGCGCGCTGGTGAGGAGGGGGATGTGTGAGCAACGATCGCATTGCGGGATGCCGGGGTGCGGTTGGTGGGTCTGTTCTCTGTCGTCTGCGAGCTCGTGTGGGATTGGGGGGAGACTCCCGGCGCGAAGGAGGTCCTACCGTGGTTGGACACGTGGACGCTGGCGTATGGGTTTTTGGCGAGGGGGCATGGGGCGGTGGTCCGGGATGGGTCGTTGATTCCGGGGGAGGAGGGGCAGTTGTTGGAGGGTGGGGATTGAGAAAGCTTTGTGGTTGGGTAGAGAAGGGGAGGAAGAGGGAGAGGCAAAATGGTGTTTGGCTAGTTGGCTGGTTGGCTGGTTGGAGTGATGTACGTGATTGGTAGGGCGGGGTGAGTGAAGCTATGGCGGAGTACCGTGTTCTAATAGGCATTCGCGGTCACTTTGGAGGAAAGGCAGCGAGGAAAATAGCCGTGTTTTTGTTCATCTTTTGTCCTGAGTGGATTTCTTAGGGCTATCAAAAAGTCAAAGTGGAATCTAAAGTGGCTCAGCCAACCTTTTAATTCTAGACACTTGTGACAGGTGTTGACGATTCTGAATGTGGAATATTGAAAAGAGAAACTACCAGAGACGCTATAACTATAGGTTACACAGATTTTCACCTATCCAAGTTTGGTGGGTAGGTGACAGTTCGATGCGATTGAGGAATAACTTGCCGTGGAGTCTTGAAGCGTTTGTGGATCGGCGTTTCCCTTGCCGCGCTGAAACGCCGGAAAATCATTACCAGTCCAGACCACCTGCGACACGCTCTAACATGGCCACGCAACCTATCGTACTTTGTATGGACTGAATGGACAAAGCCGCACATAAGCTTACTTACACGCCTCGCGCCGATCCTTGCATAACCGGCTCGGTTGATGTGTGATGCGCCGGGACCCGTCAAGGCGGATTGGTTTGCGGGGTGGTATGAGTGGAGAGACAAGGGGTCAACCCATTCAGCCGGGACGGCGCATGGCTGGCAGGACGAATTCGCATGACAGGGAAAGGGCAAGGGTTCTCGCTACATAGCGTGTCAAAGGTCAATATCTACTGGGACAATACGATCTCAACTCTGGTTTTTAATTTATTTTTTTTCTGGACGGGCCGCTATTTAGCAGTTCAGCCACCAAACATTTAGGCTTTCTGCTAGGAGCAGCCACAGCGCAACGGCTGCGCGAAAGCGGGCCCCGAGTTAACGTCTTGGGATGATTACTTGAGATGCGTGGTATTTGGGATCAAGGAGGAAAAGGGACAACGAAGTAGTCGTAAAGTCTTGCATTACAAAAGGACGCTCATGTCAACAAAACACCAATACTCGCTTTTCTAAATCTTTGTGGTCGTTAATTCGTCAATATCTCAGCGCTTTAGTTTTGGCGTGTCCGGAACCATAGCGGTGTCGACTCTTGTCCGGTTGTAATATTCATTCCTCGCCTCGAGATCCTGCACCATGGGCGAATCGCTTGCCGGGCCGTCGCTGAGCTCGATGACGGTTGCCGGCGGTGGCTGCTGAGGTCGCAGCTGCCGTTTCCTCAAAGTGTATAACACTGGCGCGTTGACGGCCAAGGCGACGACGAAGAGCTCGATGCTCGCCCACGTCGTTCGGTTGACCTGGCTGGTGGCTTGGTTGTAGTTCTGCGGGAGGCGGATGGCGGTGATGGCGACGATGAAGATGCCGAGGCAGAAGAGCGAGAAGATGTGTATGCGCTGCAACAATGGCCGCTTCCAATAGTAAAAGAAGATGGGGATGGGAAGGATCATGAGCATGATGTCGGTGAGGATGTTTAGGATTCCGACGGCGACGAGTTGGGTCTGGGCCTGGGAACAGCTTCCTTTGGTTGGTCAGCTTGATGACAGCGAATATGCGCGAGGTTTTCTGGCGTCGGTTCCACGGCGTGTTGTACGTACCTGGATCTGGAAGCACTTGCCAGTACAAATGGAAGGGAGTGCATTCGGTGAAAGTGACGACTTGCACGGCAACGTAGGTTCCGCCGAAAATGAAGAGATAGAATCGCAGCACGGCATACTCCCAGTGCAAGCCCTTGATGAGCTGGCGTGTGATGTCCAAGAGAACGAGCTTTTGCAGCCACAGACTGCGCGACGGCGTGAGCATTCACCTTCTCGGGCGGGGGCGGAGGCGCGGACTTACTATGAATTGTAGAAGACGCGGTTCACGACGGCGAATTTGCTCCCAATCTCACGGCGGTAGACCTTCTCAGGCGTCCAGTGTGTCTTGTCGCGGAGCTGTGGGGACATGTTGTTTGTGCCCCAGACGAGGACAACATGAATCAGGGCAAGGCGGACAAAGGCGCAGAAGATTGCGGCCATGGTCAGGTAGTCGCCAGCGCTGTAGTCCTGGCCTCGTACCTTGCGCAGAAGCAGGCGCGAGACCATGATGGTCACGGCCAGCCAGGTCAGCAGCCATAGGATCAGCAGGGTAGGATCGTCCATCGGGGCCCGGCCCGAGGGGTCGCACGGCGGAAACGACGGAGGAAGTGGGGGGAAGGAATCGCAGCAGGAAGGCAGAGAATATAGAGATCACTCATCGCATGATGATACATATAGGACATGGCCATCCGACGCTATCCTGCGGATATGGGCTCGGCTCCTACCCAGGACGGGCACACCAATCTCCGCTGGTCGCAACGGCGAAAGCCATAGCGTGTTTATCGAGCGGCTTGGAAGCCCACGCCCCCACAAAACTGCAGCCCTGTGCGCCGCCACCTCGTGCCCGAAGCCCCTTTGCCGCAGTTGGATCACGGTTCGGCTATTCGCCAATCTATATATCTGACGCTGTGCATCCACACGGCACTGCTCGCCGCCCTCCTGGAAATTCAAAAGCGTGCGGCGCCGCACCACATTCGCCCCTCGACCGCCGCCTGCTCCTCCCCAGCTGCCGAAGACACGCGGGGATCATGCGTTCCGCGATCTTCCTCGCCCTGTCCGTTGCGGGTGCAGCGATCGCCGGCTCCACCAACCAGACGACTACCGAGACACCGCACACGCGCAAGTACTTCTACGCCGGCGGCCACTATGTAGCCGACAGCGACGGCGACCACACCCGCACCGACCAGATCTACGTCGAGCAATTGACCCCGGTCGGTGGCGCAACCAAGGCGAACCCCATCGTCTTCATCCACGGCCAGGCGCAGACCGGCACGGTGAGTAAGACATTGTCAGCCCATCCGCCATGCGCGTCCTCTGGGTGCCGAAACGCTCGCCGAGCGGGCGCTGCTGCTCTCCTGACTCGGTCGGCGCCGAAGTCACGACGAGCCCAGCGCCTCATGACCCCAATGCGAGGATCCGCGCACAAAACAAGCACTTGATCTCTCGATGCGAATGCTGATCATGTCCAGAACTGGCTGAATAAAGCCGACGGCAGCCCTGGATGGTCGTCGTACTTCCTTGGCCAGGGCTACCAAGTCTTCATCGTCGACCAGACTTACCGCGGCCGCTCGCCGACAACGCCGGGGCTCAAGACGTCGGCCTACTCGGCCGAGGTGCTCCAGCAGCGCTTCACCGCGCCCAAGCAGTACATGCTGTGGCCCCAGGCCGCCGCCCACACCCAGTGGCCCGGCAACGGCACCCAGGGCGACGCCTACTTCGACGACTACTACGCTTCGACTGTGCCCTTCTACAAGGGCGAGGCCGCCGTGCAGCAGACGACGTTCCAGAGCGCCGGCGCCGCCCTGCTCGACCGCATCGGCGTGCCCGCCGTGCTCGTCGCCCACTCGCAGGGCGGCCTGATGCCGTGGCTGCTCGCCGACGTGCGTCCCGACCTGGTCAGGAGCATCGTCTCCCTCGAGCCCACCGGTCCGCCCTTCCGCGAGGCCGTCTTCTCCACCACCGAGTCGCGCGCCTACGGCCTGACCGACGCGCCCTTGACCTACGACCCCCCCGTGTCCGACCCCGCCGTCGACCTCGTGCAGCACGTCACCCGCGGCAACGCCACGGCCGGCATCTCCGACTGCGTGCTGCAGTCGCCCAACAGCACGGTGCGCAGGCTGGTGAACCTGGAGAAGATCCCGACCGTGGTGCTGACCACCGAGGCGAGCTACCACGTCCCGTACGACTGGTGCACTGTCAAGTTCCTCCAACAGGCCGGTGTCCCGACCGATCATCTGTTCCTCCCCAACATTGGAATAACAGGCAATGCCCACATGCTCTTCCTAGAGAAGAACTCGGACGAGACTGCTGCTGCCATCAATGACTGGATCGTCAGTCATTAACTCAAAAGTTGATTTTTGCACCAAAACGATATTTTATCCCCCTTCTTTTGTATAAAGTCTAGTACCAGATCTCTCGGGAGCTTTTGTTCGTAGCTCAATGGCGTATGAAACCATGGGCATCATTGCGAGGCGGTGGAAAGGGGCGATTGCCTCATTCGCACTCAGCACTCTCTCGGTTACCCAATCGGGCTAGGTACCCGCTTAGGGCTTACAGTTGCGTAGCTTAATTCTACAGCATAATGTTATTTGCCACAATATTTTTCCATGAACATCTCGTGCTTGGGTGGTTTCTGCCTTCCTTAGTCTACGTCCGTATATCACTTATAGAAACAAGTTGTCTGCAATCAGGTATTCACAGCATTCGAATATGGAACAAATTCCTCGTACTCCTACACAGAAATATTGGTGAGAGACTTTCACAGTACACTGTGGAAAATACTGGTCCACCTCCATCTATCTCAGCTATATAGTGGAATCTTGCGTCTACATTCAATACTATCATACACGTCCGGATATCTACTTCAACTGCCCAGCAGCAGTGATTAACAATAACGCGACGCGGTGGCCCTGTAAGCTTGCACCCTACAGGAACACTTTGCCTCCAATCCTTTTACTCAACACTTACTACTGTAAGTGGCGCACTAATTCTCCCGCAAGCTACCATGGTATGACAGTACAGGGAAACCACTAGAGCTCGTGCATCCGGGCTTTTTCAATCCAACAAAGCTGCATGAAGATCTCCCTCCCCTGATGGATACTCACCAAATAGCCAAGTACGGAATTGACCTTATCAGTGTTCTCCGACAGCATCCATGCAAAAGCCAATCGGAAGGTTCACCTCGTCGACCTGCATCCGCCCCCACACAATCCATCCCCGCACCCGCATTGCCGCGACACCCGCGGCGCCACACCCAGCAGATCCCATACCCGCTGAGGTTGATGCATAATGCTTACTCACGCCGCAACGGAAAACCCTTTCCAAAAGAAAATAAAATAAAAACTCCCAACCCCCATCGACCCGCCGCCATCCATCCCCAATTCCCCTCATATCCAGCAATTGATCAGTCGTCCGTTGCCCACTTGCAAGCAGGACCGCTGCAACCACCCCCCATCAACCAAACCCAACCTACAACACACCAAAACAACAACACCCACAAAAAAAAAAAAAGATGCCACCCCCAACCTACGACCTCATAGTCATCGGCTCCGGCTTCGCCGGCGCCACCGCCACGCTCTCCTTCCTCGAGACGACCGCTGCCGCCGCCGCCGCCGCCGCCACAGGCAGCAACAACCAGCAGCAGCCCCAACCCGCAGGCCGCGTCGCCCTCGTCGAGACCGGGCGGCGCGGCGAGCGCTGCGGCGCCTCCCGCTGGACCAGCGCGTACCTGCGGCTGGACCGCGACCTGGAGTTCGACGGCGGCTGGGCGCGCGAGATGCAGGCCGTCAGCAAGGGGCTGGCGAGCGGCGAGTACTGCGACGTGTTGGCGCGGGAGGCGGGGGTGACGGCGCGGTGGTTGGAGCAGGAAGAAGGAAGGGGAGGGGTCGGCGTGCGCTGGGTGAGGCGGGAGGAGGGCGATGTGTTGTTGGGGTGGGAGACGGGGCAGTGTTTTGTGTATCCGGAGGGTGGGGGGGAGGCGGTGGTGGGGAAGTTGATGGGGAGGATTGAGGAGGAGGAGGCGCAGACGGGGAGGGTGGATGTCGTGTGGGAGACGGAGGCGAGGCATGTGCTGACGGATGAGCGGGGGAGGGTGAGGGGGGTGCAGGTGAGGGGGAAGGATGGGTTGGTTTATGAGATGTGAGTGTTGACTTCCTGTTTGGGTGGACTAATTAGGCCGGAAGGGTCGGTGCTGATGACGATTGATGTAGGCATGCTCCGGACGTGGTTCTTGCGTGCGGTGGGTTCGAGGGCAACCGCGAGATGCTGGCCAAGTATGTCGGGAATCGGACGCACGAACTGCCCTTGATTGCCCCGGGGTTGGCTCACAACAAAGGAGCCGGGTTGAACATGGCCCTGGAGCTTGGCGCGGCGACGAGTGGCTCGTTTGATGGTATGCATTGCGAGCTTGTGGACACGCGAGCAACGAAGCCAGATGCGGTTATTGTAAGTGACCCTTTTGGCAACGGAGATGCATTGTCAGACTGATAACTCTTTTCAGTGGGGCCACAACTATGGGATAGTGGTCAATGAGCACTGCAAACGCTTCTACGACGAGGGGAAGAAACAACTTTTTGCATCCTTCGAGATGATAGCGCTCGAGCTCTGGCGCGACCAAAACCAGAAAGGATACTTCATCACCGACGACACCATCATGAAGCGCTTTCGCCCCGGCTGGGTGTATGACACGACTGACCAAGAGCCGGAGAAGGCTGACACTATCAGAGAGCTGGCAGTCAAGCTCGGCTGTGATCCCGATGAATTGCAAAAGACAGTGGACGAGTTCAATGAAGCATGCAACAAAGAGACTCCGTTCGACCTGATGAAACTGGACGGGAAACGAACGCATGGATTGAATCCAGAAAAGACAAACTGGGCAAACCCCATCGTCGAGCCGCCATTTTACGGGTAAGTGAGCATGAAGAGCCGTGACTCGGAATGTCATGCTGACCATGGGACAGCTACCCGCTCATGGCGCACTTGACGTTCACCTACGGTGGTGTCAAGACGAACACAAAGGCGCAGGTGCTCGGTACCAACGACGTCCCCATTCCGGGACTTTGGGCAGCCGGAGAGATGACTGGTCTCTACTACAACGGTAAGGCAAGCGACCAATACCTTACTATGCGCCACTGACGAAAAGTAGAATATCCGCCGGCCACCTCAGTATTGAGGTCTCTCACTTTTGGACGTCTTGCCGGAACACAGATTGCGCAGAAGCTGAAGAAGTGAAACGGACTCTTGGGGGACTTGAAGTCGAGTGCTTCGTCTCTTACTGCTTCAAAGCTTTGAAGCATGGGTACTCGTTTGCAATAGGAACGAAGGATGAGCATCGTCTACGAAAGTAGCTGTGAGTCATCTACTGGGATGCTATCCTCGGATATCGTGCGTGGGGCGTTTTCAAGACGTACTCATCCCATTTGAGACAAATTTCATGAATCAAGTATCTATCCTCCCCACGCCCACATTAATGTATGCCAGTGTATCGGAGTATTGTCCCCTCGAATCATGGGCACTTTTGACCATGTGATTGAGCATTACCCAGAACGGAACTGGACCGACTATGCCATACGGAGCGATCCTTGCTCTACTTGACATGCGCCGATGTCGGCATCGAACCAGAAACGGTGGAGAAGAAATTGCAGTGATGATCAAGGTTGCAGCCAGGTGGGGCGCCGTTATGCTGATCGACGAGGCGGATATCCAGGACCTGCAACGGAACAACCTCGTGGTTGGATATCTCCGGGCGCTCGAGGACTACCAGGAAATCCTCCTTCTTGCCACCAACAGAGTCGGTACCATTGACGAAGCATTTCATCTCGCGCATCTACATCATGATTAACTACCCGTCCTTCACGGACGAAGGACGCGAGGCAATTTGGGGAGGCTTTCCCAGTTCTGGAAATTACGGCCTGTCCAATGAAGCGCAAGACTCGAGTTGAAATGGCCTCCCGGGGAGATTAGGAACGCGTTTCAGATTGCGGTTGCTCTCGCGCAGACGAGGAAGGAAGACCGGCTCAGAAGAGGCCGCATCCAAACCAGGAGAGATCACGTCAAGTCAACGGTCCGCATGCCAAAGGGTTTGAAGGTCTACCTGAACAAACTTCACATGGAAACGAGACGCAATTTGTATTCTTTCGATGGGGGTGGCAATCCAGAGCCGGTTTATCTGATGGCCTGGAGTATGGTAATACCGATGATTTAGTTCGATTTATTTCGGATTTCCTTTGCCTTCATGTAGTACAAACCATCCGGCGTTCGAGTTGTCAGCAGCATTGGTATGTGAGCTCCAAAGCGTGTGGTGCCGGTGAGATGACGTCCGCTTCGCATAGGTACTGCCCCGCTGCCCCGCTGCCCCGCATCTACTCCATGAGACAGGCAATGCTAATGGCTACTGTCCCTGGCCTTCCCGCGGAGACATTTTTTTTTTTTTCGCATACTGCTTTCAGTCCTCTGATTCAGCCTCTGCTCTATCAATGCGCTGCGACAATATATGACACGGTATGCAGTTCCTACGCAGATACGCAAGTCCACTGGCCAATGCCGTCGTCAGCAGAGCGGTGCGGATACTTCTGGGCTCTGGAACCATAGCCATGGACGAGAGGCTCGGTAAGAACGTAGGAGCTTGGTCAAAGTAGATACGAGGGTCGCATCGCATTTGAGATGGTGAACTTCTGCGAAACTGCGGCATTGAACGTCGACGATGCGGCTGACGCAGTCTGGATCAAGCCTGTGGCATCTGATCTGGCGCCAGAGCGCCAGACAGCCTCATTATCCGGCCTGCATATAAAGCAAGCCTCGACCAGGTGGCCCCTCGGAAGCCTCACCGTAGTGGTAGCCTTGTTTATTCGCGCCGGAAAGCGGGAGCGAAAATTCCAAGGCAACGAATCAAGTCACAGCAGGCTCACGAACCCATGTACCGACAGTGTTGGCATCCTCTTCGGGTGCCAACAGCAGCGGCTGTGCAGAGGAAAATGAAAGCAAGAGCTGCGAGTATAAGGATCGTAGCCAGGCTTGTAGAGTTAGTTCCGTCCATCAATCTCGGAAAGGAGATGGTCTGAATTCAATGACTTCGGTGCACCAGTAACAAGATATCCTCGGCTTACTTGGAGATGGCTGTTGCCCGGGCGAATGTGAGCTTGTTTGCTGACCTGACCTGTCTCTTGCCCCTTTCCTCTCTCTAACTATTTTTAGGAAGTGAGTGCGCTCGCACCGCGGGTATCTGTCCGTGAGGTCTGAGAACGCTGACTATCCAATGTTTCGATCAGTCGGCACCTCGACAGCCAAACGAGTTCTTTGCTTGCCCCTACTACAAACATGCGGAGCTATCCAACGCTGAGGGCCACAGTGATTGCGCCTACACCGGACGCGGTTTTTCCAACATGGCCGGGGTTACGTAAGTCATTCATCACGGTCGCAACGGCCTTAGAATCCGCTGCTAACTTTCCTTGTAAGCCGTCACTTGAAGAAACAGCACAACCGGGAACTTGAAAGATGTTCGATATGCTCGCGTTTCTTCTTGGCCCGCGGAGATCGTTTCGCACACCCAAACGATCCTACTGGCTGCCAACGCAGAGGGGCGCAGAGGGGATGTGCCCATCCGCAATCACAGCCCAATAGCCCACTCGGAGGAAGGCAAGCTGTCGAAGACGTTCAACGCTACATTCAGTCATCTCTATCTCAGCACTCTCCGAATTCTCAGGGCCGAAGCTTGTATGAGATCCGTGACTGGCTGACAGATCGCTTGTCCGAGGAGAAGTACCAGTCTGTCATTCCCGCTGGTCACGGATACACAGCCATACAGTCTCAGGGGTCTCACACTTGGCGGGATACAAGCACGGCGGCTGAGGCAACAAGTATGCAGCTGCTGCATGAGCCAGAGCCACAGCTGGACCTCAATTCTCTACAACTCGGACTGCAAAATTCCGCCACGGGGTATTCTCCATTCCGTTACTCAGGAGCCAGCCAAGGACCATCGCCTGATCCCTCGCGTCAGGATCCTCACTTGGACCATTTATACGGTCCGTTCCAGTTGAATCAACAGGAATTTCCCGTCCGCATGCAAGCTGCCCCAGGGGACCCTCCCACTGGAAGTGACTCGAGGAATGATTGGGACAACATCACTGATCCCGAGCTCTATTCTATTGCTACAGGCCAGGACTCCTACAAAACCAATTCCCCAAATGGATGGATGCCACAGGATAGATTTCGGCCATGACCCAACGGACCACCACGCCGGATGTTTCTCAGGTCACGATTCACGTCGGAAAGACGAAGTGTGTTCACGTTTGGGCTCCTCGTTTCTTCTCATTCCTTTTTTGTTTTTTTTTACTCTTAGCGGTGGCCTTGTGCTCACATGACTGTACATGCTATCTTCAGTGATATTCAGTCACTGTCAGGCTCGTAGGGTGTGGGCAGTCTGTGGATACAACTCGATGTGACAGTTGCTTTCCCAGCCGCTTACTTCTAGCCACGCATCCCTGCACAACTCGAGACCTTGAATATACCGATCAGAGAATAGTGAGATCAATCGAGTAATACTGAGTGGTGAGGCGTCACTGAAGAAAGGTCATGGATCATCATGAAGGGGGGAAACGTCACAGAATAAAAATGTCAGGACTAAGAACCAAACCAGAGTCTGGATGTAGATGCCAATACTGGAACAATACAGATGCATCTGGGAATAGGATTGCGCTGCACATGCAGGTAGGCCAATTCCAGCACAACGTCAACAGAGACTCCACAGCTAAAACTCAGCTCCGCTTCTTCTCGCCGGAAACATCCCTCAGATACGCATCCACCGGCCACGCGAAGGGCGCCGGCTCGCGCTCCCCTCCCTCCTCGGTCGTCAACACCTCCACCAGGGCCATGAACACATACGCACCGATGGCCGTCAGGATGTGCCACCAGCCATGCAACTCGAGCAAGACGCCTGCAGGCAAGCCGACCATTCTCCGCACGCTGACCAGGGGGTCGCAGAGATGCATGTCGACGTTCCACAGCGCGTATCCGACCGCCGAGCAGACTGGAAGTCGAATCTTAGACGTCAGCACACATCCATTTCTCATGGGAACCCCCCTCAGCTCAAAGAAAAGGTAAAAAAAAAAAAAGAAAAACTCCAAAAAAAAAACTCACCAAACCCCACCCAAGCCAACGCCTTCAACCTCCCCACCCGCTCCCTCCCACCACCGTATTTCCCCCGCTCCCTCTCCCCGATCAGCCCGCTCGTCCTCACGCCCACCGCGGCCGTCATGCCCGCGAACAGCAGGAAATGCACCAGCAGCTCGTCCGTCCACGCGTGATACGCGGCGAAGACGACGAACCCCAGCGCGAGGCCGACGCCCGTGTTGCGCGTCCACTCGGCGGAGCGGCCGTGCGCGAAGGCGCGGTGGAGGACCAGGGCGGTGGCGAGGATCATGGACGTGTCGTCGGCTGGTTCGTTCGATTCGATTTTTCACATGAGCGTGTCAGCTTTGCTTTTTTTTTTTTGTTTTTTTGGTTTCCCCCTTTTTTGCCCTTTCATGAGAGAGGGGATAGGGAAAAAAAGAAAAAAGAGAAAAAAGAAAGACATACCCATCTGGCCGGCATACGTCAAGGTCGCGTGGAAGACGGCGGACAGTATGCCCACCGCGGCGAGGCCGAGGTACGGGAGGCTGAGGAGGGCGGCGTGGGGGTTGTTGGCGCGGAAGAGGCGGCGGACGCCGTAGTATGCGTAGATGACTGTAGAAGAAGAAAAAAAGAAAGGTCGAATCAGGAACGCATGATTCACATAGTATAAGATGCAACGTGCCGGAACGGAAATGATTCATGCTAACCATAGGAAATGTTGGTGATGGTATTGACGAACTCGGCAATGTACGGCGTCACGAGATAGTTCTGCAGAAAGTCGGTAAGCCATTGGGGTTTTGGCGTGGTTCCGGAACAGCCGGCCGGAGCGGGGTGGTTGTAAACAAAACAACAAAAGCTACATACCTCCTCGCAGAAGCTGTGGGGAAAAGCTGGCTGTCAGTCGAAAGTGAACTGTATGTACATACATGTCCACGGTTGAAAAGCGCAAACGTACTTGACTCGAGCCGTCGGAGTGAACCAGGCCGGCTCGTACGCTGTATCAGGGTACGGGAAGCGGAGGGAAGTAGCCGGCATTGTTGGCGTTGCACAGGTGGAATATTCTATCTAATTTTGGCAAGACAAGTAGAGACGATTGGGATGAAACGCGAGGGCGAGGATTGGGTCAAGAGAGATGCGGCATAAATATAGGATCTTCTGGCGGCTGACATGCACGTGTGAGAAGTCAGCACGCGATGCATCGCGGCGTCCTTGCCCTTCGGGGAATCCACCCACGGGTAGCTGCCTTGCCGGCCGGCCCGTGAACCGAGCCGCAGCCTGACGTCATGCTCACAGAAACGTCTGCATCAACCGACGGGTGGCGATTGTCCCCGCCGCGAGTCATGGCCGCAAAACCACTTCCACACGTGAATTCTCAGCTTCACTGCCTGATCACCTCAAAACATTGGCCATTGCGAACAGAAGCCGGCTTTTTGTCATTCAGAAGTCGTTATTGCAATCTATATGCATTTACTCGTGACCAAGAGAATCCATCCACACGCTTTTGGCGTGCGTCCGCTGCTTGTGCGATTAACACAGCAACGGCTTTACCTTCTCCGTCTCTAATACACCTCAGCCATCCTTCTCTCCATTTTTCTCGTCCTTTTGCAACGCTGAGAACAGAGTCGTTTAGATGAGCTGGGTGAAAGCGCGGTTGAGAGGAGAGCGGAGGGGCTTGACGTCCTTGTAGAATTCAATAGTGGCGATGGCACGCTTGGAGATGCCCGGAGCGTTGAACTCGAACTTGTCGTATACCTCCTTGTACGGCCCAGACGCACCGAACCGGTTGAGGCCGAACTGCTCGTGAGAGTACTTCTCCCACCCGAGAGTCGACATGACCTCGACCGACAGCGCCGGGATGCCGTCGGGGATGACGCTGAGGCGGTACTCCTTGGACTGCGCGTCAAACACCTCAACGCAAGGCATAGAGACGACACGCGCCTTGACGTTGTGCTTCTCAGCAAGGAACTTGACAGCCTCCAAGCAGAGCCCGACCTCGGAACCTGTCGACACAAGCGTGATGGCAGCCTCCTTGTCCTCGTGCGCCACGTAGCCACCCTTGATGGCCTTCTCGATCGTCGAGCCCTCGAGCTGAGGAAGGTTCTGGCGGGTAAGGGCGAGGATCGAGGGCGTCTCGTGGCTGGTGAGAGCCATGTAGTACGCCGCAGACGTCTCGTTGCCGTCCGCCGGGCGCCAGACCATCATGTTGGGCAGCGCACGGAAGTGGGCAAGAGTCTCGATAGGCTGGTGCGTCGGGCCGTCCTCACCAAGACCAATCGAGTCGTGCGTCGCGACGTAGATGACACGCTGGCGGGAGAGGGAGGAGAGACGGACAGCACCGGCGGCATACGAGACGAAGTTGAGGAAGGTACCACCCGCGGGGATGAGGGTACCGTACGCAGCGATACCGTTCATGAGAGCAGCCATGGCGTGCTCACGCACACCGTAGCGGATGTAGCGGCCGGACCACTCGCCAATGCCGAGATCCGGGGGCTGGAAGTCGACGGCCGCCTTCCAACGCGTGTTGTTGGAGCCAGTCAAGTCGGCAGAGCCCGAGAGAAGCTCGGGAACCGCCTCGTAGATGGACTCCAGGACCGTCTCAGACAGCTTGCGGGAAGCAATGGCCGAGTCAGTGGGCTTGTAGGTAGGCAGCTTCTTCTCCCAGCCCTCAGGCAGCTTGCCCGTCAGACGGCGAGCAAGGTCGGCGTGGAGCTCCTTGTGCTCCGAGCCGTACTTCTCGAAGAGCTTGTTCCACTCAGCCTCGAGAGCGGCGCCCTCGGAAGCCTTCTTGCCGTACAGGTCCGACACCTCCTGAGGAACGACGAAAGTCTTCTCAGGGTCGAAGCCGAAGAGAGTCTTGACGTGCTTGATGTCATCGGCCTTGAGGGGGTTGCCGTGGACACCGCCCGTGCCCTGGAGCTTGGAGCCGAAACCAATCGTGGTGGTCAGCCTGATCATGGTGGGCTTATCCTTGACGGACTGTGCCTCCTTGATGGCCGCCTCGATACCCTCAAGGTCGTGGTCACCGTCCTTGACCCAGACGGTGTGCCAGCCGTAGGCCTCGAACCTCTTGGTAACATCCTCAGTGAAGGCGCACTTGGTGTCACCATCTGCCGAACTTGGTTAGAAAGGCGACGTCGCGAGTAGAGAACCAATTTCACTCACCAATCGAGATGTGGTTGTCGTCATAGATGGCAATCAGGTTGCCGAGCTTAAGGTGGCCGGCGGTGGAAGCAGCCTCGCTGGCAATACCCTCCATGGCGCAGCCATCACCGAAGAAGGTGTACGTGTAGTTGTCAACCAGGTTGTAGCCGGGCTTGTTGAAAACAGCCGCGGTGTGAGCCTGGGCAATGGCGAGACCAACGGCGTTGGAGAAACCCTGGCCAAGAGGACCAGTGGTAACTTCAATACCGGGGGTGTCGTGAGACTCGGGGTGACCCGGAGTGATGCTGTCAATTTGCTGGACGGGGAATTAGTCTATTGCACCGAATCGAGCACGTGAAGAGTACGTACACGGAAGGCCTTGAGGTCGTCGAGGGTGACGGCATAGCCGAACAGGTGGAGGAGGGCATACTGGAGCATGCAGCCGTGGCCGTTGCTGTTGACGGGCGTCAGCATCATCGCACTCAAGAAAATGCCAAAGCGGGCCACAAGGGGATAGCTCGAGGCCATTGCGTCAGAGGCTCCGGAGCAAGCCCGCGAAGATGGGGCGCGCAATCTAAGCTATCGACAGGCCCACACAGTGCAGCCCACTGTATGACGGCGAAGGCATTGGGAGATAGGAGCGTGGGGACACGTACGAGAGCACGAATCTGTCGCGGTTCACCCACTTGGGGTTCTTGGGGTTGAACTTCATGAACTTGTTGAACAGGACGTGCGAGACCGGGGCCATGCCCATGGGCGCACCCGGGTGGCCGGAGTTGGCCTTCGCGGTGGCATCGACCTGCAGAGAGGCTCGGCGTCAGCATTGGACGTTCACAGCTTTGGCGGCTGGGCCGGGAGAAGCGGCGGTCGCGGGCGGGAGAGTGTTGAGGAGCCATGGCGGGGTAGCGATAAGAGCGCACTTACGGCCAGCGTCCGGATGGTGTTGATGGCAAGCTGATCAATCTCTCCGTAAGGCATGATGGGCGGATTGATGCAGAGGTGGATGGGGGAGAAGAGGGTTGGGGGGAGAGAGAGAGTTTGAGGGAGTGACGGAAGAAAAACAGTCGAGGAGCGGCAGGCTTGGGTGATGCAACCTGGTGGGGCCCGGCGGCGACGGAGGGGCGACGAGCTGGCTGCAACACGCACCGCTGCGCGACCGTGACAAAGCGCGCCCGCCTCGCTGACAACCCCGTCGTCCTCACGAATCAGTCGATTTATCCGGCGCCTTCTTTTCCGCCCGCCGTGCAGCCCGCCGCCCTGGCGATGCATGCAAGCCTTGCCGCCGCGTTCCACCGCTCTCGTAGCTCATTGCCCAGTCGCCACGCCAGCCTGCTAGCCAGCCCTCGACTCGAGTCTCCTCTCGTCGCTCAGCAAACCAGGCATCCACCCGTCGTAAGTTGCTGTTCACTCATCGGTGGTCACAGCTCTGCCCTCCGTCATCGGGTACCCGGGCGGTGATGGTCGATCCGAACGGCGCCCGAACTTGACGGCTGTTTGAGCTCCAGCAGCCCACATGCCCGCTCATCAGCAAGCGACCAGTGAACTGCCCACCGGAGCACTCGTGCTGGCCAAGCCCCTGTCAGGCCGCCCTCTTGCGCAAAACCGCCCGCGGTCGCGGCCGTCTTCATTTGTAAGGCTGAACCACCCACTCCAAAACTATCGTGACCTCGACCGTCCATTGCCCTGCCATCTGGAAATACCGTTCCATAACCCCGCTATCACCGCCTGACTCTCAAACGTCCACAGCGCTGCCTCGTCGATTTGCATGGGAAAGGGTTCATAATTTCGAAGCCCTCAGAATTCAGGATCTGTCTGAACCAGATGTCCGGCTATCTCGAACTAAGCCCATGTCACTTTCCATTCCGTTGCCTAGCTACGTTTCTGCGGGCAATTCGTTCCTAAAAATGCACCATCGGGGACTTTCTGCCTTCCCTTGCATGGATTGGCGTGACGACAACGCGGCTCTGCAAAGAAAACGAAAAAAAAAAAACCAGTGATCCGGGCAAGACCCTGATGGCTTGTCGGCAAGAAATAGGCTAAACACTGCAACCGGGCGGGTCCTCAACAATACGCCTTGAGGATGGAAGGGCAATCCTTCGCATTTGCGGCGCAATTGCTCAGTGATGTGACCATTCCAGCCGCATCTTTTGACATCACGGTATTTCTCACTCCCGGCTGAATGCTTGAGCCCCATACCTTGAATGGTTGTTCTGAAGGATGGAAGCCGCCAACCATGCCGTCAGCCACACCGCCAGTCGTTCTCAGCAATCCAATTCACCGTGGTAACAATATCAGTTGCACGCAAAAGAGATGCAATCATATCCTTTGCCCCGCCGGATCTTCGGCAACTTCTGCACTTGAAGCTACAGTGGTCCCTTGCGACGGAATCTCCCGCACACTTTCTGGACTGAAAACCAATCAAGAAAGGTCGCTGCTACTAGCATATAGGTCTCTTTTGAGTGCTGCTAGAGCCGCATCGACGTCCGCCGTCATCAGTATCCCTGCGCTGATCTGGAGGCCGCCGAACTTTGCCGTGTCCCGAGCCGGGTGTACAGGAAATGCCTTTAATTCGCTCTAACCCGACAATACTGTACAGTTCTTCTCTTACTCTCGAAAACCGCAGAACCGATTATACCGCTCCGTCGTGAAAAAAATCCTCCAAGGTCAAGCCCGTGTCTCGGCGGTTGTGGCAGCGCTTATTGCCTGTAGACGCGCAGGCCGTCTCTCGAAGGAGCAGCGGCGTTCTTGAAAGACTGCGTACATGGTTCATTAGCATAGAGCTCTCGGTTCCGTCAGCCCGACAAGATTGGGGTGAGTGATGGCTTACGTTGTCGCACTCCTCCCAGGCACGGCCGGCACCGAAACCCAGACCGACGAACGCAGGCCACGCGCGGCGCTTGAAGAGGAGGACGGAGAAAACGATGCCGAAGGAGAGACCGAGGCCGGAGCGGATGAGCATGGAGGAGAGGCAGCGGTCCCACTGCAGACAGCGCGGGTGGTCAGCTAGGAGCTTCAAGGAGTGGTAGATAGCGCGGCGGAGCGGCTGGCCGCTCGCGCTGGCTGGCGGCTGGCTGGTGGCTGGCGGCTGGCGGCACCAGCAGTCGCCAGCAGTCGCCAGCAGTCGCCAGCTCACGCGCATGCTCGCGGATGCAAATGGGATGGATGGGCGGGCTTGGGATCCCCAGGGTCTAAGGAACGCACCTTGTCGTTGAGCAGGGCCTCGCTCATGGGGCGGATGGGGCGCGCGACCGGGGCCTGCGGCGCGGGGGTGATGTTTTCTTCGGCCATTGCGGAGTCTTCGCGAGTCGAAAGCCAATTGGCGCGCCTGGCTGGTCTGGATGGAGGGTGCTGTGACGTGTTGGTCGGGGTGGTGGTGGTGGTTGTCTCGCCAGCACGTCGTGGGTCTGTTTCGTCAGTCTTGGCGCGGCCCGCGCACGGTCTTTTGATCTGTTCGAAACGGCGTGCACCACCACCGCACCGCAACTCTCCTGCCCCAGGGCGCTGTAGGACATGGCTCCCATCGCCCAGGTACGCTGAACGACCGCACAAGCCCCCAGCCCGAGTCCCAGCCGCTGATGCCGCCGCCGCAGCCCATGGAACTCCCGTCCCTGCGCCGCCTGCTTGCTCTGGACAAAGACTTCTCCACCTTCGACGAAAAACTCGACCACGCCACCGCCATAATCGGCCAGCCTGACGGCGCGAGACATCGGGACGATGCCGAGGACCCGCTGCTGTTCTACAAGGGCAGCCCGCGCACCGAATGGGTCCTGCGCTGGCTGCTGAGCAAGCTCAAGGCGGATGATCCAGAGGGCCTCAGCGCGCGCAGCAGCTGGTTCGCCTGGCAACTGTTGCGCCAGGTGCTGCTCGGCCTGCCGCCCGCCATCTCCGCCAAGCTGCTCAACTCGCACGGCTTCTTGTCCATCCTGGAGAAGACGCTGCAGGAGAACTTCGTCGCCCCGCATCGCGACCATAGGCTACAAGAGGAGGCGGCTGTGAAGAGGCGGAAGGATGGAAAGGCCACGCGCAAGCGGAAGCGCGATGGCACTCCCGTGGAAGAGCCGGATGGGTCCGATCACGAAGATCAGGAGCGCCTCGTATTGTTCGAGGCCGTCGCCGGGGCCACCATTGAAATTGCGGCCGCGTGTTTTGACGATGCGGCCACTTACGAGAAATCCGTGGCCGAGCTGCTGAAGTCTGTCCTGCGCACGACCACCGCGCAAGCTGCCCACCTGCTCCGCTTATGGCTCGAGTCTGTACATTACCTTGTATTGAAGGCTGCCTTTGATGGCTGGGTTTCTGTCGATTCGCTGTTGCCCCATGTCCTGCAGATCTGGAACGCATGCGTCGCGGACCTGGGCAGTGACGCCAGCGGCGCTGCCGAGCGCTTCTCGCACGAGTGTCTGGTCCCCGCCATCGTTCTTCTGTCGGACATTGCGCTCGAGGTTGACACTTCTGTGGACCCGAACGCCGTCGAGACTGGTCGCGACATCGAGAGTCGGATTAGCCGATCTCTGGAGACTCTGCTAGCAAGACACGTCTTCATCCCCGCCAGAGCCTCCTTTTTCGCCGAAACTGAGGGCCGGCAAGTGAGTAAGCCTGGTCAAGCGCGGCCGGAATCGCTTGATATTTCCCGCTTGCTTCAACCGTTACGAGCGGCTTTGGCTGGAACCACTGAGGGGGTAGGCCTGACCCCCCTGGATTCGGATAGGCGTAAACTGTTTGAGACAGTCGGTTCCCTGCTGGACATTGCGATTCGCTGTTCCCAGCGCTCTACGCCTAAGAAAAGACTCGACGAAGCTCCTTGGCTGCAACGCGTCTTCGTGGCGCTATGCGAGTGCATCGGAGCTCCCGTCGACAGCAGGCCCCCAACCGAGGTTGACGAGGACCGAAGAGCAATCCTCGACCAGATGCTTGAAGTCCTCTCCAGAAGGAAAGTCTCGCTTGAATCCGAGGTCCTCGAGAACCTCGTCCGATCCTACTCGGGCATCCTTGCTCCAGGTGGGGGCGCCAGGCATTTCGACCAACAGCTTGTTTCGCGCGTAATTGCTTATGACGGGACGATCTTCCTGGATACACCGCAGAAGGCTGCAGCGGATGACGTACGTCTGTCAGACGCCATTTTCCGCGCCATCACCGCCGCATCCACAGGTGGCGTCGTTTCATCATTCAGCTATGTTCCGGATGCGCACAACGACAAATCAGGCATCGCTCCAGGCTTGAAAGCTTCCGATGCCCTCAAGACTTCTGTCGTAGTTCCCCTCATGAAGACCTACGCACAGGCGAGGGATCTCGTAGGATTCATTTCAAAATGGGTCTCTCAGCTCCACCAGTTGAGCAGATCGGGTACCCTCATGGAAAGGTCCGTTTGGGTGGAGAAGGAAATCATCGCAGCGGTCAGAGAGGTCTTGGAGTCAACTCTCACCGCAAAGCAGATTTTCGACCTGCTCAATGAGCATTGGCGTCGCATTGCTACCTGCGAAAGATCTGCCGAAGGCGATGAGTTCTCGGAGGCTTCTGCAAGCCTTGTCATTGTGGATGCTCTTGTTGGTGGTTTACAATCCGACGACATCATCGCATCAGTTGTCTCCGTGCTGCAGTCGCTACAGAAGAGCCTTCTCATATTCACCGGCGTTTCAAAGGAACCGGTCACCGTTGCCAGAGCACTGAGGGCAATTTCTCGTATTCACATTCTTCTCAGACCCCATCAGAAACCGCAAGAAGCGAGGGAGTTTACGGTAACAATCCTCTCGCAAGCAAAGGAGCACAACGTGATAGATGCCATTCGAGCATCAGAGAAGACGGAGGAAATGGGTGTGGGTACACGGGGGGAAGAGGCGTTCAATCTCGTCGCCACGCTTTGCAGCGATTTCATGGGTGCCCTCGACCTCAAAGAACCGGCCAAGGATTTGTTTAATCAATCCGCAGTCGCTCTGTTCCGCTCGAACGAAGAGATCAAGGACCGGATTGCAGACGGAGCCAAGCGCCGCCGCACAGCTGACCCCCTGAACGTCGCCACCGCACGTCTGGAGGTCTTTACGCTCAACGCTGCCGCTGTGCTTACACAGTTTCCGAGTCTGTTGACTCTCCCTCCACTTGAGTCTCTCAAAAGCCTTCTTCGCCTGCTCTTCTGGCATGCATTTGGCGAGTTTTCCGGTCAATACGAAGCGCCTCGTGGGCTGTCGTACACGCTCGTCTTCGAGGCAATGTCAGATCTCGTCTTGACCATGCAGTCAAGCGAGCTCAGGGATCTTCTCTTTTCAGTTCTTTATGAGGCTCTAGACTCAGAAGCCAAGTTGGGGAAGTCAAGGGAGCTAGGCGAACAGTTACGCGCATTCGCGGAAATCCAATACCTCCGCGTGCCTGTTGCAGCAATCGGCCGGAAACATCGCGAGCAGGTCCTTGATCGGGTCACTGAAATGTGCACTGTTACTGGCAAGAGGCGAGCGAATGCTGAAGCCTTCTTCCGGCACTTGAGCCTTGCGGCAAAACTCATGGAGGTGCCCAACTCAAAGTCAGAACTGGCCACCGAATCCGACTTGCTATGGACAATTGCTCGCTCCATGCAAGACAACCATCTCACCGACCTGGACACCCTGAGGGTGCTCGATGAGCTCGTCCGTCTGACCCTCGAGGATGCCATCACCGTCAAAGACCAACCGAGAGGCCAACAGTATCTCGAAGGCTACAGAAAGATGATGAGACGTTTTGCAAGGGATGCCAGCGCGTCTTTTAAGGATCACATTGCGGAGTTGAACTGCTTCAAGTCCGGTCTTGTGACCCTAAAGGCATCGGATCTCCTATGGGATGATGAAGAAACGTACAAGACCATGAAGAGATACCTCAGGGCTCTCGATGGTGACCTGGAGACGCTTCTACCAGGAGCACTCAGCAGCATAGCAGAGGAGGACACTTCCTTCCTTCGGGCTGTGCTCGCTGCAACCTCCGATCTTCCGATCCTGGGGATGACAAGAGACGGTAAGCATAATCCGCCCAGCCTGAGCAAGTCATCCATGCTGAACATCTCTTCCAGGCTACATCTGCAGTATCGAAGCGAAGCTGCTCAAATGTGTCCGCAAGCGTCTTGGTTCGGCTGAAACCAATACGTTCGAACAGCCAGAGGCTTCGATGTGGGTGTCGTTGACAACCGCAGTCTCGAATGTGGCAAGCTCGGACGAGGCCGAGTGCGTTAGTGCTATGATCTATGATCTTTGGCGCTGCGGTCAGTATTGCAACGATTGGCATCTCTTGATACATGGCTGATGTTTCTTTAGATCTCTCCGCTAGCGACCGTCACAGCCTTCTCGAAGCAACACGAAAGGCACTGGGCTCCCTTGGCCTTGACAGAAGGACGTCGCTTCTCTCGCAGTTGAAATTCAACCCGGATGATGAACAAAACTGGCAGCCTGCCTTGGTCCTAATGAACGTCCTGATATCCTCCTTACCAGGTAAGACATTCTGTCCCTTCTGCCCAGGATGTCCAGCTTACATCTGCAGATGTTCCAAGCAAGGAAGACAATTCTACGCAAGGGCTGAACGGATTCTTGGGACAGCTAAGTAGCTATCTCGAGAACGTCGAGGCCATCCGCGATTTCCACGCCGCTCTCAACTGCGTTGACACTATTCTGCGAGAAAAGGTAGGCAGTGGTGCCCATCTCGAACCGGACCCCTACTCACGAGATTCATAGCACTGGCTTGTCTCGCAATGGGCCATTGAAAGGATCATTGACTCGCTCGCGCGTCTCGCCTCTTACTCCAGCCCTGAACTTCCTCCTGAACAGGCCGATGCCATCTACACCCGACTTTGCGGTACGACGCACCTCATCCTGTCTCTGCACCGCACCCGTCTCGGCGGCCGCTTCCACGTCCTCATGCCTCTCCTTCAAAACCTGCTCCGCTGCCTCTTCACGCCCGACCACCACAGCCGCCGTGGCCACAACAACGACGCCGCCGCCGCCGCAGCGGCATCGTCCTTCCCGCAACAGCATCAACAACCACAACAACCGCCACCACCCTGGCTCGCCGCCGCCACCAACCCGCTCACACCCGCGCACGCCTCCTCGTTCGCGCGCCTCGTCACCACCCTCTGCAACCCAACCGTATCGGCCGTCAAAGGCTTTCACAACCGCAAGCGGCCCGCCTCGACCTCGATGACCTCGACCGGGCCATCATCGTCGTCGTCGGCAGCCACGACGGCCGACCTCGTCGACGAGACCAAGAAGGCGCGCGAGTACGCGGGCCAGTACGTGCCCGCGCTCATCGCGTCCTTTTGCTCGTGCACGCTGCACGGCGGCCGCATCGGGCCCGAGACGCGCGCGGCGCTGATGCCGGGCTTGTACGCGTGCGCGGACGTGGTGGGGATCGAGGCGTTGAGGGCGATGAACGCGGGACTGGGCGCGGGGGAGAGGGCGGTGTGGAGGGGGGTTTATGCGGATTGGAAGAAGTTTGGGAGGTGGGAGGGGAGGTGATGAAGGATGACGCATGGCATGTGATGCGTCATGATGAATAGAGGGGCGGGGTGGGCTAAGGTTTTTTTCGTGAACCGGTTACGAGTGAAACGGCAATGATGGGGATTGGATGAAGGGTGAGAGAGGGAAGGAGGATTTCTTGGACGCAGCTGTTTTTTTTTTTCTTCACTGCAATTTGTTCTTTTCTCTCTCCTCCGCCATAGGAGGCCATCATTCGCTTCTGTCGATTTTCTCTACCGACCATTTTCTACCGGGGACTTACCTTCTTCCCCTCTTCACTCTGTTTCCTTTTTTCTTCTTGTCGATTATTCTTGCCTCCCGCTTCTCCCGAAGGCCGTTGCATACTCCATTTCTGCATAGCGTTGGGTGAGGGAGAATGAGAGAAAGAAAGAGAGGAAAGGGAGTCGTTATCACCATTATCATCATAGATCTGCATGCGGGTTCGTTTTGACTGATGTTTGCTTGCTTGCTGTTACATACTTGCATTGGGGGGCATGGTAAATGGCAAAATGGATATCATCGGAGGGGAGGCAAAACTTGTATAGTGTTTGTTCGTGTGTGTATATGTCCCGTCGGTCGTTCATCGTGTATATGTACTGTGCAGCGTGCGTGTAAGCTCAATACCCGTAAAAAAAACTTTCCTTTTGTTCTATCTTTCGAATCTTGTATTTGCATAAATGTGTATGAATCTGCGTACCTATTTCTTGTCTCCTTTTTGACAGGCAACCTCATCATCTCTTGACAGCTTTCGCTTTCTACTCCAAGGACAATAAAGGGATGAGAGATTTGTGATAAGAAGACGATCGGGACGGCGTCGTTCTGGAGCAGCGTGTGTCTGAGGCCAAGGGTTGGCGGAGGCAGATCACATCGAGGCAGAGACATTTTCGTCTTGTTGGTTGGGCTTATAACCCCTGGATAAGTATCCACTCGTTTGCCCCAACATCCTTTGCCGAAATATCTGTTCTGTCATTATTGGTTCCTTCTTCCCTTCCGTGGCCTCCCTTTCCTCATGTCTCATGTCGTCGGATGCGCCGGATCATTTGTTAGATCATGGCGTTTGTACGCAGAACCCCTCCCCCACAAAAGTTCTTTTGCCAATCTCGGCCTGCCATATATGTACGCACATAATGGTGTATATGCTTCGTCACTATGATAGTGGCGTGAAACCAAGGATCCAGCCTTGCGGTGTGCATGCGACTGACTCATCGGCAGCATCGTTCCGAGAGCGAAGAGCAGAAATGCCGAAACAAAGGTAAAGTTCGGACATGGGAGTGGCGGGGGTTTCATTTGTAGGTTTCGAGAAGGGCGGGGGAGGGGATTGGTTGTGCTGAAACCAACCCAGTGGTTGATGGGGTGTGATGTGATGTGTGTGTCGCGTGCACTGGTGGTTTTGCGCACAATGCGTTGTGATAACTAAAATGAATAGGGTTGAGGTACGTGCAAGACAATGCCTTTTTTTAACGACGTGGGGCAGCTAAGATCGTCTGTGGAATGGTATTATGCTCAAGCACGTTCGTTGCGTTGGGGAACCGCATGAATATGATGACGCGCGCGCATGCGCGCGTGTGTGTCCAGGCGTACGACAAACGGTATGAAGCAGTGAGAATGTTGATCGCAAATTCGCTGAAGGAACGTGCTTCCCTCTTTTTTCCATTACATTTTGTTCTTCTGTGCAGAGGATAGTAAAACAAATTGACAAAGCCGGTTGATGGTTGTCTCCGTTCTTTGCAAACTTTGCACAACAAAAAGTCGTATTGATTTCACACATAGAACCAGATGTTAAGCCAAAGGAACAGAAATTCAAAAGCGATATCGCACCGTTACGGAACCAAAGTAGCCGCTTTCGATCGTCTCTAGCATTGGCACGACGGCTTTCTCCTACGTGTCGTGGGTTTCGCGTGATCGACCGCAGATCACCATCTTCAAAGCTAGAGCACTTCGGTTTCACATATATTAAGGGTTTGGTGGGGGGGAAGGGGAGGGGGAACGAAGCTCCAACATTCTGGGCCCTTTCTTTCCCTCCCTTCTCTGTACATACATAGTACCAAAAAGCACAGACTTCTCCACCACCAGCGCGGGTGGACCCCCGAACGCCCGTGGCTGCTAAGGAAACCATGCCAGGATGGCTTGCACGGAGAACGGGCCTGCTGCGGCAAAGGGGTCAATGCTTGGCTTCCCCCATGTCCCATAAACCTTGCAAGTAAACGGGAAGCCACGAGTCATCGTGCATGGGGTGGCGTGGCGGAAGGTAGAAGCCGCAGCCGTGCCACGCCCTCTCTCTCCCTCTTCCCGGCGTGTATCGCTTCTCGGCCACTCCCCCTGCAGATTTCCCTTGCGTCGGTAACATTCAAGGCCGCCACCGCTAGTGCCTATGAGAAAAAGGAAGGGATAGACGGTTCGGACGTTTGGGAGAGGGAGATCAGAGAAAGAATGGCAAATGCCGAGCATCTGCGACAGTACCTCTGCGGCTTTTATCAGAAGTGCAATCAAGCGGAGGCAGGTTTTGGCATTTGTGCCGGCTCGGACTGTATAGGAATGCAGTGAAGAAGTTGATGGGGTGTAGGAATGGGTTATTATTGGGATATGATATCTACACTTTCCACGAGTGAGCCTTAGCGAGCTTTTCCACAGCCTTGGGTGGTCTCCAGGTCGGAAGACATAGAATCCCATAGTCTCAAGGTTGGAAACAAGGATATTCGTCGTGGGCTTGCAGCTTGTCCGCGGGTTTCGGAGAAGGTTAGCCGCAAATCGCTTTATTCCGCACGCCACAAAAGCTCATCCATCATGCATGGTAGCACGTGCCACACCAAGCAGTTGGTTATCTTAGCGTCTCGCTGTTCCATGGCCCTGACAAGTGATCTTCAGCAGAGTTTGCCTTCAACAGCCAGCCTAAGTGTACTTTCGGGCTGATCGACCGGGAAGGCGTTGGTGGTTGGGCAGTCTGGAATCAGGATCGCAGTGTGGCAATATTCGCATTCTTTGCTTGTTGCTGTGGCTGGATGGTCGCCGTAAGTAGCATATGGAGAAGTTCCGTGGTTGCAGCGGCTGTTGGAACTTTTGAATTTTTCCTTAACAGTTCGGTAGGGGAAAATGCTCTCGCATGCTGCAGAAAGGCGACGGGGCCACAAGCGTAGATGACGAATGCGTGTAGCAAACGCATTTGCGGTTGTACCATCTCCAAGGTCAGTGAAACAATCTAGCCACGAGGAAAGCTGAACGGTCAAGCGCTGATGATGGAAAAAACGAGTTTGACTACCAGGTCTCTGAAAACTTTCCGCAAGCCACGACGCAAAGATCGGCAGCAATAGTGGAGCGCGACGGATCGTGGACTCGGGTGCACTGGGTGTGTTTTCTTGACTCTCTTGCAAATTGGACCCCAAATGGGACGCCTGGAAACGCAGCCACGTGGATGGTGGTTTTGAATTTCTAACGGCAGTTGAGCTCGGCACTCGGGATTCCGGGAAGGGGCACCGCGTAGGCTGCTGGTCGTCTGAGCATTTGTTGCAATGCTAGGAGGATCCAGATGATGAAGACTTGTCCACATTCAGCCTTTGAGTATCGAGGTCCAAGTGACGAGATGGTCATGTGGGTAATCGGTAGATAGAATCGCATAGAAGAGCCGTAGTATGTATAGTAGTTCTCGCGTAAAAGGAGCTTTAGCGTGGATCCCGCGGTGTCTATACATAGTGGAAACGTCCGGCTCTCTGCTAGAGGGACCTAGCGCGCGAGCCTATATTGCAAGAAGAACGTGGCGGTCCGGAGCAACTCTCTCCTTCCGGCGATACAGAATCATAAAAGTGGCGAAGGAGCAGCCTCTTTTCCCCACGCGCCGCAGCCTTCCTTCGCGTGTGGCGGCTGCCAGCGGGCGGCACGCATGCCGACGCCGTCGCTATCTCCCTGCATGCATTACGCACCAACCGGCTCTAAAGCGAGGGGCGTCTGGCTAGCCAGATGCGGAAAACGCTACTGGCAGCAGTGCCCTCGCTTCAATCCTGTTGCATGCTCCGAGGCGAGTGATCTGCAGCTCTTTGCAGCCAGAAGCAGTTATACTCTTTCCTAACGACGGCTACATCCGTGCTGACGTTGGACGGGCTTCCGATCATTCTCTTCATCTTTGAGGGGCAACCCGTCACATCCGCTTGGCGCCTTGAAGCTTTCTGGCTCGCGTGGGGCGTTGAGTGCAATATCAAACATCAAAGCTATTCGAGCCATCCGGGAGTTGCCATCTAAAGAAGTAGAATCCGCCGACGCGAATGAGAAAAAGAAAGCAAAGAGTCCTACTGTATCTCAGACGGTGACAAAGCTCAAACGCCGGTAGTCGAAGCACCAGTGCAAACACCCATGAAAAAAAAAAAGAAAAGTAACATTTCAACGGCGTCAACCACACGGGCATGGTATAAAAGTAGAGAAAGAATTGAGCCGCCCAAGAAAAAGCAAACGAGGAAAAGAAAAATGGCACCCGGCACCTTTGACAAACGAAAGACCCGGAGAACGAGCCCGGTCAGGAAAAATATCAATCTCACCTGTTTCCCATCACTCCTTAAAAGCAAACATGGTTCCGCACTCGAACACGGTTCCGTAGTCCCAGCATTCGCGCACTATTTCCGGATCATCCCACCACCAGATGACGTCGTGGCGCAACGTGGAGCCATTGTCGACAAGCGAGCCCCAGCAATCCTTCCAGAGGCCACGAGCTACGAACGTCGCCAATTCTCCATCCAGCGCCGCCTGCTCCCTCTCGCTCTCGGTGAAAGCTGCAAAATCCAAGGCCTCGGTGCCGCTGCCCATCGTAGCGTTCCTTTTGTTGTATTCGAGTGTGCTGCGCTTGGTGCCGTCTTGCATGTCTGTCCTCTGTTTCGAGTGGAGTGGCGCGTGCCTGGGCTCGCTGTCTCTGGGAGGAGCGCACGCAGGCAGCCGCAGCCGCTGGACCACGAGATCCTTGCCTCCACCGCCGCCTTCTAGAACACTGAAGCCGCAATCACTCACCCAACCCGGTAACAGCGCGAGCGGCCGTGAGCAGAGAAACTCTTTCTCCAGGTTCAACAGCAAGTGGTCCTCAAACCACGCGCGCAACCTTGGGCCCATGGTGGTGCGTACCGGTGTGCTGTCAACGAGGCGTAGCTCCAAGATACCTCCGGGAACAAGCATCCGAAGCAGATCGCGAAGGACTGGCTGAATCTTGGATGACGGCAGATGTGAGGGGAGCGCAGCGCACCGGATATGATTGAACGAGTCTGTGGGGTAAGGGAAAGGCAGGATTCCGGCAGAATCCACGGTCAGGGGATGGATGTTGGCAGGGAGCGGGATGCTGGCCAGTGGCTTGTGTACAGTCAGATACGAGATGTGCGACTTGGGGTAGATGGCGGATAACTGATAGACTTCGGCTATCCAGGGATTGAGATTAGCGTTTGTGAAGGATCCGATGGACCAGTGGCTTACCCAAATTGCTGTAAAGCTCCAGGACTCGCTTTGGCTGTCGGAAGAGCGTAGGAAGACCCAAAAGGGGCCCTACTCCTTGGTTGGGTACTAGTGAATTCTCCATGTTCTGCAGCTGCAGGGCGGTAAGGCACCACAAGTGCTTCTCGACGGCAACCTCCTCCTCGGCGTAGGGATCGGTGGCCAGGATATCCGGAGACGGCTCATCTTTCAAGCGTGCAAGGATAAGCTTCGGATCTGCACGCTCCATGCGACGAACAAAACGTTGAAACTGCGTCAGCTCTGCAACGTCGGTGTCGCACAGGAAAGAGCTGTCGAAAGACTGGCGGTTTTGCGAGAAGGAGCGTATGGAGGCGATATCCCAATCCGCGGGAGCCTTCCAGGTGCAATGAGGGCCGACGTCGGGTGAGGAGTGGTAGGTGGAGCTGGTGGCGTCATTGTCTAATGCGCACTGGCTCGACAAGGAGCCTCCCGAACTTGGTAGGGTCAGAATTGGTGCATGTTACTGAACAAACGGCGAGCATGGTGGACCGAAAGATGGGACAAACTGATGGGCGGCAACTGCTCTACATACCGAGCGTGAGTCGAGGAAGAAGCCTGCTCCTCATCAGCAATTACACTGGGCAAGCGCGCAGGGTGAGTCTGAGGGGTCGTTAGGCGGTGAAAATTGACGTCTGAGCTGGAGCTCACCTCAGTACTGCGGGTTGTTGTTCTCGACACGTAGGAGTCCTCGCTCAGTTGTTGGGCTTCATAGGCTTCGACCTCTTCGATGATGCGTCGTTCTCTGCAGTGGGCTTCACGGCCCGCGTGTTGCACGGTACAGACTGCATCATCTCTCAGCATCGAGTGCAAAAGGCGGCGAGGGTTGTGTTTACCGGACGATCTCGTGGTGGAGTAGAGCGGCGAGCATGGCGGCTGGACGGTCCCAAATGAGGAGATGGAGGGCAGAGCTGGCAGCACGGGAGCGGGAAGCTGAGCAGGGGTGGACCAGCTGGCGGCGGAATCCAGACTGTTTTCCCGTGGGCGTGAGTGGGAGCGGCTGTGGAGGGACAGCTTGGAGCTCTTGCGGGAGGACGAGTTCAGGACGGGGGACTTGTCGGGGTTGTTGTTCTTGCGGCGGACAGGCAGCGACCAGAAACTGGACTTGGAGGCCGAGTCGTCGGACTGCAGGCTCGGGGTCGAGTCGCCATGGTCGCGGCTGCGCAGGCGTCGCTCGCGACGCTGGCCCACGGTCTCGGCGCGCTGGTCGGTCCACGAGAGGTCTGCGGAAAACATGGAGGCGCCCATCCGCGAGCATGCGTTGGAGTGGGCGAGGGTGGGACGCGTGGTCGGAGATACGGCGCCAGATCTGGATTTGGAGCAGCTCGGCGGGCGATGATCTCACGTCGCGGGACCGGGGCCGGTGCGGCAAGTGTCATTTCGGCGTGGGTGGCTAGTGGTGAAGCTTGGGGCTGGACAGGCGGCGACAGCGGGAGGGCGAGGGTCGTCCCTGCCAGACTAAGCTGCCGTCGCCGTTTCACACTCCCGCTTTCATCCACGGCGCCGAGGATCCGCAACCCACCACCCTCGACCCGCTACGCTTGAGGCGCCCAAGGCCGAAAAGAGATGCCCCACGCCAGCACCGCGACGGAACCGCCGTAGGGCCTGGCCGCCACCTGCCTGCGCCCTAGATCGGCGCGTCACCCGAGCGCGCAAGACGCACACTGTCGCCGATACGGAGCCCGTGTGCCTGCGCCCTCCTGTCTGTGCCTGGCGACCCGGCCAGGCAAGATGCGCCGCTGGCTACGCTACGCCATCTAGCTTTTTCTTTTTCGTGTTCCACTCTGTCAGCGTGCAGGCTTGCCTTGGCTCGACTTGACCTCATCTCCTCCGCCGCGCCCGTGCGCATCAACCTTCCCGTGGCTGCCGCCGCACCTGCTAGTCAGTCAATCCTCTCCACCCATCCCGCTGATCGCCAGCACCATACTGCCATGCCCGTCGCAGCCTGGGTAAAAGCGGCGCGCTCGCTCCACCACACCTCCACACCATGACCACTGTCTCTTTCCCTCCTCTTCTCTTCGCCCTTGCCCAGCAGTTGTCCCAAACCGCCAACAATGGAGGCTCTCCGCCAGCAGGTCGGGCGTCTGGATGCCTACCTTGCCGACTCCAAGTTCGGCCGCCTTTTCCGCCTTGACGGCTCCGGCCATGTAAGTTGCCTTGTGCTTGTCCGGCACCCGCCACACCCAGCTAACCTCAATCTGCCCCAGGCCGACGAGATTCGGGACGCTCGCTTTGTGACTGAGGTGCGCGCCGGCGTGACCACCTTTTTCACCATGGCCTACATCATTGCCGTCAACGCCACCATTCTGACCGATTCTGGCGGCACATGCGAGTGCCGCGATGTCCTCGACCCGACGTGCGCCGCCGACTCGGATTACCAGGTATGCCTGGTCGGCTTACATCGGGATTTCATCACCGCCACCACTGCCATCGCCGCTTTCGCCTCCTTCTTCTTCGGTCTCGTCACCAACTTGCCCGTCGCCTTGGCAACCGGCATGGGCCTCAATGCCTACTTCACCTATCAGGTCGTTGGCTTCCATGGCACCCGCCATATTCCGTATGGCTTGGCTTTGACCGCCGTCTTCGTCGAGGGCTTCATCTTCGTTCTCTTGTCTCTTCTGGGAATGCGTCAGTGGCTGGTCCGCATGCTCCCAAACTCCTTGAAGGTCGCCGCTGCCTGTGGCATTGGTCTTTTCCTCGCCGAGATAGGACTATCGTATAGTGCGGGAATCGGCGCCATCTCCGGCGCCAGCGCTACCCCCTTGGATCTGGCCGGGTGCCAGCCCGAGTACAGGGACGAGTTTGGAGAGTGCCAGAGCCACAGGATGCAAAACCCTACCGTAAGCAGTCTGCCAATCCCCCGTTTCGTATTTTGTGTGGAGGGCCTAACGAGTATGAATCGAACAGTTATGGATCGGCGTTTTCTGCGGTGGAGTCCTAACTGCCTATCTTATGTCGTACAAAGTGAAAAGCGCCATGATCATCGGAACCTTGGTCGTGTCCATTATCTCTTGGCCGTGAGTCAGGCCCCGTCACGTTCTAAAGTGTCCATCTGAGGCAAACGACTGACTTGCATCTCAGACGCGGGACTTCGGTCAGCTACTTCCCGTACACTCCCGACGGTGACAGCAAGTTCGACTTCTTCAAGAAAGTCGTGTCTTTCCACCCAATTGAGCGCACTCTCAATGCATTGGACTGGAACATTTCACGAGCGCCCAGCGAGTTCATCCTGGCCCTCTTTACTTTCCTCTATGTCGACATCATCGACTGCACCGCCACACTGTACAGCATGGCCCGTTTCTCCGGTGTAGTCGATGCGTCAACAGGCGACTTCCCCCGCTCGACCGCCGCCTATTGCACCGACGCCTTCAGTATTAGCGTCGGTGCCCTCTTCGGCGTCAGCCCCGTGACCGCCTTCATCGAGTCGGGCGCCGGCATCGCTGAGGGCGGCAAGACAGGGCTCACAGCCATGACGACAGGTCTCTGCTTCTTCGTCTCCCTCTTCTTCGCCCCTATCTTCGCGTCCATCCCACCGTGGGCGACGGGCTGCACCCTCGTCCTAGTCGGCGCGATGATGGCGCGCCAGGTTGTCGCCATCAACTGGCGCTACATCGGCGACGCCTTGCCCGCCTTCGTCACCATCATCTTCGTGCCCATGTCGTACAGCACCGCGTACGGCCTCCTCGCGGGGATACTCACCTACGTCGCCATCAACATCCCCATCGCCCTCACGCGCCGTCTCTCCCGCGGCCGCATCGTCCCCGCCGACGACGACGCCCGCGAGTACTGGAGCTTCAACCCCGGCGGCGGCGCCGGGCAGCAGCCGTGGTTCATCGGTGCCATCGGCAACGCTCTCGCCCGCGTCGGCCGTGGCGGTCGCGGTGACAACAAGACTCGCGAGGTGCTCGAGTCGTGCGACTCGCACGAGCAGAAACATCAGCAGAACCACGCCCACCACCGTGCCTTCGGCCACTCCATCGACATCAAGTTCGGCGATGACGACTCCATCCGTAGCCACAGCCACGGACGCCACGACAGTCGCGGCGGCGTGAGCTACCCCACGAAGACGCATCTCGGTGTCGAGATGCAGCGCGTGGTGCCGGGGTTCGCCGGAGACGAGCCGCATGTTGAACGCTTCGATCTGCGCCAGTTCCGCGTCGCGCCGCAGCAGAATCGCCGCTGAGTGAGTGGGTGGTGTACGTGGGCACTGGGAGCGAAGGGTCTGGCGTTGTTGTTTGTGCAAGCTTCTCCTTGAAATGTTACAATGAAATGTCTATCTCTAATTACCTATTACCTTTTCAGGCATTTACTTGACGCTCTTAGTTTAGAAGCGCTGGAGTTTTTTTCTTTTTTTTTTGTTGGTAGTAGAAGATCGGATCTTGTTTCCTCCGGCGCTGGATGCCCTAGAGACGTTTGAGAGGGAGAGAGAGAGCAACTCTGTTCGGGAAGAATAACAGATGGAGTTTGTGCTGAAAAGAGCAACATACCGCTTGATCTATACTCATATCATCACTCCTTGAAAATTTTAATAACTTACGCTTCGAGTACCGCACTGAGACTCAATCATTACCCAGCAACAGAACCCTTCATGAACAGTTCAGCAGCTACCGTGGAAAAGAGAAAGTGATCAAGAAATAGACTAATTTTGATAGTGTATAATGATGTCAGAATTAGAACAACGCCGCTTGACGCCTCCCAATGCCTCTCTTTTTTAGCAGAACAACGGAATGTTCACAAGGGGGAATTCGAAAAAAAAAAAAAGTAAAGGAACAGACGACAAAAAAAAGGTTTCCCATCCTCTGTGGCTTTAAACTTTTTCCCCGCGGTTTCAATCGATCCTTCCTTCCTTCCCTCCATCCGAACCCCGTAATAACGCCACACGTTACGCGAAGGAACTCGACCGCTGCAGTGGTCGTCACATCGTGAAGCCCGTCCGCCATCTGGGACATACCACTTCCTGACTGCTGCTATTTTTCCCCCTGGAAGAACTCAACTTCAACCTTTCTTTACCTTTACTTCCTCGCCGCCCTCCTACTCTTGCCCGGCCGCTTCCTCGCCGCGCTGTTCGCGCCCGCCTTCATCTTCTTGGCCGAGAAGCCCCTGCCGTCGGCGCTGCTCTGCGCGTCATTGCTCTTGGCGAAGCGCTTCTTGCCACCAAAACCGTACTTGGCGTCCTTCTTCGCGCGCTTGTGGTTGGTAGCACCGCCAGCACCGCTGCGGCGGTCGAGCTTATCCTTGCGAGCAGTCTCATGGGCGTCCTCGAGCGCGACGTCGAAGAGGTCGTTTTCGTTTTCGTTTTCGAGGTCGGCGCCCTGGCGTTCTGTTTGTGATGATTAGCTTTCATGGACTCGAGGGTTGTAAACCGAGGGAGGAGAGAGGGGGAGAGAAAGACGTACTCCTCTTCAGCAGGTTGATCTTCTCCATGGTATCCTTCTTTGCCTTGGCCTTCTCCTGCTCCTTTGCGACCTGGACGGCCTTTCCGAACTTCTTGAGGTCACGCTGGCGGCGGGCCTCTTGCGAGGCCTTTTTGCCGGCGGCTTCATCGATAAGCTTCTGCTTGATCTTGCCCATGTGCTCGTCGCTCTTGACCATCTCGGCGAAGTAGTCGTTGGGGCGCGTGAAGGGTACGCCCTCCTTCTTGAGCGCCTTGCGCGCCGCGTTGACGGCGTTCAGCGCCTGCTGGTAGAAGGCCAGCTCGCGGTTGAGGTCGTCGTTGGTATCTTGAATCTCGACAGCGACGTCGGAGGTGACGGACTGGTGGTCGGAGAAGGGTTGCTTCTTCGTCTTCCATTCGATGCGGTGCATGGCGGCGAGCAGGGCGGAGGTGTTGTTGATGGTGAGGCGCTGGTGCGGGACAATGTCGCCCTTGTCTTCCGAGGCGACCGAGTCGAGGTCCGAGAGGGCGATGTCTTCTTCCTCGTCATCCTCTCCGTCGTCGTCGTTGTCGTTCTCTTCAAGCTCTTCATCGCTGGAGTCGGAGTCATCTTCCTCAAGCCTAGCCAAGTCGATCTGCGCAGACAATGTCAGCATTTTTTGCCGCCGTACGTGAGAAACCCCTCGTCGCACCTTCGACGTATCCTCGTCGTCGCTTTCCTCCTCGTCGTCGCTCTCGTCCTTGCTGGCAACGGCCTTGCGGGCCTCGGCGCGGATCTGCTTCTCAGCCTCGTCTCCACCGGAGCCAGAGTCCTCCTGCGGGGGCGCATTCACAGCAACACCGCCCTCAATGCCGTCTTCCTCAGCGCTGCTGCTGCCGTCCTCGGCCTGCTTCTGCTCCTGCTTGCGCTTCTCGGCCTGCTTCTGGAGCTTCTTCTGCTTGTCCTTCTTGTAATCGTAGCCCTTCTCCTTCTGGAGAAGATTGAGCAGTTTGCTGCCGCCCTTCTTGACCATGTTGGCGGTGCGGATCGAAAAGCCGGTGGGGGGACTGGAGCGAGTGGGCGGGAAGTCGAGGGATATCTGCTTTGCTGCAGACTGCTTTGCGCGACTCCGAAATTTTTGGGAACTGCCGCGGCGGCCGGGCTCGAAATCTTGGCGCCCGCGCGCTCACCGCCCGGAGCATGACTGGTCCGTGCGCAGATCGCACTGCCCCCATCAGTCAGCCCTGCGGATCCCACGTGCGCCGTTGCGACGAAACAACAACAACAACAACAACAGCAATTCAGTTCCTCTACTCGTCGCGGAATCGTGCCCTTCTGAAAACGTCCGGATCACAGGTCTTTGAGTTTGCCGACCGACCTCGACTCGCAATCATGTCCGATCGCGATGCGCCAACCTCAAGCTCGGTACGGATGTTCCTTTCCCCCTGCCGTCCGTCCTTGCCTCACGGAATGCCTTCCTCAGCTCAGAGCCCACTACTCTTCAACGCCCCACCATGATGGACTGGGCTAACCACAGCTGCCGCAGCCTGTGAGCACCGAAGGCAGCTCCGCCGAACTCGTGGCCGTCGTCGACGACCTGATCAACCAGCTCTCCTCCAAGTTCACCAACATCTCCAAGGAGCTGCTCGAGAAGAGTGCGTTGTGCCCCCTCAACTTATATCTACGTTTTTCGAACTTCGATCGGAACACCGAGTCATTCCCTTTCCCTCTCCAAGTTTTCTTTCTCTTCCTCATGGACCCCAGCTGCGTCTCCCTATCCCTTCTTCTATCTTAGTGCTTTCGTTATACACTGTCCGATCCTCTCCTGCCACAAACTCGGAACAGCCCTTTCATTTCTCTACCCAATCACATTACATACAAACACACATCTCCTGTGGTCCAACCCACACTTTCTCTCGTATCCCGTCCCCCTCTTAACCAAAGAAGAAAGAAAGAAAGAAAAAAAAGGTAGCCCTTCGAAAGCTGACCGAGGCAAAAATAGTGGACGACATGAGCCGCCGACTCGATGCGCTCGAAACCACCATTCAGACAGGCGCCGAGCCGAAGAGTGACGGTGACTCGGACAAGTGAAGAAATAGCGCCGCCGACGTCGCCTCGATATCTCCTCACCCAACCGATTCGCCCCACCAACCGGCCCACATTCTGTCATCACAGATCATCGCTATACATGCTATTAGCCCAGCGTTATGGATGTGTGGTATTGGAGTGAATCTTCATTACAAGCCCGATTGTCGTCGTTGAAGGGGGCTGTTTTTTATTTTTCCCCTCCCTCTTTGGGTATGTGGGGGAGTTTTTCGTGTAGATAGTTTTATGGCTTCATGAATTTTTTTCTGACTCGTTGATGCTCCTTATGTTCTGACCAAGAACTGCGCGGAAGCCTATGTTGGGTATAGGTGCGGTTGTGATAGATTCTTAAGATTCTGTGGTGCTCAAGCTTTTCTTCAGGTGTGCTTGTTGCGGTGTGTCTTGCGAGAACCGGGTACTTTGTCGTTGGCCAAACTCTTACGCTGTGCAATGGCATGCAAATCCAGCAGAGCAGACTCTCGATACCAACTCTTCGCCAGCTTATTGCAACCTTCTAAGCGGCTTCGACATGCGAACGCTCCTCCACGTCCGAAACGGAAATTTCCTCAAACAACGCACATTCCGTCGATCCCTATGCTCGCGCTGCATCCACGTCCGCAGCGGAAGCCACGGCCGATTGCTGAAACTTTACACCGACTCCGAGACGTCCCAGTTCCTCCGCTGCACAGCATATACGGCGGAGTCAATCAGAAGCGACGGGTCGCTGAGTGCTCAGCTCGCAGACGACCCGAGTAAAAGGCCTCTTTGCGTGGGACTGGAATCAAATATCTCAGGTACGTACCTTCTGCAAACGTGGGAGGGGTAAAGGTGTTTTGTTTGCCTAGAAGTCGGCTCATGCAGTGCTATTTAAGCATGGAAGACAGCTGTGCGAGCGCGCGGACTGTAATCGTCGGTATGGGAATAGTTTCTTTTTTTTCTTTTGAGGGGGAGCGGTGGGGGGTGTGATCAATGATTGGTGAAAACGCGCTAGCCGGATCGGAAAGTCCTTGCCGGCCGCGGAGATGTTCCGGCAATTCGACCGGCTGTCTTCGGGCGGGTCCGAGATGGGGTGGAGTGGCTGTTGAGGCATGGAGGGCATTTGGTATGTAGTGTTTTTGTTTTTTAGTAGCTGATAAGGGTTTGGCGGGGTGGCCGACTGAAAGAGGGTATGTGGGCTGATCCGTCATGGTGGGGGCTCCGCTGCCATATTACGGTAAGGGTCTCGTGGAATGATAGGTGCGGTATGAAAGCGCTAGACTGTGAAGGTTGCATTATGCAGAAGTAAAATGGTAGGAGGCATAAGAAAAAAAAAACTTGATAGTTGGGTTCAATGGCGGCAGGAGAGGCCCGAGATGGAGGACGTAAGGGGAAAAAGTCGAGTTTCTAGAAGCACCGTAGATCACGGCGCCTCTGCTGGTAACTTTTTACGTCATCCCGGCAACCGATGACCTGCAGATTTCCAACCGCCTGGGAGTAAGGAACCCGGAAGGCGGATAGAAGAGCCTCAAACGTCACGCTACGGCAGCAACCCAGCCACGACAGCGGCATGAGGTACCGGGTGTCGGGATCATCAACGGACAGCGTGCGGATTCAGGTCGAAGAATCTGCGGACAGCGATGACATGGAGGAGCGATGGTGCAGGAGTTGGAGTCGAGGGTGGATCCGGATTGGGCATGGGGCGGGATTGGCGGCCCCGCAAACTTCTCGAAGCCACAAGCGAGAAAAAATGCGGAGAGGGTTTCCGTCGGTCTGCATCCGTCTGCTTGTACAGGAGAATATCGGACTTCGGGGCGGCGGTGAAAGCCAGCGATGCACGGTTCCTACAAATTATCGTGTGGCTTGCGGGAGATTCACGATGGTCGTTTGATGGTGTTGATATGGGGCGATGGGTTGACTCGATGAAAATGTGTCACGGCGGCGGGCGAGTTTTACTCGATCGTATCGAGTCAACTGGGGCAATCGGCTTACTTATCCTTATCATCACATGGAACCGGCAACGACCCTTGGCGCCGCAACGTCAGACGTCAGGCAAAGCAGGCACGCGCGACAGCGGCAGAGGGAAATAATGCTGCAGAGCTGCAGAGCTGCTGGATGCAAGGCGCGAGGCGGCGGGCGGCGCGATGCGAGTGGCTAACCGGGTACGGTGCTGCAGCCGTGTGGTAGGGCAGGACAGGACCCCGGGACCCCGGGATTGACGATGGCGCACAACTGTGGGATGTGCAGCCCTGAGCAGCCCTCGGGTCCCGCGCTAGGCCCGCAACGCCCGCATGCGTAGCCATCTCCAGCGACGCCTGCGATAAGGGACAAGATGGGCGCGAGCGCTGCCTGTCAGTCGCCAGCCGCACCCGACCAGCGTCACGCGTAGAAGTCCGCTGTCTCGACCGAGAAAAGGAGGTAGACAACGACTACTAAAGCCAGCGCGCGCCCGGCAGCCCAGCAGCCCGGCACTGGAAAGCCGCGTCAAAGCCTGAGGAAGGAAAATCTCGCGCGCCGCCATCACAAAAAAGGTTGCGGCGATAAGAGCATTTCAACAGCGGGCGCTAGCGGCCCTTGAACCCAAGCAAGATCGACCACCTCCACGGAAGCTCCATGTCACCCACTCGTCGTATCTTCTATAAACTGGCCCGATCCCGCCATGGTACGACCCGCCACCGGCCTGACACTGCTCAGCCCACCAGCCGCTCCAACTCCTCTTCCGCTGCCTCTCTGACCCCGCCGCCTGCTCCCTAGAAAACGACGACCCCGAGCCGGAGCGGCAGCCGCTCCTCCCAGCCTCGTCTAGCAGCGCCTCCCGCCTACGTCAGCCCGCGTCGCCATCCCCGTCGTCGCACCAGTCGCCGCTTCGCTCTCGGCCACCACCCGACGCCGACGACGACATCCAGCCCGCTTCACGCCCGAGCACGCCTGGACTGGCCGCCGCCATGGAGAAGGTCAAGTCCTCGCGCGTCGCCCACTATGCCGGCAAGCTGGCCGTCGACAATGAGCCTGGCCTCACTGCCACCCAGCTCATGCTCACCAACCACGACTTGAAGCCCGTGGAGCCCGAACGCCGCCAGTGGAGGTCGTGGAATTTTGTTGGTTTCTGGGTTGGTACGTGGGACCCTTTCTTGCCCGCCATCAGTCCACGCTGACCCGACCATCAGCCGACTCGTTCAACATCAACACCTGGATGATTGCCTCGTCCACCATCACCAACGGCTGTTCTTGGTGGCAGGCCTGGATCTGCGTCTGGGTGGGCTACGCCATTGCCGCCTGCTTCATCTGCTTGACCGGCCGCATTGGCGCCATGTACCACATTGGTTTCCCCGTCGTCAACAGAGCTTCGTTCGGAATCTGGGGCTCGCTGTGGCCCGTCTTCAACCGCGCCGCCATGGCTTGCGTCTGGTACGGCGTGCAGTCTTGGATCGGCGGCCAGTGTGTGCAGTTGATGATCCGCTCCATCTGGAACAACTGGAGAGATGTAAGTAGTCTCGAGAAGACGCCTCGCTCCCGACACCACTGACCCGACCCACTCCACAGGGCGTCGTTCCCAACGGCATCAAGAGCTCGGGAACCACCACCGTCATGTTCGTCAGCTTCTTCCTCTTCTGGTTCTTCTCCCTCCCGGCCATCTGGTTCCCGGTCCACAAGATCCGCCACCTCTTCACCGTCAAAGCCTACGTCGTCCCGGTCGCCGGCGTCGCCTTCTTCATCTGGTTCGTCGTCAAAGCCGGCGGCGTCGGCCCCATCGTGCACCAGCCCGCAGCCCTCACCGGCAGTGCCCTCGCCTGGGAAATAGTCAAGGGAATCATGTCCTCCATCGCCAACTTCGCTACTTTGATCGTCAACGACCCGGACTTCTCTCGCTTCGCCCGCACCCCCAAGAGCGCTCTCTGGTCACAGCTCATCACCATCCCGCTCGGCTTCGCCATCACCTCCTTCATCGGCATCATCGTGTCTTCCTCGGCCACGGTCATCTACCCCGGCCAAGAAGCCATCTGGAACCCCCTCGACCTCCTCACGCGCGTGCTGGACGAGGAAAACACGTCGGCCAACCGCTTCGGCGTCTTCTGCATCGCGTCGGCCTTCGCCCTCGCCCAGCTCGGCACCAACATCGCGGCCAACTCGGTGTCGGCGGGGACGGACATGACGGCGCTGCTCCCGCGCTGGATCAACATCCGCCGCGGCGGCTACGTGTGCGCCCTCGTCGGCCTGTGCATGTGCCCGTGGAACCTGCTGTCGACCAACAACAACTTCACCACCTACCTGTCGGCCTACTCGGTCTTCCTGTCGTCCATCGCCGGCGTCATGATCGCCGACTACTACCTCGTGCGCCGCGGCTACCTCGACGTCCGCCAGCTGTACTCGGGCCGCAAGACGGGCGCCTACTTCTTCACCGCCGGCTTCCACTGGCGCGGCTACGTCGCCTACATCGCCGGCATCCTCATCAACGTCGTCGGCTTCGCCGGCGCCGTCGGCACCGAGGTCCCCATCGGTGCCACGTACATTTACAACGTGAATTTCTTTGCCGGCTTCATTGTGAGTAGCGTCATGTATTGGGGCTTGTGTCGCGTGTCGCCCATCCCGGCCACGAGTGAGGTGTGGATGGAGGTTGGGGACGAGATTACGGATGTGAGGTTGGCGTATGACGATCGCGTGAGCGATGAGGGTTATGACGAGGAGGTTGTGACGGGGGCCAAGGGTGGAGCGGCGGAGTCGGTGGGTGGTGGTGATGCGGAGCGGCAGGGCGGGAGGTTCAAGATCTGAGGAGAGAGATCTTTTGTTCTTCAATTCTAAGACGTGATCTCGGTCGCTGCTAGTTTTTGTCTTAGATCGGGTGATGATTCGTTTGTTTTTGGTTGGACAGGAAAAAAAAGGTCTGCTTGAGGGAGGGAAGAAGAGGCCGGACGTGATGAGATATGATACCAGAGCAGTGCTCTTCTTCCAGGTGTACAGCGAGAAATGTATGCCTTTCTTTTTTAGGATAGAGAGACAAGCGATGAGCCAACGGCCCTGCTTGAAATCGATCGGAGGTTGTTGTTCGTTTCGTCTTCATACCCTTTTGCCGGTTTGTGATCTGTCATTTATCTGCGTTGTTCAACTCGGCTTCCTGTCCGTCTTCGATGGAATAATGAGGTTTGCTTGAAAGTCTTAACAGCCTGACGCAAATGTATGGGCGTCGACGAGAGGCTGGCTCTGTGATCCAAGCACCTGCACAGCGTTACTGCAGCTGAAAGGCTGGTGTGAAGAATAACAGCGCCTCAAAGTAGGAGATGGCTGTGTTCCTGCGGACGGTAGGATACGTTATATCCATTAGCATATGTTATCTTCAGCAGTCGACAGGCCTCTTGTCAGACAAGAAACATTTGTTCACGCTAGCCTTTCAACTGCAATATTGCCACAGTATCTTTCTCATTGGTCAGCCTTTTCATGCAGCAGCCTTCTGAGGCGAAGTTCATGCAAGCTGCCAAAAGGGTGAGGCCCCATGTTCGGACGTGCGTCTTGCGACCAATCAACGCAAGCCTTCGCGGGGCTGTACCTGTGCAACTGAGCATCTGAGCAAGTGCGCAAGGCTGAACATTAACCCAACATATAATCTCCTGTTCTCCCAATATCCTTCACCTTGGAACTCTGCTCCATCAAGACCAACGCAACTCACGCCCCCAACATTGACCCAACTCACGCCTTTGGCGTCCAAAGCTCCCATGGCTTCCCATCGCGACGCATCTACCACGGAGTCCACGCCACTCTATCCGCCTTCCATTGGCGGGGCAGAGTTGCGCAAACTCACGTACAACTGTATGTCCCCCACCCCCGAAACCGAGACGTTTAAGCTTTGCTAACAGTCTTTCTCAGCTTTCCAAATCTCGTCACGTCTTGGTCTTTTCCAATAAAAGAAGGGCCGATAAGTGGTTATAAGTGTGTCAAGGATGGCTATTACGATGTCTTGTTACTCCATTACGCCGACTTCGACGGACATCACCTCCAAAATAGGAGTCAAGACAGCTTTCACATTCACCATCAGTATCTACCACATTTCAAAGTTCAAGGACTATTAAGACTCAACCATCTGTCACCGCGACGCTAAAAGCACGTGGCAATCTACCACCACGAAAATTCACTTAGATTCGTTTCCTAATAGTTGAATTTCGGTTGCAAAAAGTACTTTTTCATTAGCCGCGGCCTTGCGGAACATCATTCATAAGCATGGATGAAAGAGTGGGCAATTGGTTCATCTGTCCGCACTACAAACATGCAGTGATGATGGGAAGACGGCCGCAAGAGGCCTGTCCTTATGGACGTGTCTCTTTTCCTGACATTTCTAAGCTGAAGTAAGCCAGTCCTTTTGCGGTCTTTCTAAGGCTTAGGCCGTGTACTTAAGAGTTACAGGCGCCACCTAAACGAAAGCAAAAAACACAGCAAAATACAAAAAATAAGTAACTGTAAGCACTGCAAGACCTACTTTACTGACCAAAGCGAGTTACGAGTCCATGAGAGCCGAGGGACCTGTGCGCATGTTCCAGTCTCGAAGGGAGAAGACAAACAAACTAGATTGTATTACCGGCTGTACGCCGTAATCTTTCCCACTTCACCGCTTCCTGCGAGTCCATTTTCCATGGATCGAATGTCCAGAGATCAGCTGCAAGGTCCCGAAGATGGCGCTGCAAGCCCTTCCAGCAGCGCGAACCCTGAGGCCGCTGCCGTCATCTCTACCGACAACATCACAATGTTGCCAACACAATCATCCCCCGCCAGACAGCACCATGCCATCAACCACAACAGCTCGACCGATGGCATACTTTCTCTCCTACCAGTTCATAACTTGGGAGATTCAACCAATCTAGATCCAACCACCTTCTTCGCCCCCGCAATGACCAATCACAGCCCAGACCGAGACAGTTCCCGATTTCTGGATCTGAAGAGCGAGATCCAAGCTCAGCTCAACACCTTCCAAAATGACCTCCTTCTCATCTCAGAGCTCGAAGGACCACCAACCGCTACAAAGAACAGCGTATTGGAAAAGGCCAATGAAAGCCTTAAGCGGCAAATCAATCGATTGCAGAAGATCACGAACAGTATTAGGTCGAAGACTACTGAACCTTCATCAACAAGAGCCACATTATCGGGAGCCACATCATCGGGAGCCACATCATCAGCGACATTGTCATCAACAACATCGTTATCAACGACATTATCGTCCTCATCCTTACCCTCATCTTCCTTTACTACGGACTACACCACTGGAGAAATCAACTCCCTCCACGCTACAGATGCGTTTCTCCCATCAACATCGGTATCAGTAGCGCCTCTTCCCGAGCAAGAAGCTGAATTGGTGGCACCAACTTCTCTCCAACCACGCCGTAAGAAAAGAAGACGAAGCAGCAATGACACCGGTGACCCCCCCGACGCCCAAGGCCCTGCCAATCCCAACCATGGCACGATGATGATACCATATCTCCACTCAGCATGCCCTAACGGCACATCGCGACAAGAAGTCCCACCCATCCCTCTCCCGCCGACATCGCCCTTGTTCCAAGATGATGACATCTTGAACGGTATCGAAGACACGCTACATCCTCTATTCAATTGGCAAGACACGACAGGAACTGCTGACTGCTTTTCGGATAATTTCTACCTTATGGATTTTGATATACAGAAAGAACCAGAAAATATATCAAAAAAGGGGCATGTTTCTTTTCCCTTTACTTGATGAATTCTACTACAAGTTTCAATGCTAGTGTTTCAGTTGGGCAAGCCTATTCTCGTTTCGATTCTCATAGTATCTCGGTTTCTAGAAAATCCAGCAAGAAATGCTACGCTGTGTTCAACATGCAAACGAAGCAACCGATCCATGCTCCGCTCCACCCCCCTTAAATCAGGCATTCAGCAGACTCCGCTACTAGCAAGATCCCACGTCTGCCTTTCAACCAGCGTGAAAGCACCAGCACCCACCCCGTCACCCACTGACTCCCCTACTCACTCCCTCACCCCCAAAACACACAACCTCCCCACTCCAGCCCCAGCCCCAAGCTCATCCCCATCCCCATCCCCACCCACACCCGCCCCAGCCACCGGCACCGGCACCGCACCGACGCCCCACCCCTCCACCCACCCCACCACCAACGTGACCCTCACCCACGCCATCCGCGCCTCCAGTCTCCTCAACCCCTCAACGACGACGCTCACGCCCCCTCCGTCCTCCGCTGCGACCTCCGCGAGCGCGGCGAAAAACCCCGCCACGCTGCCGCACCCGAACAGCTGCGCCCACGCCTCGGGGACGACGACGAGCCGCCCGGCGGCGACGACGCCCGTCTCGTCGATGAGGGGGCCGAGGATGTGGGGGTTGAGTTCTAGTGGGACGGAGGCTTCGGGTTTTGGTTTTTTATTCTGCTTCTCGTGGTGGTGGTGGTGGGCGGGTGGTTGTGGATTTCCGCCGGTGGTGGTGGTGGTGGTTGCATTGCCGTGGGTGCTGCCAGTGCCAGTGCCAGTGCCATTGCCATCGCGGCGTGTAGTGCCATCGCCGTGTGTTGCCGTGCCACGACCGTCGTCGCCGCCAAGGGTAGAAGGAGAAGAAGAATAGAGTTTCCGGGGCGTGGGGGAAGTGGATGAAGGCGAAGAAGAAGAACAACACCACGCGCACCTCCCGACGACTGCGTTCGCAAACACGGCGCCCCCGCACCTCGGACACTTGCCGCACGCCAGCGCGCCGCGTCTGTACAGCGAGACGAGGTTGATCTGCGTCAAGAGGACGCTCATGAATCCGACGATCGTCGGCGGCCCCTTTTTCTTCTCGCGTTCGCCCCCGCCCTCATGCTCTGCACCTCTCTCCTTCTCGTTCTTCTGTCCGATGGCGGTGGTGGTGGTGGTGGACGAGGTACACCCTCGCGCAACCTCATCGATATCGGCAATTCGATACAAAACCCTCTTCTCCGCACTCTCGATCTGCGCGAGCGGCGGAAACGGGAGCGGGAACGATCCCGCTACCGCCGTCGGAGACGACGACGACGAAGAAGAAGAAGACGGCAAGCACGACGCGACCGTACAAGGCGACCCTCTGTTGGCAAGAAGCAGCCGCCGAGCATACCCGCGCAACCACTCCGCATCCCGCAGCGGACAGGGGTCGACTTCGACGAGCGAGGCGGCGGTGAGGGAGAGCCAGATGTGTGTTGGTGACGATGTCGCATCGTCTGACGTGATGAACGACGACGAGCTGCCCGTAGCGCTGGTGGAAGAAGGAGTGGCGTTGGTATTGTTATTGTTGCTCGAGACAACGACGCGGCACCCCAGACGCGTCAGGAGGAGGACAGTGGAATGTGGGATCCACGTCGTTGTGGCGGCGGCAGCGTCCCCCCAGAGGGTGAGTGAGGCGAAGGTGGAGGTGGAGGCGGTGGTGTGATCGAGGAGGTGGATGGTTGTTGTTTCGGTGGGGTGGCCGTCTTTGCGGGTGACTGAGGGAAAGAGAGAAAGGGGCGTCAGCGGAGTCTACATCGTCCCAGACTTTGCTCTGCTGAGGCTGATGATCGATCTTGATGGCCAGAAAGATTATGGAGAGAAAGGGGGGGGGGGACGAGGCTGCATGTATGAAAACGCAACGTACCCTTCTTCCTCGCTCCCACACTTTTTACGCAAACCAACACCTTCACATCCGCCCGCTCGTGCCCACCCTTCGCAAACGCCGCCAGCGTCATAAGTTCTTTGGTGATGTTCATCTGCTGCACCCCGCCATGATCGCCACCACCACTTCCACCAAGCGGGAGAGGCTTGCGGCACCTCATCCGATTCTCCTCCACACCATTCGGATGGATCTGGACATGACAGCCGCGCTCGCGCTCCGGAAAGACGCTTGTATACAGCTGCTGTTTTCTTCCACCGAGCTCGGCGCCGGCGGTGGTATCATAGTGTCCTCCTCCCGCGACGAAGAAGACATGCGTAGTCCAGACAGTGACCAACACGCCCAGATGCAGCGGGTAGCGCGTTTGATTCGAGTGCCAGACGCGGACCTGAAAACATCAACGAAGACTGGAGGGAAAAATCAGTGCCCGAAAACCACTCACTACAGCAACCCCCTCCCCATCTCCCACCGTACACTTCACGCACCCTGCCGCACCCCTCGGCGCTTTGTTTGGATATGTCGCCATATCTGCCGCCGGCGGGCCGCTGTACACGTTCAACACTCTCCCGGTGAAGCACACACCTTCATTCGTCGTGACCGTCGGTCGCAAGTCCCTCAGTGAGACCTCTTTGTATGGGACGCCATGACGTGGGGTGAAAGGGTTGTTGTAAGCAATGAGTGACATTGGTTTCGTGGAATTATTGGTGCCGGTGGCCAATTCGTCGGGGGTGAAGCCGTCGCCGGGGATGAAGGTGGGTGATGCTGCGATGGGTTGATCAGGGGGCATTGGCTTGCCGTGCAGTGCTGCTGTCGTCGCGCGAGAAGAGCTGGCATTGTTGCTGCTGTTGCGGGGTTCTGGTGGTGATTGAGAGGAGAGTTGAGACGTCACGGGTGAGGATAGAGGCGGGAAGTATGACTGGATAGAGGCGGATTGGGATGGCATGGCAGAGTGACGCGAAGGGAGAGAAATCAATGCAGGAAGTGGATTGGGTGAGTGAAGTGAAGTGTGTCAGGGTGGACGGGACGAAACGACGCTAGCGAGAGACACACACTCGTTAGGCAACGTCACAACTATCACACACACAGGAAGCAAAATATCGTGCGCAGAGTAAAAATTTTTTGGCATTGAGATGTGATAAAGGAGCGACTTAAGCAAAGCACGAGATGAACAAAGGAGAAAAGCCCACCATGATCACCGCGTTAAAGCATGATCACGGCCACCCACAGGCATCGGCACACGCTGATGTTGGATGCAGCGCGTAATCTCCTCACCGCACATTGTTCAGAGTCGAGCCAGGACACGACGCTTAGTGAGCGAACAGCTTGTGCTCGAGCGTCATGTCATTCTCAGGCTCGAGACCGACGCAAGCACGGAAAATGTTCATCATGGCGTTGCGCTGTTTGGCCAACGCGTTGACCACCGGCGTGCCCGGGGGTGTGAGCGGAGCCTGGATACCAAGAAGAGTTAGCCACATCAACTTCGCTTCGATCAAGAAAACAAAAGATAGAACAAAAAACTGACCTTTAGCATAAAGCTCAGGATGCTCAGGACGCTGTGGAAGCCGGCATACTCGGTGTCAGCCGTCTTCCACCGGATGCGCGTCATCATCTCGGCCACGAGGACGAGATCGATGATCAACGGACTGGCCAGCAGGGAGTCTTCGCACACGTTGAACATGCTGATGGTCTGGTGTCCGCCCATGAAGATCTCGGCGTAGTACTCGTCCAGAGCGCGCTTGTTGTCACCGACCGCCGGCATGTACTTGATGACAACACAGTGGTCAGGGTGCTCGCCCTCCTCGTACAGGACGTTGTTGGCAGCGACCATGTCGTCGACCACGTTGGACTTGCTGATCTCCTTGCTGCGGAACTGCTTCTGGCTGCTGAGGTTCATGCCGTCGTTGTTGCCGAGGTGGTTGTACGAAGCGATGCTGGTGAGCTTGATGCCGGCGTTGATCATGAAGTCGACGAGAGCAGACTTCATCTTGGTCTGGCCAGACTTGAAATCATCACCACCGATAAACGCGCTGTGCTTCTCGGCAAGCTCAATCGCGCCGGGAACAAACGTGTTCTGAGGCGAGCCGTTGATGAAGGGAACCTGGTCGAGAATGCAAGCCACGGCAAAGACAGTCGAGGGAGAGACCTCCTCGTGGCCATCCTTGATGGCCTGCAGCAGATTGTCGGCCGTGTCATTGATGCCGGGCACAATGTCTGCATAGCGCTCGGTGTTGGCAGTCCACTGAACAATCACCTTGTCAAGACCATTGGCAGCCTTGAAGTCCCGAATGTCCTTGCGGATCTGCTCAACATGCTCCCAACAAGCCTTGGAGCCGGGCAGGACGTTGTCAGCGCGAGCCTCCTGGTTGGCGGCAATGAAGTCCGGGTAGTAGACGCTGGGAAGAGGCTTGATGGTGGCCATCTCCTTGCGCACCATCTGCTTGAGCGTCGGCTCCAAAACGCAGGCGCGGTCCGCCGCATCCGCCAAGTTCATGCCACTGATGTCCCAGCCGCCAACGACGAGATCATTGGGGTGGACCATGGGGAGCAGCTGGTTGAACGGAATGTTGATTTCCTTGCCCGTCCTGGGGTCAGTGCCGAGCTTGACGGTGGAGGCCATGATCATGGAGCCGTAGTAGTTGGCAGCCTGCTGGCCCTCGCGAGTGTCCCAGACGAGGCCGCGCTTGTTGGCGAGGATGCCGGCGGTAACGGTGGTGCCGTTGTTGCCGCCCAGGCCCACGAGCATCATGCCGACCTTGGGCACCTTGCGGTCCACCTTGAAGTCGTACACGGTTTCCTTGGGCGTGGCGACGAACTTTCCATCCTTGATGTCGACTTCGGTAGTGCGGTAGGTGTAGCGGCTCTTGATCTCGGCGTCCGTGTACTTGACATTGGGCGAGTTGACGACAAACGACTCCTTGGGCGTGGCGGTCGACGACCACTTTCCATCCCCCTTCGCATAGCCGACTTCGGCGTGAGGTGCCATGTTCACTGTTTGCTTTGGTTTCCGCTAAAGTGGGTGGTTTAACGGATGTAGGGGCAATCCGACGCTCCTCCAGAGGGGGAAGTACGTCGGCCGGCGAAGGGGTGGTGGACGCTGGGAGAGAGTTAGCGGCGTGTTTACCTGGGCCGTGGACGGGTGCACCTACGAGTTGAGGAGATTGGAGAAAATGGTGACGACTGGGCAATGGCCCGGGGTTCCTGTGGGTTGGTGTTTGGAAAGAGCTTGGGATCACTTGGCTGGCAGAGAAAGGTGGTCGTGGAGCAAGGGAGCGGTCGAGGGCGGGCAGGCAGCGCTTTATAGCACTCACGTCCACCGCCGGTCAGTGGTTCCATCCTGCAGCGCGGGCTAGCGGGGCGCGGTGTTCGGCGCGGGGCAGCAGCCTGCAGCACCCAGCAGCAGCCAGCACCCGATCGGGACCGTGCCTGGTGCTCATCCTAGGGCACGCGGTTGGCGGATGGGGTAAGAGCGAGGAGGATTAATCTACGCGGCGCGTGTCCAAAGTCGCGGTGAAGGTGAATCGAACGGCACGACGCGGGCAGCTCCTGCAGCTCGTCGAATCCGCGAATCCGCTGGCGCCCGGCACCTCGCGCCATGCCCAATCCAATACCTCGGCCCTGCGAAGACAGGGGCCGCCCAGCCGTCCTCAACCACAATCGAAAAAGACGCGGTTGCGCGCGCGCTTGCGAGCAGGAACCCTCCCACGTGCGCTGCATCCATGTGGGGCCCTGTCCTGCTATCGACGTTGATCTTCTGCTGACCGACCATTAATGGAGGAACCACCTGCCCGAGTTGACGCGGGTGCTGCCTGTGGACGCCGCAGCCAACCGGCGTGCTTGGCAACCCTGCGGTGGTCCTGCACCTTCTCACATCCTGTGCCTTGCAGATGTTGCTACGTGTAATAAAGTCACTCAGCTCATCCACGGCTCCGAGATCCGACTGGCGCCCACGGCATGGCATGGTGCATGAGGCCATCACCACCATGCTCATCCATCGCGACACGCCAACTACACACCCAAGGCAACGCATTGTTACTAGAATGTTCGTTGTTCAATTATCCTACAAGCTACGCTGTATCCGCCTTCGCTTCTTCGCCTTATCCCAAAACTTTTCCGTGGCATCCATTCACCCGAAATTCACCTGCAAACAGATAAGACATTAGACCAGCCCTTTCCTCGGCTGCGAGACCCTTTCCTCATTGCACAAGAGGCGCTCCTCTTGTCCTCTCCCTCCAAACTCTCATGGACCAAGAAAAGAAAAACATCATGCAGCCATGGCCAAAACAAAACAAAGAAAACTTGGAAGAGGGTGCATCCAAATATGAGCCCACCCGGATGAAAGGGGTATATCGAGAAGGGTATATAACTCAAATGGAAACCGGAAGATGCGATGCAGTTGGTCGACATGCAAGGAGACGGGGATCTTCAAACGATCGGACTGATGAGCGATAAAGAAAAAGAAAAGATGCGAGCGCCGGAAAATGCAATACATGCAAGAGGTCCGAGAGTCGAGTGAACGATAAGCGAGGGTTTGGCCGTGTGAAGTCCCGAAGAAGGCCCATCGCCTGAGCAGGGAGATTCCAGAAAAGGGTGGGTCTAGAATCTTCACGGAGATGACCAAGAGCCGCCTCGTAAACATACGCTTTGGGCGTGCCCAAGCTTCGCGTCGAAGCAATACTTTGCAAGCCGCCTTCGCGAGGCCCCAAAAATAACCGTGATCAATGCGAGCCCTCTCCATACGGGGTCGCTCACATCATCATCAGCCTAGTCCTCCTCCTTTCGGGATTGCGCCTGGGATCTCCTGGAGCCAGCATGCCGCGCGGACCGCCGCCTGTCTGTCTTGCCGCATGCCACGCGTGGCGCTCGCAGTACACGACTCCCATTACATCGAAGTAGTCGTCCCGCAGGGGCATCCTGCACGTGTCGCATGCGAAACACTGCGGGTGGAACTTTTGCCGCCGCTCAGTCTCCAGATACTGCCCCTCGATGCCGTAGTTGCACCCCCGGCAGAGCGAGCCATTCATCTGGTGGTAGTGGTGTCCGCAGTACGGGTGGTTTTCAATCACGTAAAAGTCGGCCGTCTGGAAGGGGGAGTGGCAAGTCCTGCAGACAAAGCCTGTGCAGACACGGGTTAGCGAAATGAAGACTCCACGACGGAGCTGACATTGAAACTTACATTGCTTGTGCCACCGGCCTGTCAGCCTTCCGTCCGCCGCTTTGACGCTCTTTCCGACAATGACTTCACCACAGCCTCTGCAGTTCCCCTTACCCGCTGTGCCGGGTCGCCTTCCTGACGACCCCGTCCTCGTATGTTGAAGAGGCCTGATTGGCGCCTCTTCCTCGGTAGGGGTAGGAGGCATAGGAGGCTTCTCCTCATCCCGGACAACGGATTGGATCTCGGGCAGCGCCGATGAGTCCGAAGGCCGGCTCGGTGTGAACATGCCACGCTGAATCGCAGGATCCATCGGCGACTCCGGTGCATCAGGAATGGCACGAAGCTGGGGAGGGTCCAAAGGCAAGCTTTCTGGTGCGTTTTGCCGGCTCATGCTCGTGCTCGGCGTCTTCCCGTGTGCCTCAGGAGGAGGTCCGCTGGAAGTTCCCGGGCGCGGGGCTGCAGGAGTCTGGTCAAAGGGTCTGTACGGCTTGAAGGGCTCGTTGATAGGACTGGCTCCTGCTGAGGTTGGCGGAGTAGAGCGGCTGCTGCGGTAATCATAGCCCGAGGAGGCTTCGGACGAGCCAGAATCGGAGGGCGCGTGCGAAGTTCCACGAGGACGAACCTCCAGTCGTGGTGGCTGAGGAACAGGCGGTTTGGGACCAAGATCCAAATCCTTGAGACTGATATTGCGGCTTGATGTCCTGCGGGGATATCTTTTGGCGTTTTCGTCTGCAACTGATGGCTTCCTTCCATGCGGATTAGGCTCAGAAGTTGGCTTTGCCGGACTAGACGGGCGTGCGTTGTCCGGAGAATCCCACCATTCTGGCGTCTCCTCCGTCGATGAATGCGAGATGTTTCGTGCAAGAGACTTCGGGGGAGGAGGCGGGACTTTCTCCGAAGGCCTCCTCGGAAGTGAGATGGCAGCCTTGTTGGCGTTGCCCGTGCTGTCTTTCTGGATCGGAACAATCTGCGAGCGCATACTCATCAGCCCAGCCAATGAAGGCTGATTGGCTTCTCCTTGTAATTTTTCCAAGAATGCGTCCACAGTCTCATTGGGCCGCGCAGGCCGCGGGGGCGGGGCGCGCTTTCCACCAGTTTCAGCTGGCGCGGGCAATCCATTGGAGCGCATGGACGAGCGAGACCTCTCTGTACTGGCTACCGACGGCTGGCGTTCATGACCCATAACATTGCTCCCACGGCTCGAGGTCCGCGACTTTGACCTGCTCCTCAAACTGCTCAATGTAGGAGTCCTCTTGTGCGACGAGTTGGGTCTGGCTTCCTCGGCCGTCTCTGGTCTCAATGACGTCTTTCTTTCCCTCACGTTGAATGGACCAGATGCAAGCGTGTTCAGGCGGGAGAAGACATTGTCACTGGCATTGGGCCGCGGGCTGAGAGGGGCGAAATTCGGGTCGGATTCAGGGTAGTCATGGGTTGGTGTGAGTTGCCTCTTGATGGGATCCGGGGAGTTCGCGCGGTCGATGGTGGATTGATCTGGAGAAGTGGGACTGTAAGCTCGCGGTTCTAGGCCAGGTTGGGTCCGGAAGGCTGTTGACGACATAAGGAAAGCTGGCGACGGACTTCTAGAGCTTGGGTTGCTGTTTGGGGTCAAGGGGTCTTGCGTGGCCTGGGCGCGTCCGACGAAGGGCTTGTCTTCAGACACGGTCAGCTCCAGCTATCGATCAGAGGGATCTGGGACTACTCACTGGCGACACTGGAGTCTATGCTGGGCGGTGGTCCCGAGCGACCGGGCTTGAGATGTGCGGTTGAAGAGCGAATGCTGCTGGCGGCGCGATCGAAAAAGTTCTTGGTGGCCTTGGGCGGGGCCATAAGCTCCGGCTCGGCGACTGGGGCGCAGACATGGTCGGCCATCTTCGAGATCTCAATCTCGACGCTGCAGTCTGAGCATTTGATCGATGGCAGAATGCTTATGGGTCTCGCTGTGTCCGCCATGGTGGATGATCCTTGCGGCACTCAAGGAAACCCTGGTTGGGAGTGGTGCGGCCGGTGAGGGCTAGGCAAGGTGTTGCGCAGACAGGAGGACGGGACTGGGAGGCGGGAGCATGAACGCGTTTTGGAGCGGCGTCCAGCCTTATGGGGCACTGCACTCTGTGCGCAGAGGACGCAGAGGTCAATACTTGGGGCGACCTGCTGGATCGAGCGGCAGGTGGCAGAGGCTAGCACGGATTGAGGGCGGTGGCAGGTCTGGCAGGGAAGGAACGGGCGTGGATGGCCGGGTGGTGAAATGACACACGAAGCACCCCTGCTGGCGCGGTGCGTGAGACAGAACGAGCGGTGGAGCGTAAGAGAGCGTGTGTCGGCGGCGCCAGGCGCGCGCGCGAAGCAGGATTTTCGAAACGAGAGGCAGCGCGTTGCTTGCGCTGAGGGCGGTTATGCTGGAGGCCGGCAGCTGCGTCGACGCCGTGTGCGGGCGCCTCGCAGTTAACAGGAAGCATGCAGCTCGCGGGCGCTTCTGGGCTGGCAGCCGGGCGCGCTGAGCAGCCGGCTGCACAGCTCGCGCAGCTGCACGCTCATTTGCTGGCCGAGGGCTGATCCTTGGGCGCTCTGGCCCGGGGCGGCCGTGGTGTCCTGTGCGGCCGTTGTTGAGGCTGCCGCAGGCGCAGAGCTCGAGCATTGCCTGTCGCAAGCGCGCCGCGGCAACCTCGCATCAACCCACTGAAACCGTGCTGCACCGCGCTGCACCGCGCTGCGCCGCGCCCCCCGCCCTCATGCGCCCAACTCGCGAGGCCGCGAGACGGCCGCCATGGGCCAGCGGCTCTGCGGGCGGCGCGGAATGCTGGACCCTTTGCTGAAGGGTCGCAGGAGCCGGGCGCGCAGCGGGCCGCGGTCAGCAGTCAGGTCCAGAGAGGCAGGCAGCGCTAGGCGATAACTAGGGCGGGCCCCGCGGCCAAGATGTGTAGTGCATCGCGATCAGCAGCGCAGTGTGCGCCCCTGATCGGCCTCTGCTGATGTTCATTTACGGAGCCGGGGCCGTCATGTGCCGGGGTCTCTGACCCTCGCCTGCCCGAAAGCGCTCGTCCTGACTCGCGCCTTTCCGTTGCTGTTCGCGAAACGCCAGCACGCCAGCGTGCCGTTGCCAGATCGGGCTCTGCTGCACGTCAGCCGCGTACCTGCAGCCAGCCCTCGCCGGCCCTCGCCAGCCCTCGCCAGCCCGGCTTCGATTCGAACATTCCAACCGCCGGTGCGACCAGCCGCAACCGCCCACGCCGACCGCGGCAAGCAGCCGGGCGGCAACGATCGTCGCATCGGCGATGTCGCGCCTCACTCTGCATGCCGTGTCATCACACCGCTCGCCGGCTGGGAGCTCACTGTGGGGTAGCCTGCTCATGGAGCACTCTCCGCGATACAACCGCGCGCGATAAATCAGGGTCTGAGGGGGCTCTCAACCCATTTACGTAAGATCTGCTGGCCCTGCTCCGCCCCGTCACGGGCCCTCTATCGCGCTCGGCTGCGGGAGATCACCAAAAGCACACAGCGAAGACATGCACATCTCCATTTCCAGTGTGGCGACGATGACGCGCACCACCTCTCTCCGCATCTCCAGTTTCTCGCGCCAGCCTGCCCTGACTGCAAAGACGCCGTCACGCGCGTTGCGGTCGCGACGGTGCGCGCTGCGATCCGGCCAACCGCCACGTTTTTCGATTGCCGGCAGGGCTGAGACACATCTCCACCAATACAGCCACTCCTCAGCTTTGCATTGCGTCAATCCGCGTTTCTGCACCACGCGACATCAAACACCTGTCTGACCACGTTGCGGCCGGCCTAGCATCGTCGCCCGGTCCCCAGCCTGGCCCTGAGGTCTTCCGTCTCGAATCCGCGAGCTTCTAGCGGCCAGCCACGACCGAGCTGATCCGCCGCGGCAGCCGTCTCGCAACCTTTCCACTCACTCGGGCCTGTCCCGAATCCTTTGGAACGCCTCCGGTCCTTTCTAGAAGAAACAAGCCTCGCGTAGCCATCCTTAGCAGCCACCATCTCACCACCATCCCTTTTCCTCCCTGTCACCGGGTCGACGCTGGCCATGTAAAAGGGGCCGCGAGCGCGTGTTGCCATGGCATTTGCCTTGATTCCGCCGCTTTCACCAAATGACCATCGGACTTACTCGACCCCAGGAACGGCCTCCAACGGTACAGCTTCTTTGGAAATTGGCCTATCCGTTTTCCAAATACCGTGCTCATCTTTATCTGCAGCCCACGAGACACCGGCGTCATAGGTGGGATACATGTGTTTGATGCCCTCACCCTCTTTTTGATTTCGATTCCCTCTCTGCCATCCTTTCATCTCGACCAAATGAAAGTCGTTGCTGCTGGTTGCTTTGCTGAACTATTCGCCGTCAGGAGTCCGTCTCCCTCCACCCTTCCTCCACGGACGGAATTCTCCAGTCGCCGGTGATTGCTGGTCCGTTGCCTGGCACGCGACATTATGGCTTGAAGTCATCCAATACCACCGCCTAATTATCGGGATCTACCTACCTGGACGCTGCCAGGCAGGTATCCCGTCTTCCTTTTTCCGACCCGGTGGTCAGAGTGTCTCCGGCCCGCACTCTCTGTTTCACAATCTCGCTGCACCCCACCTCTTCATCTGCCTCGTTGCCATCGCGATGGGATCGAGCGTCTAATGCCATGTCCGTCATGCGCGCTTTCTTCATGGGCATTCCAAACGGGCGAATGCTCCGAGTGCCAAGCCTACACGGCTCCATAGTGCGAGTCGTAAAGCGAGTGCGGCTGGGGCTTATCGGCTTGCGCGTTGTGCACCTCAGGCCTCCAATAAGGGACGCCTCTCGCGGCTACGTCCGTTCTCGCTTGCGCCTGCTCCCGCTGCTTGAGTTTGCGGTGTGATGGTTCGGTGGTCCCTCGAGTGAACGGGGCCCATGACGCAACCCTTGGCCTCCGGATTTCCCGCGCAGTGGTCGCCCTGCTCTCTCCATCGTAACTCCCCACTGCGTCGTACTCGGTAGTCCAGCTTCTCCCTCTCCTTAGCTTCGCTCTTATCTATCTCCAACATCGCTTGCGCCTTTCGCTTAGGTTTCTTCATACCCATTTCTATAATTTCCAGCGATCTCTCCGGATCCTTGCATTCTTCACACCTAATCCTGGAGATGTCACAGTAGACCGGGATGAAAGACGGAGACTGATATTCTTAATATGCGTAAGGCTAACGTCTAATCAAAGTCGCCGGGGCAAGGGCCCCCGGCTCCGGATCTCGGAGCCGACGCGACTGCCGATCCACGACGAAACACTCTACCCTGTCCCGAAACGGGTTTCACCCAACCTACCGCTATCTATATTGTTTTTCTACGTACCTTTTGTCCACCTACCCGTACAGCCACATAGTCCAACGCGTCATCATTGATGCAGCCAGCCATGGCTGCCTTAGCTATGAAGCCAGGATTCCATGACAAACGCCACGGTGATTCAGTTGGGAAACATCAGGACTACTCTACCCAACATCATTGGTAGCTCTCGGGTTTCAATTTCATATCAAACCGTCAGGTGGACTTCGACTACTAGTAATGGTAAACGCTCAGCCTCTGCTTTGACCAATTTGACCGAGTATCTGATTGGCTGGTCGATAAATTGCGTTGAGATCTCTCACACCACCCACTACCCACTCATGCGCCGTATGATCAGAACTCGTGATCTTTGTCCTGGCTGCCTCATGTTCTTTTGCTCAGGCAACTCACTTCCAAAATTTCTTCAGCAATGATGCCCTCCCACTGGCTGTTCGTTTCATGTTCGGACGTGAAGGAGATGAAGCAAAAAATAGCTCACCGTGATGTCGTCAGCAAAGCTACTAACTATAGACGCAATGACCCTCTCTCTTCCCTAACGATAGCTCCACTCCATCCATCCCTTACACAGTATTCAGCCCGCCACACACAGACCGCCCCACCGTGCTGAAGAATGCCCACGCCAAGAAAACATGGCTTCTCCTCCCAGCCGGTGGACCCGGACACCAAAGAAAACGCCACAAACACAGCACAGACCGCATCGCTAATCTATGGAAGCCTTCTCGTAAAAATAAATTTCTTGCGCAATATGCTCTGGTGGATACCTATCTAGCTCTTGCCTCCCACCCACTGCACATTTTCCCGCGTCTACGGCCCGGAACCGGTCTTATCCGGGGCAGTCAATTCGCTTCAGCATCATCCCTCGGCGCTTCCACGCTACCGAGGCCGAGAGAGAGAGAGATAAAAGAACGCACAGGTGTCTTCACGTCCTCGGCTCGGCAACGGGCGCATGTGGTAAACAGTTTTACTACGCAGTAGGTCCGGAGCGGGTGGGATGCACGGAGGGTGAATCCATGCGCATTTTCCACTAGGTAGTTAGCTCTCGTTGCTCCTTTTCTGCACAGACTGTTTTCCATTTTGACGGCGTCCTCAGCCACGCCGGCCGAGAAGGGGGCAAAATAGAAAAAGCAAAAATAAAAGGTACGAGACAAGCACTCGCTGCTGTCTCTTATTCTCAATACACCACCAACCCAGTTCGCCATGTTCGTGAGTCGTGACATAGCGGAGATATTTTGCCATCCAAGTGATCTTCGCCCAAGTATCAGAGCGTTCTGTTCCACCTCGCGGGATGGGTGCGTTGATGCGCTCAGGCTCATGTTGCTGTCTCATTGGCTCCGGAGAGGACGGACAGTTGATGTGTTGCTCATGGCTATTCACACCACGTCATACGTCACCGTTTGATTGTTGTTGATACAAAAATCTGGCTGGACATGGGAAGGCGCTGGCGTAATTGAAATCCACGTCACTTCGAAGGTGAAGCAGCTAGTACAGTGAATTAGTTTTGAGCTGCTCTGCTCGCCAAAGGAGCATGGCTGCACTCCGTAAGGAAGAAGACGGCAATGACTCTACCACCTGGGTTAAGAGCGACAATTTTCTCCCTCAGAGCTCCAGACATGCTGAGGCTTCCAACGGAAAAAAAAAAGTTCCACGATAGCAGATACTGCAGCACCTAACGGGTCGTGGAAGCTAACCCCGCCAGGACCAGTTTTTTTCGGGGCTGGTACCCCGGGATCCGTTTCCTCGAGAAGAGCGAGACATGCCGGATACCTGGCCTCGGTTTTTTTTGCGGAGGTAGTTCTCCTCCATAAGCCGGAGCCGGCTAAAAGAAAAGGCCATGTTAACGGACAGGTTTACCACCGGATTTTTCCTGAGGTTTACTCCTCATCCTCCTCTTGCCGCCCTTCCCCTCCACAAACTTTGTTTCTCTGGCCCTCGGGTCCATTCTTTCTGGCCACTCCACTCCATTCTTCCTCTCTCCGCACACACTTTCCTCTCTCTTCCTCTGTCCGTTCTTTCCGACCACTCCTTTCCCCTCTCCAAGTCGGTGAAGTCACACTCCAGGCCCAAGTCCAAGTCCAAGTGAAGTCCGTGTCCAGGTGAGATCAGGATCCAGGTAAGTCCGCGTCCAGGTGAGGTCAGGATCCAGGTGAGGTGAGGCCCAAGTCAAGTGAGGTGAAGGTCGTCATCCAGGTAAGGTGAGCTGTAGAACAGGTCAGCAAACATGTCATGTGAACAGAGATTGAAAGAAAATGAAGATTAAAATAAGAGAGGGATAAAATAAAAGAGAAATGAAATAATAGAGGAAAGTGAAAGAAGAGAGTAGGCTAAAGCAAGGAGCAGTAAGTACGATGAACTCACAGAGTTTGCAGTCGGTCGGGTCGGTTGGGGTGTGCCGGAACTCGAGGTCCAAATGGGTTGAGGTTGGATTGAAAGAAAAGTAGAGGGGATGGGCGAGCAGAAATATATAGATGATTTTTTCGCTTATTAAGTGTGAGTCAGCTGCCAGCATGCCCTGGGTGGGCGCGACTGCCGTATCTGGTCACTCTGTGTGTGCTGCGTGGTTGCCGGGTAACGGGTCACCTACGTCATTTCTTGTTTATCACCCACTGAGCTCGCCATACCGCCGGATTGAAGAGACTGCGGTTGGATCCATTAGTTTGTGATACTTGAGAGGCTGGAGCAGGGGTCCAACTACGGATATCATTCACTGTTCAAGTAGAAACGCCCCGACCGTAGATTCATCCCATAATCTGATCCCTAGTATGTTTCGTGATAGACTAACACCTTTTTCACACGCTACCAAGGGAGCGGATTAACATCTTCGACCAAGGTTATGTTTTCGAATGCTGACCATGAGCCAATCCCGAATGGAAATCCGGATCAGCATCCGGCTGTGCTCCTATAAGCAGGCCGAAGCTAAGCTAAAAAGAAAAAGAGTTTTTTACGCTTTTCTTGCCTATAACGCGTCTCGAGGCATCCGCTGGCGTGAAATTAGGCGATGTTCCACCCAAATAAGACGTAGAGGAACCAGCGGATTCGAGCAGCGGTAGTAACCGCGCCATTCGCCGCCACCTGTGCGGTACGATTCCGTTATGAAGCGATCCCAGTTAGTTGCCGCTACCAAACAAGGCGATCTCGACGTTCACCGGTTGCGCTCTGAAATTAGTGCGGGAAAAGCGGCCGTGGCGGCAGCGCCAGCAACCACCCGACATGGATAGCAATCACCATAAGACGTCTGTCCAGTAGATGCTATACGCGCACACCGTTCCACCTCATCTAGCTGTATAGCAGAGCCATCATGGCTATGGTCTTTGCGTTTGCGTTGAAACCCAAGTTCGGCTCTACGCTCTCTCAAGTGGTATTTTTGACGGAAAGAACCGCCTTAGCAGTAACGATTCCATTTTCCCAGACCAGAGCAGATCATCGTTTTCGCTTCGCTGCTACACTCACTTTGTGGGAGCGCAAGTGAGCTCGCGATCTTGTTATGAAGCGGCTGCGACCGACTGACTTCACCTCACGGCTACGCACGATCAAACCCACATGCACGTTCCGCTCAGCGCTCGACGTTTCCATGGCGCTACCGATTTGCGACCGAGCAGGTTCTGGTGCTATGGCCTTTTTGTAAAGTATTGGTGCCAAGAGAGAGCTTGAATGGAACTAATAACTGGGCCCCAAATACAGGTGAGTGGCCACTACATACAATTGTAGTCGTCTTTGTATTGATCTATTGATCGAACTCTATCATGACACAGGCACTCTAAGTACTATGAAGGCCATACATTCAATACAATGGCGGTGAGAGAAAGTGAAAAAAGAGGACGACTGCCAATTCATGGCGGGATATTACTTGGAAACGCTCATGTGCAAAACATCGAAAGAAAAATTGACGTAGCTCTAATAAATCTTCTTCTTCGTCCACTTGTCACCCATGACGGTGGCGACGCCCTGGTCGGCAAAAAAGGTCTTGCCCTTTATCATGTGGCCGATGTAGCTTGGCAGCCAGTAATCGAAAATGACACCAACCGCTCTCTTCCTGCCAACAGGCACCAGCATACTCTGCGACTTCTGGCCGGTGTATGTAGGTTGTGCCTTGGACTCTCCGCCGGTCAGGTCGTGCTCAATGACGGCGGCGAGCGGTTGAATGGCGGACTGAATGTCCATGATGCCGCCGGAAGAATACGAAGCGATATCACCAACAGCGTAGATACGTGCACCCGAGCCGGCAGCCTTGACTCTCTGGGTGTCATCGACGGCGACGGCGCCGCGCTCATTTAGCCAAGAAGGGGGCAAGTAGCTGTTGTTGAGCTTGGTGCCGCGGGCGTCGATGAAGAGGTCCGCGGTGATCTTGGAGCCGTCGCTCAAATGCAGAACTTCGTTGCCGTCCGCACCGGGGCCATTGGAGAGGATCTTGGTGTTGTGGACGACGGTGACGTCCGTTTCGTTCAGGTACTCCTCAGCGCGCTTGCCAACATCGGCCCTCAGGCGGGAGAGAAGGCGGGTTGTGCCGGAGTAGAGGACGATGTCCTTCTGCTTGCCATGGTCGAAACCGAGCTCGCCAGCGGTTTCGACACCAACGGCGCCACCGCCGGCAATGATGACTCTCTGGGCGGTCTTGAGCTTTTCGCGGAACTCGGTGAGGGCGGCCTCGGTCGCCTCCTTGGGTGTAGCGGGGCTCCACAGCGCAGAAGTGGACGAGGCACCGGTGGCAATGACCAGGGTATCGTAGTGAATAGTGGAGGAGGTCTTGTCGGCATTGGCAAGTTCAAGGGTGATGTCACGGGTTTCGGGGTTGATCTGACGTGCGTAGGCCTGGACAAGCTCGAACTGGTGGTAGTCGGAGAAGCCCCGGCTGATGGGGATCATGAGGGTGTCGAACGAGATGAGATCCTCGCGCGAAGTCATGCGGGGAGAAGCAGGCTTGAAGTAGAAGTGGTCCGAGGGGTTGACGAGGATGAGCTTGTAGTCGTCGGAGTTTGGCAGGTGGGGGATGACATGGCGGAGGAGGTTGTGGGCGACGCCGAGGCCTGCGAAAGAGCCGCCGAGGACGACGATGTTGTGGGTCGGCATGGTGTTGAGCGGCTTTGTTGTTGCGGTGGGAGATGTGTGCTTGCGGGGTTGACACTCCGATCAGGTCCCGGCCAGGAGTATTTGAAGGGCGCCATGACCGGCCGGGGACGCTGGGCCGTGAGGCGAGACGGTCAGCCAAGTCGACGACGTCTTAGAAATCAGACGGTGACTGCCACCCAAAGTTCGGCCGCAGGCAGGCACATTACCCGGTCGAGAGTAGCGTCGGAACAAACGAGGCCTAGCGTCGGGAAGTCTATGCGCCGCTTCTTTGTCAGCAAGGGCGCTATCCCCTCTACGGTCGGCCTTCGCGCTTTCCGGGCCGCGCCTCTCTAGTCTTCCATCCGCAGAAAGGAAGAGGTGGAAGCAAGGAGTCCGCACGTGAGCCCGGCCCCCCGACTCCAACTCCGGCTGCCCACTGCTCTGCCCACTGCATGGCCTTTCTTTCCGGCGCCAACCGGCCACATGCGCCCGCTCCGTCGCTCCAGTCCTGTGCCAGCACTGACGCGCGCGCCACACCCGCTGCTTTCCGCCATCACAGACATCATGGCTTCAGGCCCGTAACCAGCCTCAATCATGGACTCCCTCCCCTCCGGTCCCCTTCCGCCCGACCTCAATCCGCGTCCCAAGAAGAAGCGGCGGCCCGCCCTCAGCTGCGTCACGTGTCGTGACCGCAAGCTCAAGTGCGACAAGGAGCGCCCGCGCTGTGGCCGCTGCGTGCAGACCAGCCCGGATCAGCCGTGCATCTATCTGGAGACGCACTCGCGCGCCGCCTCTCAGGCATACCAGCAGCGCGTCGCCCCGGACGAGTCGCAGCCCTCAGCCTATAACCACTCCGCTCCTGCTCGGTCTATTCGGCAATTCGACGAACTCCCGCGATCAACCCGAAGCCCCCTCGGCGCCACGCGCTCCTTGCTCCCCGCAAATGGCTCCCCTCGCATCGGCACGCCCCCAGACCTGGAGTCGCGCTTGGCCCGCCTCGAGAAGATTCTAGTCCAGGCCGTCAACCAGAGTGTTATCCCCAACCCATATGACGACTCTCCCGCCACCTCTCCTGCCCAGGACCCTGCTCCGAATGACCCTGCTCCGAATGACCCTGCGCCCATCATCCCGGAGCTACCGCCTGCCCACCGCCTCGACGACGAAGATGCCGTCGTCTATCCTGGAAGCTATCGCGGCTACGGCCTAACCCATCCCGCCATGCTCGTGTGCAAGGTTGCGCCCATGTCCTGCTCCTCAAGTCCAAGGCTGACTGTCGCCAGTTCACCGAGATGCCCTCCTTCATGGCACGCATCAGATTCGAGCACCCGGAGAGGATGATCAAGCTTAAGCGACGGATTGAAATGTGGAGAGCCTCAAACATGGATTCACGTGACATCTGGAACGACGCTTGCGGCTTCGCTTCCGTCATTGCCAGCCTGCCTCCCAAAGAATCCCTAGACTGGCTCGTCTTCGCCTACTTCGACTCGTTCGAGCTCGAGTATCCTATTCTGGATGAACAGAAGTTCATCAATGCCTACGAAGCCGCTTGGGACGGCTCGCGTTTCTCACCCACACCTCATCTGCTCATGACCCTCCTTCTGATCATTGCCACGACCGTGAACATCTACACCAGCCAGCTGGTCGAGCCTTCTCCCATCCTTGAGAACGCCAAGACTGGTGTTCGACGCTACATCCACCTGAGCGAGCGCTGGCTGCTGTCACGCGGAACCCAAGTGCCGGATCTGGATGCTGTGAGATTGGGCTGCTTATTGGTGCTTGCCAAAAGATACAATGGCTTCGCCCGTGATCAGATATGGACCACCGCTGGCACACTGGTTCGCATCTCCATGCTTGCCGGCCTCCATGCCCAGGCATGGCGTCCAGGACCCGAACAAGAGTTGTGCAGAAGTCTTTGGACCACTATTCTCGAGCTGGACCTGCTCACTGCGGTAGATAGCGGAATGGTGCCCGCCATTCCCGTGTCCGAGTACTCCCGCCTGGCAAATGCTGCCGATAATCGATATACACAAAGCGGTGTGCACATGTCTATCGCACCCCCTCACTCAGAAATGGCTCGGTCACTGGGCCTGAGAGTAGAGATCTGCTGCATGCTCAACTCGAATTCTCCCGAGATCACGGGGCAACGAACTGCGGAGCAAGAAAGACAACTGAAACAGCATCTCTCATCCATCGTAGCTTTGCCACAGGATGCCGTTGGGACTTCATCATCTTCAGACCGGCACGCCCACTGGGTAGAACTGTCACGGGCGAAACTGCGGAAATATCTCCTTATGATCTACTTGCCCTTCGCACTGCAGGGCCCGTTGCAGCAGCAATTCCCGCATTACAAAAAGGCCTGCGCCGAGGTTGCCATAGACATTTTGAGCGAACACAGTGCCCTGCTTGAACAGGGTAATCTATCCGTGTGCCTCAAGGTCGACGATGTGTTTCAAGCTGCGCTGACTGTGTGCAATGAAATCAACCAGCCGATAAAGCCAGGTAAAGCTCTCCGCCTTTACCGCTACCACCCTAAGGCTAACAAACACAGGCGTTCCCGCCTTGAGCCAACTACCTGGTTACGTTGCGCTCATCAAGCCGTTACTCAAGTCTGCTCTCAAAGTCCTAACCCAAAGGCTACTATATGTCGGTCAATGGCACACTGAATATCTCCTGCTTTGCCTTGCAATTGGCCTCGTCAAGTCAAAGACGTGGCCACACAACGTTTCCGAGTACGCAAGGGATGTCGTCAATCAGGTCGAAGAGTCATGCACCTTCATCACAACTCCCAAGACGCCCTCGGTGCACTCTCCAGAAAACAATCAGGTATGCCAAAAGCTTCTTTTTGGTAGTTGAAATACGTTCCTGCTGACTCAATTAGATTCACGGAAGACAGCAATCTTTGGCAACGCCGGCCCACTCCACGCCACATGTGAGCCATCCTGAAACGACGCCGCTCGATACTTCTGCTGCTACCGACAGAGACCTATTCGTAAGCCTCCGTCCTGCTTCCCGGGTCTATGTGTCTGTACTTTTCATGCTAATGGCCGCAACAGACGGGTCTTGACACGGTATCAGATAGCTTCCAAGACATTATTGAATTCCTTGGATTGGCGAACCCTCTGGATCCAAATGACCCCTACACCAACGTCGTGCCTTTTTAGTCTGAGTGTCGCAATCTGCGTCAGTCTTATCCAAGTATTTTGTGAGATTTCTGGACTGGAGTCGTTGGCTGGAAAACATGTATCATACTACGAATCTTCTTGTTCATAAGCCTTGGGAAGTACATCTCGTCCCTGCCCACTCAAATCACGTATGACGCTCTTCTTGAATTCAAGATGCAACAAATTCGGATGACTCAAGTTCGGATTACAAATGCTGTCAATCGAAGCCTCTCACGCCCACAGACTCGCGTATTTTGCAGGTTACTTTCGCATACATATATAGTTACCGCGGGAGCGCGTACCCCACAATATGTTCCTTGGGACGATATTGGGCTCGGATCATTTAGGGGGTTCGGGCATCACCCTAGGTAACGCACTAGAGCAACCGGTCTCCACGACGATTGGCCTTGCGCACTTAATCGATGCAACGCTCTCCTAAAGCGTTGAACGCGCCAGAGCGTAACCTGCCCGATGGGTGCTCAACGACGCTTCTTCCTCTTCTCGCACGACGTGAAACATGCAGCAGTGTCCGGAAGTTTGGGGCAACTGCCGAGCCCGTGCAGTCGTATGTACATACGACGAGTGTCAGATCGCGCTGCGGCGACAGCAGTTTTCCGGCAACAACACCACCCCGCAAGAGGAGGACGTCAAAGACGCCTCCTCTCCTTCCTCCTCTTCCTCCTCCTCCCCCGCAGGGAACAGCAGCAGCAAGAACAACGACACGCCCTTCGACACGCCCAACGCCCAACGCCCCCGACTCCAACATCGCCCCGCCGGGTCCGAGACACCACCACCGCCCATCACTCTCGCCGCCATCCTGTACTACCACCCTGCTGCGCAAACCCGCGCACTGCTGCTGCTGCGCCGCCTCCCGCGCCGTTCATGGACCGGGCGCCCCGATTCGCGCACGCCGAGGCGCGCAACCATGTCCCGTATTGCAGGCGAGGGGAGCAGGGGTCAACGATCCCGAGTTCGGTCGTGGGAAGATTCCGATCATCTGTTGCTGAGACGTCTGAAATAGTAAGCGCAACTTGATAGCTTTCCAGGTCTGAGGGGCCTTTTTTTTTTCTCATCAAAATCAAATTAAGACACTGCATGCTATTTGATTCTTGAAGCAGAGTCAAGACGTGACAAAAGTGAAAGGCAAAGGAAAAAGAACTGGGAAGTTCGCAATTTTTCTACCCCCATTGATCCGAAGAACGCCTAGAGCCGGTCTCTATTCATACTCACCCAAATCTTCGACATTGCCCGGTGGCCAAGAGATTGCGGTTAAACGAGAAGCACGCTTGGTAGACGGTTAGCTTTCGTCAGGTGCTAAGGAATGGGTGTCTCTCTACTTACGCATTCAGACAGCCATCATTTTCAGGATTATCTACTGGAGTCAGCTTGATTCTTTGAGAGTAGCGGTTGACTTACTTGTGATTTGCGCCCACCTGCCCCAGACGACCTTTCCGGTCGTCGTGGTGAGACCCAAGTCACTCACGTTGACCTCGATGACAGTACCCCTGGTGAGAACACCGAGCTGCGTGTAAAGCGGGTTCTGGGGGTTCTTCTTGACACTAATGATGGGAAGCTGAACGGTGACGCCAAGCTCGGGGTGCGTGACATTCGCCTTCTTATAACTTCTCGTAGGTCAGCTGCCAGTCGCCTGTTTCGAAAGAAAGGCGAAACGTACCGGAGACCCATGGGCCGGATAAAGCGCTCGTACTTGACGGGCCTCCTGGTGAAGTCGCCTCCGACAAAAGTCGGCTTCGTGATCATACGCTTCCAGCTCTTGTGTTTTCTTTTCCCCGAGTTCACGGCGGAAAACATCTCTTCCTCGGAAATGCCGCGAACCTTGGGTAGCGGAACGTTGAAGCGGGCGGCCTTCTCGTTGCGCTTCTGCTTGACCTGCGAGGATAGGGCCTTGGCATTGGTCTCGGAAGAGCGGTCGAGCAGATACTGAGGTAGGGGGGTAGAGGCAGGCTCTGCGGCGTCGGCGGTCTTGACGTTGCGCTCCTCGTGGGTCCTAATGGCCTTCTTCATTTGAATCTTCTCCTTGCGGCGCTTCTCCTGGTAGAGTTTGGCGCGCAGGCCGCGCAGATTCTGGGCATTCTTGGAAGCGGCGTGGCCCTCTCGAGCGGTGCGCTTACGGGCGCGTTCGTCGTGGTCGAATCTGGCGGCAAGCTTTGTTAGTGTGTCTGTGTCGGATTGGCGGGTGGAATTGGGTTGCTCATACCTCTTGCCGTGCAGCTTCCGCCACCGGTCCATGTAATCGTGCTGGGGCATGGCTGCTAAGGGATCGTGAAGGATTGGTGAGGGTGGTTAGTGAGGACGGTCGGTTGGCGAGGATGGTTCGTGAGGATGTTGACGATACCTAGGTAAGGAAGATTTCGGCGGAGAAAGTATTCCTCCGAAGGCTTATCGCTTATCTTATCAGCGATAGCCAGGCACCCAGCCTGCGCGCCTGCCTGCCAGCTCCTCCGCAAAAGCTGTGCCGCGAACACGACGCCGAAGCTGACCAACCCACAATCAGAGAAATTCAAATTGATTCGACTACGGAAATCAAAACAAATAGCAGCAAAAGCCCAACGTTTTTCCTGTTTCACAATCTGACGACGTATATGCTAACCATTCAACTGTTCCTACCCGTAGCATCTCCTCCGCCCATATGAGGCCCACCGCCAGAGAATGGAGGCTGCAGTGAAGCAGCATCATCGTCAAGGTAAGCCTCGACTGCCGCCATTCCCTGACCATTGAAGAGGTTCCAGTCCTCCGGCCGAAACCCAGGATCCATACGGTTGCCCATCCAGTTCGGCCACGCATATTGCTGCTGCTGCTGCTGCTGCGTCGGCATGAACCGCGGCGCCGCCATTGCTGCGGGATACGACGACGCGAGGTTGTTGGAACCGCCAGACGAGAGGAGAGTCCCGTACGCCGAGTCGGTCGGCCCGCTGCTGGTAGTTTCTGTGCCGGGCCCGCTCCCTCCTTGGATCCCCCTTTCCGCCATGACGGTCCGCGCGTCCGGAATGGCCGCCGGCTGCGGAGGAGGCGGCGCGAGGAAGTCACCTACATCGGGGCCTACAGGTGCTATTTCCATTTGCTGCTGCAAAGGCGCCCCGCCTTCGTTGAAGGAGCTGTTCTCGGTTTGCACGCCGTTGCTGTCGTTCTGGTTGTTCATGTTGTTGCGGAAGCTGTCCCACAGCGTCTCGGCCGCGCGCCTCGCTGCGTCGACCATGACGATCCGCAGCCGCTCCTGCATGTGCAGCTCCTCTCTGCGCGCGGCTTCTTCGAGCTCGGTGCGGACGAGGCGCGGGAATTCGCGGCGGCTGTAGCGCTCGAAGTTTTGGAAGGCGATGGAGGCGGGCGAGAAGCCGGTAAGCTGGGCCGTCTCGACTTGGCTGTTGACGCAATCTATAGAGATCAGTTCTCTACGCCTTGAACTTTGTGTACTGCTACTCACATGGCGACGGGGCTTCCCTGTCGTTGGGGAACAGGATGAAATAAACATCTCTCCACTTATCCTCCTCCGTGTTCACCCCCTCTTTGGGCTTCCTGCATCGGAGCCGCTTTGCTTGATGCTCGTTGATGCCGTCGATGATGCGTTTTTCGGAAATGGCCTGACACCTTTCCGTGGCAAGGTGGTGGTCATCGAGTTCTTGCTTTGTGGTGAACACGCGGTAGCAACGAACGCAATGCGCTGGTTGCATGTGGCACCGGTAAAGATGCTCCCTGAATAATGTCAGTGGTTTCAGATAATATACTCACTTCTATGAAATGGAGATATACTCACTTCAACCGTGCTACGGTTTTGAACCCAGGGTACATGCAAGAGGCATGCATTTTCGGCCCTCCTTGATTCGATGCTGACCCGTGCCTTTGGAAATACGGGCAAGCGAATCTTAGCCCCTCGTCTTCTCCCGAGTCCTTCTGCCGCTTTTTTCTCCTCTCAACATTCTCGTCCTCATCTTCATCCTCGGGTCGTTCCGAGTCCTGTATCTTGCGCTTTCCACGCGTACTCGAAGCCTGGTTGGAAGACCCTCCCGCTTGTGCTTTGGCAGAGGCTCGCGAACTCCCACTGGTATTGTTGCTCGATCCTCCAGGTACGGTGTGACACTTCGCCCTCGATCCGAGGATGGAAGACTGGTCGGACGAAGAATATGGAGATAACGAAGACCCCCCACCGGATGCTGGAGAAGCAATCAAAGCAGCAGGAACCATGTCGTCATCGTCACCTTCGGCGTCGGACTCTCCAAAGTCGGAGTCGGAGTCGGGAACAGTGTCCGACATGTCGATGCTGTCGTCGTGGATGTCGAAGCCGAGGAAGTAGTCGAACATGCTCTCGAACTCATCCATCAACTTGTCGATCATCTCATCCATCTTTGCTTTTGGCATCGGGCTGAGCATTTCTACATCGGGTGATAAAGTTGAAGACGAAGAAGTGGTAGGGGTGGCAGATTGACTGGCTCGGTCTGAGGAGGAGCCCGGGCTTGCACTGGTGTCGTTTTTGGGGTGTATAGGGCTTTCTGGGAGCGTTGACTCAGTACCCATCTGCTTTGATGGTGTTGAAGCTCTGAATGAATCTTTCGTATTGAGACTAGTCATCTCGTCCGTCAGACTTTGCCTTCCTGAGTGAGGGGTCACAAGTATCTTGGGGCCGCTCTCTGTGTCGTCATCATTCGAACTTCGATCCAATTGTTGTGCTCGGCTGAGGCTGATGGTTTTATCTTGATCCGTAGCCTCGAGATTATGGTTGGTCCCCTTTCCAATGCCTTGCGTGATTCTTTGGCAATCAAGGTTATGTTCCAAGATCTCGTGCTCATTTCGATTCTCCACGTCCAGAAAGAAACAGCGATTCCGGTCAAAACATCCTTCGAGGCGGCACACAAACACGCTGGATGGACCGGAAGGCTGGGACCGCGGAGCCTCGCTCGAAGACCCTTTGGTGGATACCGTGGATACCGAAGGAGCTGGTGCGCTTAGAGATGGTTGATTCCCTCCTGACTTGGAATGACGAAGCGGGCTTGGGACTGTGAGGAATCCGGACCGAGAGTTCGACGGCCGTTCCAGAGACATGGTACTAGCTGCCGAGCCGGCATACCCCGAATCATTTGAACAGGCTGGAGACTCTGTCTGACAGTTTACAAAGACGCCGCCGTGTTCTGCCACCACCGAACTGATTGGGACAGAGCAGAAGCCGGCGGGCTCAAATTGTGCCGCGCTCAGCGTACTCAGGGAATCGACAGGGGAAATGGGCGCGTCATGCTGGCTTCCGTTGCAGTAATTGCAGGGACTGATATGACCGGGATTCAACGCGGCGGCGTGTCCACGCGCTGGTGGTGACACGTCACAATGCTGCCTCAATCCAACGCCAGTGTGTAGCTTCAATCCAAAGCCAGTTTGCAGCATCGGATAATCGTTCGAAAAAGGTGTAGACGAGTCGTCGTCTGACGACAATGGAGAGGGGCGGCAGTGATAATCCCGAATGCTGGAGTCACTGGCGGGAGGGGTTGGCAATCCAATGGTAATGAGAGGAATGGTGGTCCTGGCTGTGACGGGCTTCGGAACCATACCCTCCATCATTTGCGGGCTTCTTGGGAACGGCGTCAGTTGGTCGAGAATCAGTTGTCCGTCGTGGGCAACTGGACTGAGAGGACTCCTTTCCAGGTCCGTGTCATTGGTAGTAGCAGGGGAAGGGATCTGGCGTACAGTTGCGCCCGTACAGTCTATCCGGTGTCCAAAATGCGGCACCCTCTTGCGAGTCCGTGGATCGTGTGGAACCGTCAAGGTGGGATTCTGCAGCGCATTGCGGTTCCCGTGGAAACAGTGGGCATTTCTTGAACCAACAGTGCTTTCAGGGTCCTGGGAGAGCTTGAGACGATGCTCATAGGAAGGAACATAATCTAATGTTACGGCGGCACCTATTCCAAGGAGAAGATGGTCTGTCCCTGCAGCTGTAGGAGGTCGCTGTGGCGAGAAGCGGTGGTTGTTCATGGAGTGTAAAGCTGTAGGTAGTCCTTTGCGAACTACCAAGGGTCATTGAGGCAGCGAAAGACTGTAAAAGAGAGATGATGCGTGGCAAGGCTGGGAACGGTGTAAGGCTGAAGCAACGGACAGCCTTGTCAGGCAGAAGTGTGGCGAAGTGTGAACAGCTAGCAGCTAAATGCACATTTCCGCGCGTGAAATAGTTTCCAGTACAATTGAGCCTCACTGCCATCTTCTTGCAAGATAGTGGTGGCAGTGGGGTTGGTCCCTCTTTCAAGAGTTCTGCGCACTCGCGCAAAACTAAGGCGCGTGAACATGCAAGCCATGCTCTGCGCCATGAATCACACTAGTGTCGTGTGTGCTACATGGGTAGTTCCGACCGTCCGATATGTTTGGCCTTCCAATCCCCCTTACCCAGATTCGTCTCAAGCGCCAGCGCCGCTAGTCGCGTGGGCTGAAGAGGTCCAAACCACTGCGAGTGCACCTGGCCCCCACGACGTTAAAGACAGAGGCCGCACCTTTTAAACCGCATTGGAGCCCGTTGATCTGCCCACATCTGGCTTAGCAGGAGCTGACGTAGTATGACCGGGATACTGATTGGCACAATGGTAATGCGCAAGTGCGTAAACATCCATGAGGGACTTCGCCGGTGAGACGGGCGGCACTGAATGAGGCTGCGCACGCCGACACTCGTGTTATAAACGAGGACTGCGCAAATGTGTTAAGAAGCTGATGGTAATGCAGTCCGTCCTTCAGTTGCCCCGAAGGATCAGTTCGTTGCCTCTGATGCCGTGTCCATTGGCCAGCGAGCGGCAACCACTTGGCTGGATGAGGCGACAACTTGGCCTGCAGCCAGGTTGAGCGCAGTCCCGTCTGCGCGAATGCGCATTATCGCAGTAGAGAGGTGGTCTAAGGGGACGTAAGGGCTCGGATGGCTTCTATAAATCATTAGAATGAACCGGAAGAGGCCGCTTGGTGTCAGCTTTTTTGGAAGCCGTATCCAAAATCCGCCCACGATGTCGTGTCAGAATCCCGCAAACGTCGCCCCCTTTCTCACCCGCGATACCAGCGTCGGTCACCAGAACGGAAAGCCGCAGGACCAGCAAGCCGGTGACCGTGTCTATTTCTGTCGTAATTGCAACTTCGGCCCCATGATCTGCGCCCTTTACTCTGCCTGCATTGTGTGTTCACGCGAACTGGAATCCAATGGCGACATAGACTTCATCCCAGACAACACCGGCGGCCGCACAAAGCCTCAAGAGCCTCAAGGCAGGCATCACGCGGGGCCTTCCGTCAGACGTGATGATGCAAGGCAAGCCGTGAACTCGTCCAACCAGGCTGCCGAGCCTGCGGAGCCGCACAGGCAGCAACTCCCCGAATCGACTGAAGAGCCGACATTCCAGCCTCGCATCATCCAGGGTGATGGTATGGTGACTATGTAAGGCTTCGTAGCCCGGGTGATACCGATGTTTTCAGCCGCTGATGCCTTGAAACTAGCCCCGGGCAAATCAACGACGGTCACAATATGTTGAGCCAATATATCAACAGCCCACCAAGCGTCGTCGAAAGGCTGGCCAATGGGTTCGCCAATGACGGAAGTTTGCTGGAAGACACCGAGTATATCGAGGCTTGCTGGAAGCTTGGATACGAACCATATGTGTGGGAATACCAAGAGGGAGACCCACTTGACCAGATGGAACCGCAAGGCTATGACTTCATGGAACACTCCCAATGAATTCTCTTCATTTTCATTATCCGCCAAGACATGACGAGCACCTGTACATGCATGGATCAGATGGGTCTGATGGCCTCCACGTTCCTCGGTCCAACATTGGCCCTCTTCTTGATCACCCTCTCATCCTCCCCGGCCTTCAGCCTCCGTACCAGCTCCTCCGGATCAAACTCGGCACCTATGGGGTTGGTCCTGAACTCGTCTGACCGCATGTACGCATTCGCCTCGTCCGCCGAGTCGAAATTATCAACCTGCGTCTCGACCTCATTACCATCCGGATCGGCATAATACATACTTGTCGTCGGCCCATGATTGACGCACCAGAGCGGCACGATACCGTTCGCCTTCCGCTGCAGGTACGCCAGCGCCAGGTCCTCGAGCGTGGCGAACGTGAAGGCGAAATGGCGCAGGCCCGACGTGTTCGCTGCCTTGGGGCCAACGGTACGCACGGCGATGATGGCGACGCGGTGGTGCTCCGAGTCGTATGTCAGGAACGAGATGAAGTCGTTTTCATGGCTAATGGTGGCGTTGAGGAAGGTCTTGTAGAAGGAGGTCATGGCTTGGTAGTTGGATGGCTGGGTCTGCAGAACGATGTGCGCGAGATAGGCGGGACGAGTGACGACAGTGCCGGGGTTGGATAGGGTTGGAGCTGCCATCGTTTCTGAGTTTAGGGTGTTTGATCGCAAAGCAGCGCGCCGTGGTGGTTTAAATGCTTACCCCTCCTCTCGGTGCGGGGAATGGCTGTCATCCATTGCAACGGAATGTAGCCGCATCCTGATTTGGTATAGGCCATTGTCAGCCATCATGTTGCGAGTTTGAGGTAAGCGATGACGTACTGTGCTAGCCAGAAGGACATACTTGGAATAAATCAGTGGTCAAAAGCATACGAAGTAGCGTCAGAGCCCACTCACGTCTCGCACAGCCCACGTACCAGTAAGGCAAATTTGTTCCATTGCTGATGCAATCGTAAGCAACTATCTCTTGACATCCCGGTGAGCATTTCCATAAAGAACCAGTCATCTAAGCAAGTCCGTTTGTCCACTCGTAGGGAAAAGCAGGAAACCAGAAGTACTAATAACCACATGTCTCCTCTTGTGGTATAAACCTTTTGCGCCGTTCCCATGCCGCTTTTTGGTTCCCTTTCCTAGCCAGGCCTCTCGGGATGCATCGTCTACTTTAGACGCTCGTGCTGATGCGGTGCACAACAGGGACCGAGCTTGGTGGCAAGCTTCCCATCTCGGTGACGACCATTTTCACATACTCGGCGGGCGTGACGTCGTACAGCACGTTCAACAGCTGCAGATGAGGCGTCTCCTTCCATTTCTTGAGCGCGCCCTCGCGACCCTTCTTCTCCGCGCCAGCCTCCCCATCTTCCTCCGTAAGACCCTCGCCAATCCATTCGCCGTCACCGAGAATCTCATCCGCAGGTGCGATCTCGTTGTTGACGATCGAGTCGAGCGCAACGCGTTCGGTGAACTTTACCGACTCGCAGCACACGATAACGGGAATGTCGCGCTCATGCGCAAACATGGCGATGATTGCCGTGCCGACGCGTGAATAAAGGCGGCCATTACTCATCATGGCGGACGCACCAAGGAAAACCTTTGAGGCTTCTTTGACGGCGTGTGAAGCGGCGCCGACGAGGGTGTAGCTGACCTGGATGCCAGCTGCCGCAAGGCTACGCGCCATCTGCTTTCCTTCAAAGAGCGGCTTTGAATCCACCACATTGACCCGGAACTTGCGACCGTCTGCATGAGCACGGAGGAGTGTCTTGAGGACGATGCTGCTCTTTGCAAACGTCACGACCACGTCGCCGTCCACAATCTTGGTGCTCGCAGACTCTGAGATAACCTCGTCTGCAGCGGTGAATTTCTCGCGGATGAAGGTATCGATGTGAGCGAGAAGGTGAGACTTTGCAGTCGTCTCGGGAACAGAAGGATCAACCTTGATGATCAGATCCTTCAGCCAACGGATGGCGTTGCCTTGAGAGACGGAAAGCGGTCGACAGCTGGAAAGGTGAGAAATCTGAGGCGAAAGATGATGCGATGTGAGATGGCGGGCAAGCGAGGTGCCAGGAGGAGTGGTGTACGACTCAATGACCTAGAAGCGTGTCACGATAATGCCACAACGGTCATTTCCTGACCGGAACGTGGTGGACATACCGATTTGAAAGCCAGGAGCATGGCGACAGTCCGCGCGTTGCTACCGCAGATAACATAACTGCTCATTTGCAGACCCAGCGCCAGAATGGCAGGGTGAACTTCCTTCGCCGCGCCCTCAATCTCATGCCTTCGCGGTTGGCCGTAGAGGTGCCCAAACAAGCCCACTTGCTTCTCAGCATGTTTCTTCTTCTCGCTCTTGACCTCCTTGACGGGCCCGCCGGCAGGCCCGCTCTGCGACGGCCTCCTCCGCATGGGAAGCGGACGGTCCTGCTGCTGGCCGCCCCGCGGACCTCCACCCTGCTGGTTCTGCTGGCCTCCCTTCTGTTCCTTCTGCTTGCCCTCTTGCTTTTTGCTACCCGCAGAGGGTTGAGGAGCACCTCCACCTGCTGCGTCCTTGGCCGCTTTCTCAGCAGCGCGCTTTGCGGCCTTTTCGGCTTTGGCGCGCTTCTTGAGTTCGGCGCCCGACAGCTTCTCCTCCTTTGGTGCAGCTGGTGCGGCACCAGCGGCGGGGGCCTGCTCTTTTGACATATCGGCAGGCTTTGTCTCGGCGGGTGTAGTTGCCGGCTCGGTGGTCTGGCCGTTGGCCGACTTGGGCGTGGGGGTGGGGTCAGCCATTGCGGCCACCGAAATCGCGGGTTTGAATTTTTCTGGAAAACTCGGAGTCGGTGTGGGAGCTCGATGCAGCGGGGTCCGCGGTGGGGCTCTTCGTGGCTTGTGTTTGGGACGGTGAGCTTGTGGACGGGCGAGAGTGTGTGTTGGGTTGTGCTTAAGAGTCACATTCGAGCTCGGCATCGTACAAAAAATGTGGGCTGCCGTAGTGCGTCATTCCGGCGCGCGACGCGACCCATGCGCGCAACCTTCGGCGTGCGGATGCATCCATGCAGCCACAGAATCAGGCCTAGTTGCTCTTGTACTCTACTACTGCACTGATGCTCTTGGGTATCCCGAATGAAGTAAGCTGGGGAGCCAGACAGACGCCGTCCATGGCTTTCAATGTAAATTCTCCCGTTGCTGAAGGCAGCCACAATTCCAATCCGCCCGAATCTATAAACGCCAGGAAATGCCCAAAGTCCCGTACATCTTACTCTATGGTCTCTGTTCGGACTTTTCACGGCTCGGCCGGAGCGGCCTCTTCACCGCCCTTGAGAATGAACTCGCTGTCACCGATCTGCTTGCCTCTAGCTTCCCATCTGGATTTCCTATCGCCGCGGAGCTTGTCGCACATTTGGTTGAGAGTAGGCCAGTACACGGAGTGGTCATACTCGAACTCGACCTCTCCACCGTAAGACTTCATCAATTGGACGGGGGGAATGAAGTTGCCAAAAGGCTCGTTGAACTTCATCTTCTCCTTGGTGACGGGATCGATGAGGGGCGAAATGAGCTTGAAGAACGTCGAAACGTACCAGGGAACTGCAATCAAATCAGCACCAATTCAAAACTCCATCGAGTTCAATCCGCTAGGCACTCACGCTCTGAGATCAAGGACTTGCCATTCCTCTCAGGGTATTGTCCCTGAAGGATGTTGAGCACCTGCTTGCCCTGGCTGAGCGACGGGTTCTTCGCCGATGTGCTGTTCTTGAAGTTGATCAGGAGCGCAATGCTCTCCACACCCGCTGGCATCAGGTCGATTGCCCTCTCCAGCATGAAGACCAGGTTGTGCACCTGGCGGTCACTCTTCTCCGTGTTCTGCTTGGACGGATCCATGTACAGGCAGGGGCGGCCATCATTGTCGAAACCCAGGATGATGAGCTTGCCCGTCTCGTTCTCGGGCGAAATGTAGTCGGCGGTAAAGCCATTGGTGCCGTACTCGCGGCGCCAGATGACAGTGTCCAGCAGACGCTTCTCGGCCGCGGCGGCGGAAGCCCACTTGACGGCGCGCAGGTACCGGAGCAGGCATTCCTTAGTGAGCCACATGCGCTCGTCATCCGACAGCGGTTCCTCCTCGCTCTTCTTTGCTGCGGCCTTGGGAACCTTCTCCCACTTCTTCACGCTGTCAAGGAGCTCCTGATATTTCTTTTCCTGGTCGGCGGTGAGGACGGCGGGCACGGCAGGCTTGCATTGCGGCAGCGGGTGGGGGAAAGGGGCCTTGGCGGCGCCAGCTGCAGGAGCGTCTGCCATGCTGGAAGCTGGGGCGGAGTTCGTGGGCTTGTCGGAGGCGTCCTTCTCGTTGGAAGAGGCGGCGGGCGGATTGATCTGCCCGGTCTCGGCGGCGGACATGATGTTCAGGAGATTGCGGCGTGTCGGATGGGGCTAAGTCGATATTGCGTAGAGTGCTCTAGCGGAGGTTGCTCGAGGCAGGCGGGCAGGTCTTCTTATAAGCGGTGCTGCAAAAGATAGGGGAGCAGAGACACGGGGCAACTAAAGTGCCATCAACTAAAACAAAACATGGGCTTGAGATGTGCAGCTAGGTTCCAGCACGCCGGGCGGCGGGACTGACAGGCTGAGGATGGCCCGATTTAGGCCCTGCGCGGAACCCGCACTCCCGGCCGCCAATCCCCAATCCCTCGCGCCGTCGGCCGGCAAAGCCCGTCCGTCCCCGCCCGCCGTGCGTGCTTGGCCGTCGCGTCGCGTCGCGTCACTCGGCGAACGCGTCTCTCGCGCCCGTGGCCGAGAATTGCTGCATCGTCAAGCAACCACAGCCCCGCAACCCTCCACTCCACCATGGACAACACCACCGTCGAGCTCAATGAGCTGTTTGGCTCGCCAAACGCTGCCCTCCCGCAGGATGTCCTCCTCGAATTGCAGTCGCTCCTCCGCTTGCACTCCATCTCCCCCCAGGAGCTCTTCTACAAATGGGAGTCGTACAGCATAAAAATGGGCCCCGATACCACCCTGACTCTCAAAACCGCACGCGACTTCAAGAAAGACATTCAAGATACTCTGGAACGCGAGAATCGGGCAAAAGCCGCCCATGGAAGATCGGACAGGAGAACTGTTGCTCCCGCCCGCGCCGGCGCAGGCAATGCCGACGTATTCGGAGTGTGAGCCTTGCGCAGTCGCATAGAAGGTCCTTATTGCTGATGACCGACAGGCTCGATGGCATGGTCCCGAGCACCCCTCATGGTGCTTCACGCACCCAGGTCAACGGCAGCGCAGCGAAGAGAAAGTCGACATTTGACACCCCATCGGCGAAAGCCACCAAGAGCGCCATGCAGGACTCCCCAAAAACCCCACATACAGCAAATGGCGTTGGTGCAGCAGCGTAAGGCATCCATCCTCGCACTTCCAAAATCCTCAATCCTCTAAGCAATTGCAGAACCTCGTTCGCGGACCGCCCGAAAGCAGGCCAGATCATGGAAACGTTGAACGCCCAAATTCCGCTGCCCGAGCCTCCTACTGAGTCGCCTGCGGAGCCTCGTGTCAAACTCAAGGCAAATACAGAGCTTGCTAAATTCGGATACAAGACGATGGCCATGAAACTTTCCGAGGCATCGGAGATTCTGGATGATCGCATTGACGAGTTTCTGCAAATCGTTCAGGAACACCACAACTTGGACGATAGCGCTTTCGGTAACCCGGCTGGCCAAAGCACAAATGACATTATTGCTGTTGGCCGGATTGCATCCGACAGCAGTGAGGGCAAGCTGAATGCTGCCTCTCTCGTACTAGAGACGTCAAGGCGAACAGGAGCAGGACTAAGAGTCCCCTTACAAGCAGACAAGCTGCCGAACTACAGCTTCTTTCCTGGCCAGATTGTTGCAGTACGAGGTAGTAATCCAGCAGGCTCGTTCTTCACGGCAAAAGAGCTTCTCGAAATCCCGCTGTTGGGGCCTGCTGCCTCTACCGCTGCTGAGCTCGATCTAGCCAACGGCCGTCTCGCCTCCACAGGGGACATGGATATCGATGGATCCGAGACCGAAACAAGGCCGTTGGGTATTATGGTCGCATCTGGTCCCTACACACCAGGCCATGTCCTCGACTTTGCAGCTTTCCATGCGCTTATGGAGACAGCGCTCGAGTCCCGTCCAGACGTCCTCGTCCTTAGCGGCCCTTTCCTCGACATCGAGCATCCTTCGGTCGTCAATGGTGATTTTGAAATTCCCGACAACGCCATTCCCAACCCTGATAAAGCCACGCTCAAAGATGTCTTCCGCTACCACATCTCGCGGCCGATCAATCAGCTCGCCGCTCAACACCCTAGCATCACCATTATTATCCAGCTCTCCGTCCGTGACGCCATCGCCAAGCATGTTTCCTTCCCGCAAGACCGCGTCAAACGCCAGGAGTTGAGTCTACCGCGGCAAGCTACCATCGTGACCAACCCCGTCACCATTAGCATCAACGAGATGGTCGTCGGCATCACCAGTCTGGACATCCTCGACATGCTGCGTCGCGAAGAGTGCGTCAGCGAGAAGGCGAAAATGACCAACGCCATGGTCCGCTGGGGCACAAACATCATCTCTCAGCGCTCCTTCTTGCCCGTCTTCCCGCCCACGCCACGGGAGGCTTACCCCAAAATTGATGCGGATAGGGATGGTGCGGCGGCTGGTCAGGGAGAGGGTGACGATGACAAGGTGGATTTGCTGCCCGTTGGAGCGATGCTAGATACAAGCTATTTGAAGCTGGCGGAGTGGTTGAATGTGCGGCCGGATGTGCTGATTACGCCTTCGGCCTTGACGCCGTTTGCCAAGGTACGTGTTCCTTTGAAGAGCTCGAAGAGTAGCAAAGCTGACAAGGTCTACAGGTCATTAACTCCGTTCTTGTGCTCAACCCTGGCACGTTGAGCAAAAAGCGCGGCCCAGGGACTTTCGCGCGGATGACGGTCCTGCCAGCTACAATCACCGATGAGGAGAGAGAGCGCAATGATATTGTCCCGCACAATTTGTTTGAGCGGTCGAGAGTGGATATCGTGCATGTTTAGGACGGACAAGATGGATTGTGCATGAGAATGAATGAGGTTTGGGCGTGTCGCATGCAAAATGGAAAATTTGGCGTCGCAAGGAACTGGGATGGATATCATGGTTCGATGCGGCGGCGTTCAGGAGTTGAAATCTTGTTATACACACTCAGGGCAGGCGCTTTTCCCACTTCATCTCTCATACAAAACAAACGACAAGAGACGAGACGCAAACGTAGTATTTTTACTGATCCGGCCCCGTGTCCGCGTTCTTCTCTCCCACGTTCAACGCCACCAAAAATCTACTCACGCAATTGTACGCGCCCACCGTGGCCGTAATCTCAACGACCTCTCTCTCGCTGAACAGCGTCCTCAGTCTCGCAAACAACTCATCCGGCACGCTCACATCCATGGTCATCGCATCAGTGTAGTCGAGCACCGCCAAATGCCGCTCCGTCAGCCTCTCAGACGGCTCGATGTCATCGTCAGTGGCGGTACCGCCCGGTCGTTGTTGCGCCTGCGACTTGGGGCGCCGGCGCGCAATGTACTCCATGTCTCGCTCGTCGAGATCGCCGGTGGCGCGTAGGAGCGGAGCGTGGTCCATCCATTCGTACCACGCGCGGTTGAGGACAGCGACGCGGCAAATGGCGGTTTCGCGGATAGAGGCCGATATGGACGTGCGTGTGCGAATGGCGCCGAGGAAGGAGTTCCTTGAGGGAGTGTTGGTTTAGCGTGTAAGCTTCAACGAGATCGTGTGGCCGACTTCTACATCCGTAAGAGTGCGGGGCTCTCGTCTGGATATGTTGGAGGAATTTGATGTTGTGCAAATGACTGGTCGTGCCAAAGCTTTATAGTTGCTTTGAAGATTCTGGAGTAATGGACAAGCACTCACCAGCCATCTGCAACCGGAGGCGAGTGGAGCAACGCTCGATCCAGTTCCAGAAGGCCTCGTTCGCCTCGCCTTTCCTGAACGCGCCTGACGATTGCTTGGTCGGCTTCGCCTTGGAATTGGGGAGGGTTGGGCACGTAAGGAAGACGCATGGTGGGCCAATGGCTTGGACCGGAGCTCTAAGAGAGGCAAGATGTCGTCTCCGGATGTAGGGGCCTCGTCGATCGTGGAAGTTGGCTCACATAGGCACCATGTCCATGGAGACGCGACGGTGGTGTCAAACGTGGGGTAGTGGGGCAGGCGACGCACGGCGCACAGCCAAAGTCGTGGCCGATGACATGTCCGAGAGAAGTTCCTGCCTCCATCGTCCGCGCATCGTCCCTCCGTCTTCTCCACCGGCATACTTCAAGATGGCTCCGAGAAGTGCTGCAGCAAAGTTGGCAAAGCGCAACAAGAACAAGAAGACGGCAGCCCCGCCCAAGAGGAGCGATGCGCCCCAGCAACAAGAGGCGGCAGAAGTCTCCGCGAAAATTCCGCTGGAGCTACAGCAACTTCTGCTGAACGTCTTTCGGAACGCTTTCCCGAGCCGGTTCGGCTCCGACCTGAAGTCCCTGCTCCAAGAGGTAAAGCAGCATCTCTACCACCGCGACTTCTTGACTGCTTTTGGAAAAGCCGAGTATCTCGAAGCGTACGCCGTGCGCTGGAGCCCAAGCCGCGCCCTGGGCTACCTGCAAATTTTCAATGATTTGGAGCAGCATTTCCTGGCCATAGAAGAGGCCGGGAGCAGGGAGACTGGGAAGCCCTGGAAGGTCGTTTGCCTCGGTGGTGGTGCTGGCGCAGAGATCGTTGGTCTTGCCGGTCTGCTGAAACAGTTGGTTAAGAAAGATGTACCATCTGAGAGCATTCAAGACGAACGTCCGTCAGAGGAGTCGTCAGATACTGCCATGTCAGCACCAGCGCTACCACAGTTTGAGATATCCGCCATCGATATTGCCAACTGGACACCCGTCGTAACAAGTCTCCACTCTGCAATCACCACCGCCCCGACGCTATCTCAGTACGCATCCGCTGCTGCCAAAGCGAGCAACGTAGAGCTCTTGCCTCCCCATCTCTTCAAAACGACATCTGTCCAGCAAGACATCCTCACCATGTCCACAGATGATCTCTCTGACCAGTTGCACAATGCCGACCTCATCACCCTCATGTTCACCCTGAATGAACTGTACAGCACCTCGCTTGCGAAAACGCAGGCCTTCCTCATGAGGCTCACTGCAAGCTTACAGCAGGGTTCTTTGCTCCTTGTTGTGGATAGCCCAGGCAGTTACTCCACAGTCACGCTTAACGGAGCCGAAAAGCAGTATCCGATGCACTGGCTGCTCGATCATACCCTCTTATCGGTTCCGAAGGATGCAAAATCAACTGGAGAAGGACCAAAATGGGGAAAGATCCATTCGGATGAGTCCAGGTGGTTCAGGCTTCCGGAAGGGCTGAAGTACCCGATCGATTTGGAGAACATGCGATACCAGATTCACCTCTACGAGAGATTACCATGAAACCATAAAATAGAGAAAGTCGGGGCTTCTACCTCTTTGTAAGGCTTACCGCCGGACAACCCGTCATTTGCTGTCATGCACCCTAGGCTGTGTGGCGTAGCCCATTTGTTCCTTCGGTGAACATACGGAATTGCGATTACACTGTGCTGTCCCTGCTCTTCATCGCCAACGAAGCCCACAAACTGCCCGGCGTTCTCCTGTGAAAGGAAGCCAGCACACCAGAAGATCAACCTCAAACGGCCTGCGTCTTCTAAGTACAAGAACGCGGCGCAAACCAATCTTTCTTATTTACAGCTACCCGTATCCTCATACATCCCATTTGATTCTACTCACCATGTCCGAAGAAGATGTATCTTCAGAACTTCTTGAAGCCGACCGGGATGAACTCCGTGACCGCGCTGGTGAAGAGTTGAATGAATATTTGATCCGCAATATCGGTCGTCACCCAGAAGAACCACTCCCCTCGTCGTTCTACGAGTTCGCCCTTATACGGGCATGGGAGGAACGGGCTGCGAGAAAGTCGAGGTCTGCACGCTCCAAAAAGTCCCCTACTACCAAAAAAATGGCCATCAGGTCGAGATCCTACCGCCGTCCCCTTCTCTTCCACAGCGGAACAACCTTCCGGAAGTGCGCTTGACCTCCCCTATCACACGCCGTACGACAACACGCTCACAAAGTTCCCATCTATAGAGGATCAGAGCGATCCCCAAGATCAGAGCGATCCCCAAGAGAGCTCGAAGCAGCAGCACAAGAAGAGGATGAAGAAAGAAGGAGAGGAACGGTCGGAGGTGCATGGTGGTACTGCGAGGGATCAACGCACATTCTCCGAGTGCATAGAAGACGCATACTTCATGGAACGTGTTGGACTGCCTGAGCAGCGGGGATTACCCAAGCCTCGTGAGAGATCCGAATCGCGAAGTCCCTGCGCATGTTGCCAGCAACTCATTTGCATCTGCAGCGGCACTATGCGCTGCCTCAGCCCACGCAGGTGGAGGGAGCGTTGGTCGCGCCGGAGCAAAGATGGCAGCGATCAGCCGCCGGCGCCAGAAACCGGCTCATTGCGCGGTGGCGGGCAGCTGCCGGGAAAGATCAAGACGAGTGTAGCGGAGAAGAGGGCAAGAAGGCGTATGAAGAAGCGGAATCCTCAAGCACCACCTTCCCCAGGGTTCCATCCCTTCCAGCCGCTCTCGATAGAATCAGTCGAGGTCTTGCCAATTAATTCTCATTGGCCGATGCCGTCACGCGACACGACGAGCAACATCTCACAGGCCAGAGCAAGGTCAATAGATTCTTCCAAAGGTGGAAGACTGTCCAATAGTCATTATTCACAGCAGGCTACCGAAGACAAATACACACCCTCTTTCTCCTCTTCCATAATCGTAGAACCGCACGACTCACCTCCTCCCGACGTACAAGAAAATTGGAACGACTGGGGAAGACACAAAAGCAGAAAGAACCTTTACTCAATCGAACCCCCTCCCCAAATCTATCTATCCCCGAACCATGCCTTCTACATCCCACCGTTTTCTTTGTCGCCTATGCCGGGATCATACCCACCGTCTAAACCCCATTCGCCGTCTCCAGTGTCAGCGCCGCATAGGGGTGGCGAGGGCGGCCATGATGGTGCTCATCTGCGGCCACCATTGCGTAATGATTCAAGTTCCGGCGATGTCTTCTTTATCGCGCTAGAAGAGCCCGAGTCCGTCGTCACGCCGAAACTGCGTGGCGGTGGGGGCGACGACGATACTAGAAAGAGAGTTCCGGCGAACTTGTGGTACTTCGCGGGGGGTTCTGGTCCGCCGCCAACTTACGAGGAATACAGGAACATGCGAAAGAGTCTGCGGAAGAAGGGCCAGGAACGAGCAGAGAAGGGGGGCTGGAAGGATGTGATACATTGGGGTTTACCGCCGCGTGAGGAGAAGAAGGAGCGCGAGCCAGAGGTTGGGAACGGTGGTAATGGTGGAGAACGATCACTAGTGGAAGAACGGCCTGGCAGTGATGCACCAGTAGACAATCATCCTCAATCAGCTCTTCCTCTTCCTCCTCAAGATCAAACACCAGCAAGGAGTCACGCATCAGTGGGGAGCCGAGCATCACTGAGAAGTCAACCATCGGCGAGGAGTCAAATATCGGCAAGGAGTCAAGCATCAGCAAGAAGTCAAGCATCAGCGAGAAGTAGAGTTTCAAGACAGCAAAATCCTGAGCAACCCCCACCACCACCACCGTCGCCGCCGCCACCCAACAACAACAACCTCCCTGCAGATCCCAACCACCCGCCGCCGGAGAACAACCATCCAGGCGAGGATGCAGATGACTCCGCTTCCGACGACAATGATCGTAACGCTGGCCGCCACCCGTGTCCGCACCTAGGGATGATCGCCACTAGAGATCAAGTCATGGATCTGTACGCCGAGATGCTGCCACCGTTCTTCGCTCACGTCGAGCGGGTAGCACGCGGGGTTCTCTTCGATGCCCAGCGGCATGCCGCGAATTGGCACCACGACGACAACGACAACCGCGGTCGCGAGGAAGGGGGGAGATGAACAAGATGACGGGGTGGGGGAGATGGAGATGTGGATGAGAGGCGCAAACAGAAAAGGGAAAAATGGGGCGTGGGGGCGGTTGGCCCATCGTGAGTTTCGCATCAATTCCTACAAACGGCAGTCAAGGTAATCGAAGGAAGTTGCATAAAGATCGCAGGGCTATGTCGACAAATAAGGAAAGGGTAGTGTTGGCTATCATACGATGGTTGGACGAAGGATCGTGTATGCCTTGCATTATGATTGACGGAAAAGTGGTCCGGCAGGAATCTGTCCCTAGATCTCTCTATTTAGGAGCATGTCCGGGAAAAGAAGACCTTATGTATCCCTGGGTGCCCGCAAGGCTACTATTTCATAATGCTCTGGGGGCGAACATTGCGAACCACCCGCTGCCTTCTAACTTCGCCTCTTTCTCCAGAGTGGAGATCCAGGGGCTGTTGCCTAAGGACTCGGACGGTTTTCCATCTGCGATCACCCACCGCCTCAACGTGGCTCATCAAAATAAGCAAAACTTTTATGTGGATGCCTTGCAGACGTTTTGAGAACGTATGCCGGCCAATTTTCCAAGTACGAGTCAGACGTGAAGGTGGGGGCGATTTTCCCTGTGCATATGAGTGGCAGTCTATCATTAACGGTTCGAACTTTTGGACAAGGTATCTCGGAACATGAAACGCGTGCTTTTCTGGTTTGGATTTGGCTTGATGTCTTGCCATATCTAAACACTGATGGTCTTGAACACTCTGTGGCCAAATGTTAGCAGGTTGCACAGCAGGGTCGGCAGAAAAACAGAAGCAAGCATACCCAAAACCACTGCCACCAGTAGCCATGACACATCCGGGAATTTGCGGGTGCCAGTGGCCTTCCTTCACCTGATCCATGTAGTGAACGAAGAGCAGTTGCGGTGGCACGTCCTGCACGCCAGCCGTATCCTTGCTCTCCTCGTCATCCAACTCGACAGCCAAATCCCACAGCGTAAGCGTGTTGTCGCCAGAAGCAACCATGACGATACTGTCGTCGGTTGGATGCCACTCAACACAGGTAATCTGCTCCTTATGGAAGTCGAACGAGGCAACAGGGCTTGGCTTGATGGGCGCACCGTTGTCGCTAGGCTTCCACTGCCGCAGGTCCCACACGGCCCACTGGCCATCGTCTGCGCCAGACGCCAGAAGGTGCGCGGTCTGGTGCGACCACGAAAGGACATTGACATCAGTCTTGCTGGCCTGCACGGTGATTACCGGCTTTCGAGACTTGGAGCGAACATCCCAGATACGCACGGTGCCGTCATTGCCGGCGGATGCGAACACGTTCTTCTCCGTGGGTGACCACTGCAGCTCCTCAACCGTCTCCTTGTGGCCAGTGTAAGGTGTAGTATCGGTAACGAAGCCACCGCCCTGTGTCCTGGTAGTGGCGAAGATCTTGCCGGTCACATCACCGGTCAAGACCTTACCTTCAGGCACCAACGGCGACCAGTCAACAGCATAGCCCTCATTCTTTCCGTGAGCACGGATGGTGCACGCGGGTTTCGACTGCTGCGGAGTCAATGTGGAGCCGGGAGTGTCGAAGGCTGAGAGGTGCGGCGTGATGTCGTGGATCAGGACCTGGCCAGACTCGGTCATGGTCGCGGTCAGGGTGGTCGGTGCCTGAGCAGACGTGACCTGTGGGGACTGATGGGCGCGTATCCGGTTGGTCGTCGAGGTAAGCGGGATGGATTTGGTCTCGAGGATGGGGTCGGCGTTCTCGTCGTCGTCGCTGTCGTCGTCCGACTCGTCCTGGCCACGGTCCATGCGGCTCAAGCTGCTCATCTTCATGACTAGCAGCTGGTTCTCCTTGTCGCGGCCGGATTCGGCCTGGGTGCCGGCGACGGCGTAGACGGTGGCAGGATAGGACCTGCGGTCGTCGCCCAGCTGGTCACGGATGATGTCCATTGACAAGCACGGCCATTGAGCCTCTAGGGAGTGGAGCATCTCGTATGTGGACAGATCTGGCGAGAGGGTCTCGCCGGCGGAGAGCTTGTGACGGCCGGGAATGAAGGTGCCTTGGTCGACTTCCATTGCATCTAAACCAGCAGTCAGCACGCTGCGCAGGCGACAGAGCGCAGAGGGGCCCACTGACCGTCGCGCTCTTGGGCCTCCCGCTCGTCGTCGGGGCGGCCGTCTACACCGGCCTCAATGATCTCATCCTCGCTCTCAAACTCGTCCTCGTACTCGTCCTCGAAGTCGCCAGCCTCGTCGGGCAGGGCGGCGGGCACGGGGCGCTCGCCGCCCTTGAGGGCGTCGCGCTCGTCGTCTTGCGGGTCGGCCGGGCGCTTGCTCATGGCGGGCGAGGAGTGGGTTTTGGGGATTTGTGCAGCGAGAGCTCTGCGCGTGTCGCAACTTTTTTTGGGCGTCGCAGCGGTTCAGCCGAGGTGCAGCCGGCGGGCGCTGTCTGCTGCCCGTGTGTCGGCGGGCGGTGGGCGGTGGGCGGTGGGCGGCGCTGGCTGGCTGGCAGTGTCGTGTGGCTTGCCCTCCACTCCCGCCAGTGGCAGTGGCAGTGGCTCGCTTTGCTCTTTGCTTTCTTCCAAGCGCGCATCCCTACCGATCCGCCGCGCCTTGATGCCCCCAGTCACCCGCGCTCAGCTGCCTGTCACCGGCCCACAGCCAGTCACTCTGCAGCCTCACGCGCGACGCAGTCTTCCGCGCGACTCCACTGCCTGCTCCCAGCGCGGCCCATATAGCTCGCGCGCCGCCAGCCCACGCGCGGCGTTGTAGTTGCGTCGCTCCGTACTCCGTAGACAGCACCCAACCGTCCAGCCCAATCTCCAGTGCTGCTCGCTCAGCTCCCGCGCGCTATCCCCAACGGCGTCACTCGTCAACACTGGCCCCTCGCATCCCGCCCTCATCTCCGCGCACCCTCACCCCCGCCAAGCACTCTTGCCCGCTGCTGTGCTGGCGTTGAACGCGCCTCATTTTACGCGACTCCTCCGCATTGCGCACCGGACGGCCGAATTATCCAGGTGGCATCTCACAGCATGGACTCCCCAGCAGACAACGCGCCGCCCGAGCCCGCTCTCGAGCCTCACGACCCGCCCGTCAATCTGCCGCTGCAGGACCAGCAGCCCGCCGACCCGGGAGACGAAACCGTAGGTCCACCCGTCACCGCCGTGCCCGACCTGTCCGCTGGGCTCAACGGTGCCGCCTTCAACCCGCCCTCGCCCGAGCACCCGCGTCCCTCAACCTCGTACTCTGACACGGGCTTCAATCGCCCGTACTCTTCCGACCACAACAGCGCTCCTCACGGCTACCACAACTTTTCCACGCCCTCGGACGCCGACACCCCGCCCCGCTACCAGAACAACGGCTCGCGCCCCATGTCGCGACCGGGCTCCGGCATGGCCTACAACCATTCCGACGGCGGCAGCCGTACCTACCAGGAGCAGAACCAGCGCGGCTCGCAGCAGGGCATGGGCGACAGGCAAAACACGAGCGTGGTCATCAAGGTCGGCATGGTGGGCGACGCGCAGATCGGCAAGACGAGTCTGATGGTCAAGTACGTGGAGGGCAGCTGGGACGAGGACTACATTCAAACCTTGGGTATGCAGTCCTGGCCCTTGTCCTCGGTTCAAGAGTGGAGGAGCATCGAGGAGCTGGACGCAGGCTGAAGTACTGACGAGCGGCGCAGGTGTAAACTTCATGGAGAAGACCATCAGCATCCGCAACACCGAAATCACCTTCTCGATATGGGACCTGGGCGGCCAGCGCGAGTTCGTCAACATGCTCCCGCTGGTCTGCAACGACGCCGTGGCCATTCTGTTCATGTTCGACCTGACGCGCAAGAGCACCCTGAACTCGATCAAGGAGTGGTATAGGCAGGGCCGTGGGTTCAACAAAACCGCCATTCCCTTCCTCGTGGGCACCAAGTACGACCACTTTGTCAATTTCCCGCGCGAGGAGCAGGAGGAGATCTCCAATCAGGTGCGTTGCGAGCCGCCGCCCAAGCACCGCCGCCCCCGCCGACTAATGAATGCGTGTAACTAGGCGAAACGGTTTGCAAAAGCAATGAAGGCCAGCCTGATCTTCAGTAGCACAAGTCACAGCATCAATGTGCAAAAGGTAAATGACTCCGCAGCGACTCGCTTATCTTGTGGCATCCGTGTGGCTGACGACGCGTGATCGTCGAACAGATCTTCAAGATCGTCTTATCAAAAGCCTTCGACCTGCGGTGCACAATCCCCGAAATCGAAAACGTCGGCGAGCCGCTTCTGCTCTACCAGTCCGTCGGCTAAGCGTGCGACGCTGGCACTCTATCGATCACCCCCCTTTTTCCCGTAGTCCGTCCGCGTCGACATCAGTTCGGTCATCAGTCTCGAAATTTTCTTTAATTGCATGCAGCCCGGTGTGTTTGGTATCTATTTTAGTTTCCTTCCTCGTCTCATGAGGGGAGCATCATCGCGGACACGCGGTGGGCCCCTTTCCCCGAAGCTGGAGTAAAACAGAAGAGATCTCTGGCGCTGGAGGGTGTTCATTGGCCCTGGCCTTCTTCTTTGTTTCGAGCGAGCAGCAAGCGCAGCAGTTTGACCGCAAGCACCTGGGCATTACAGTCGACTTGTCACCAAGTCCCACCTTCGTTGGTTTACTTTGTTCTTCACATTGAGCTGGTTGGGCGGGCAGGGCAGGGATTCCACGGCGTTTTGAGCAAAGAGGATGCGGATCAACAGACGGACAAATCCTCGAATCACAGTCGAGTGTTTGCTATGTACTTTGTACGAAGGGCGGCATGTAATGGTAAACCGTAAACAACAACGACGCTAGGCACGCCGAGGCAATCACAAACAACAACAAACATTAGGAAAGCCAACACAGCATCGGGTCCCCACGTGGCATATGCGCCTTTAATCTCCAGTGCAGGCATCGAAACCGCGTTCGACTGGTACAGAACGTGCATGCGGTTGGTATGACTCACGGCGGCAAACAGAAGTGCGAACAAGCTCGCCGAACAGCAGCCAGGCGATGCAGTGTGCCAGCCGGGACCTGCAGTAGCTGTCTCGAAGCCATTGGCCGAAGCCGCAATACGTACATACGTGTACAGCCATGATTTCTCGCTCGCATCATCACTCATCATTTCCCCCTGGACCCCCGGCGACTTCTTTTGCAGGTAGCCTCGATCCGCAATGCACGCACGCACGCCCGCCCGCCCACCGTCGAACCACCAGCCGGCGGAGCCGGGTGTGTCTCGATTTGCAGGCAGAAAACTCACGGGCCGCGAGAGCGCCTCGACTCCGTCGGTGCCTCCCAATTCCCCAGCTGGCTACTGGCCAGACCCTACGTCACACCTGCCGCACCGAGTATCTTGATCCGCCGACGATCTGCACCTGCCAACCACCCTTTTCGTGCAGCCCGAACTCCACCGGCCCATCGTCGTCTTTCCCCACAGTCCCATCGGCCGTCGTTCGATGACGCCCCAACGACGAGCGGCAGGCCATCTGGCAGACCAAACGCAACGTAACGCCCTGCACATCGCCCGCCGGACTCACGCTGCTTCACCGGTGAAAGCCGTTGGGCAGCATTTTCGCCATCAGTGCGCTGCCCTTCTGCGCCCGCGTTACGCGCACACACGCGCGCCTCCGCCGTTCGGCGGTGGGGCTGGGCTGATCCGGAAGCAAAAACAGAGCGATCGCGCACTTTCTCCGTCCTGCGCTCCGTGTTGTTGTTCTACGCCTCCGTTCCACGCGTTCTAGACTGACACTACCCCCCCGCGAAACACCAATTATCGGCTGATCCTATCCCATTCTTCTTTCCGTTCCCCATTTTCTCTTTCTCCCCGCCCCCGTCCATCACGTTTCATCCGTCCGATTGGCAGCCTTGTCGTGGGAAAAACGATGATTGTTTCCTCCCTTGTCGCCTCGGGTAAGAGAGCAGAGGGAGAGGGAGAGCTGCTGTTATTGCTCGCCTTGCTCTCTCTCTCTCTCTCTCTCCCTCTCTCCCGCAAAGTCGGCCGGGTTCCCCGGCACATATATGATCCCCTTTTCTCTTCCCCGGTAGAGAGGTACATACACAGTACATTTGTAGGGCAACGAACGGTGAGAGAGAAAAGAGACGGCGCGCCTTTCCCATGCAATCTCGGGCCGACCCCGACCCTGTGATCCTGATCCTGCATCCTGATCGTTGACCCTGACCCTGACCCTGACCTCTTCTGTCGTAGCGACGGACGGCTCCCTTCCCTCCATGTGCTAGGTAGGACAGTTACCTAGCCTAGGGGTTGGTTCGTCGGGGTTTGCGGAAGTGTGAAAGATGGTGGGGGTGCCGCGGGAATAAGGCTAGTTGGTCTGTATGATGTCTGGCTGAACCTCGCTGTCGTCCCCGAGAGCCGAGCTTCTCTGCTCGTTCTGATGGTAACGAAACATGCATCAACGAATGCCTCTGTTATACAGCCATGTCACGTATAAAGGAGAAAGAGAGTGATGGTGTGGAAGAGGGTGCAAAAGGCAGGGGTCTAATTTCTCTGAGATCATGGCTGTTATGTGGAGGGGAGGGGGTTTTAGTCCTTTCGTTGGATAGAAACGACTTCGACCGAGTTGTGGATGCGTCGCGTGCAACCCGTAGACAGGTAGCCGGCCTCTCTTGGTCGTCATTCTTTCCGAAGGTGAAGCAAACACTGGGTTCGGTTTCGGGGGGGATGCGTTGTTCCGTGGAAGAAATCGACAGCTTTGTATTGTTGGAAGTGCAAAGAAAAGTTATGGCAATCCTAAAATCTTCTTTTCTGGTAGAAGTATGAAGTATATTGTATCTAGTCCCGAAGACTATATGCGGCACGTTGCCCGTTTTCTTTTTCCCAGTTTCAAAAGGAAGAGATGACTCTTCTGCCTCTTGTCATGGAAACTGTATCGGCAATATAACATTCATACGTATATATAAAGGTACTACGACCTATGCCAGTGTTCCCAGACGCCGTCTACAAGACACGACACCACGCGGAAGACAGCAATATTGTTCAATCATGCCAGCAACTCAAGGCTTTGGCACTCCCAATTGTCTGGGTATACTGTTAGCCCGCACGCTTCACATCAGCCATGCATCTCCATCAGCGGTATAGCGTGACAAGGAATGGGGCAGGCATCTGTATAATAAAAGATAAATGCCTGCGTCATATGCGAACGGAGCCAGCAGACATTAATAGTCGAGCATGGATACGGCAAATCAGCTCGTTGTAAAAAGTTCGAAACTTCACGCTCACTCACTAGCAAGGTTCAAACACTCGCCCACGGAAATTGTGTTGCTGGATAATTTTTTGCGTTCAGCATATAAGTTATTCCTCATTTACCCTTTCTTTCTTTCGCACCCCGGCACATAAGCCAGAAATAAAAAAAGAAGCAAGGGAAGAAAACCAAAAAATGTTAAAAGTTAAGAAATAGGAAAAGAGTTGTCTGTCTGTCCGTACGAGGGTGTTGGTGACTAACAGGTGTGTACTAAAGCAAATTCCAGTTTTGCCGCCCGCGCAAAAGAAAGAAGCATAGCGTGATAAAAAGGTTTAAGGAAATCGACCAGCAAACGATCAGCCAAAGAGATCCAGTCAGGTCGCTAGAACGCAAGAAGGGAAAGAAAATAAGCACCATCAAAACGGGGAATGACAACGTGACGAAAAAGGAAAAAAAAAGGTTAAAAGGAGCGCAAAAGTCCGGCTACGAGCTACCAAAGAGCGGTGATGAACCAAGAAACCGCGTGATGCATGCATTTCCGCTTCTTTCCTACGTCTTTTTCTGTCGCCCGGACTGTTGAAACCATTGCCGAAGATGACCAGCTTGCAGACCTAGTCTTGCAAACAAGAAGGGGAATAGAGCACAACTGTGAAGAGGTAAGGAAAGGAACGGCAAGGACAAGGACAGAGGCCGAAAATGCAAGAAATCCTTTCCGTTTCCAGAGAAGCCTGCCTACATTTACGCCGCCCCGCTGCTACCAAAAAGTTATTTCTGATCGCCGGAATTCGATGGAATTGAGCATCGCTTTTCCTCAATATCGCTCCTGTCAAGGTAAGGAACTAGCTGAGCAAAAGTGTAGCAAAAAAAGGAATAACGGGGAGCAGGTGGAAAGAAACCCTTGAAGAGACTCCCAAATCTGATGCTCCAACAACCACTGACAAAAGGGAATATGCAAGGAATTGCTGATTGATGATGATCGTGCGGTCATGCGGAGAAAAGTTGCTTCTGCGAGCAACACCTAGCAAAGAGATTTTTGCGCGGGTGACGGGTATTTCGTGTCAAAGGGGGAATATTTGGAAACTGCGCCAAAGTCGAGATCAAGGCTATACCGATAAGAACTGCGCCCGACTCAGTAGCGCCGAGGAGAAGTGTGTGTCAAAATCAAAGTAGACGTTGTATTGACCGACGGGTCAAAGTAAAACGTCTACTGAGACCAAGACGAGTGAGCCTCCTTCAGAAGGCCCAGCACGCGCGTCTGTCCAGGGGCGCTCTCGCAAGCACACTGAAGAGTACGGCCGTCGTGGAAGTCAAGCATAACGCTGTTAGGCATCTCCTCCCGTTCTTGGTCAGGAGCAAAGGGGGCGGAGAACTCGCTAAGGTGGTAGCGCTTGGTGATACCTTTCGATGCCTAGAGGATTTGGTCAGCGTGGGGCTACGGTTTACAAGATGAGCAACATACATCGTTGGCCTTGGAGAGGGTCAGGACGATGTTGCCTTGAACGTCGATCTCGACCCATCTTCTCTTCCAGAGCTGTTTACGCGTCAGTAACGTAAAACTCATCGAAGAAACGAGTTAAACTCACGAGGGTGTCGGGGAACTGAACATTCAGATCGCCGATCTCAACGCCGGGTTGCGATTCCTTCTTCTCTTCAATAGGCTGAGGGGCCTCTTCCTGCACTGCAGAACTCATCATCTGGTTCAAGCTCTTTTTGCTTGTGGTAAGGCTATTGCTCATACGCTTCAGTAACCGGCTCGCCCGGTTTCCCTTCTTCTTCTCGTCTCCCTCTTCAGTCACAGTGCTATCGAGACTGGTGATAGACTGGCTGCGCGGCATGGGTGGCGGCGAGGTGGCTTCGCTACGCCTACGACCAAATGAACGCCAACTGCTCTCCGAAGACGAACGGGGCAGAGGTTGCGCGGGAGATTCGAGGTGCGCATTCGACTGTTGCGCGGGAGAAGCGTCGCCGGAGGTAGGTGACTTCGTAGATTCTTCGACGGCGGTAGGGATGACGATGGACGGCGGAGCGGCAGCCTCATCGGCCTTGTTGTGGTCGATGGTAATGGGGCTCGGCTGCAGATCCAAGGGCGAGTCCTCGACATCCTGGCCAGGCGTTTGGGGGGAGCGAACAATGCGAGCGGTCACGGTGACCGACTCGGTCTTGTTGTTCGCATCCTTGTTGTAAACAGCCTGGATGCTTTCGTTCGAGTTCTCGCCCTTGGACATGGGACGCTCCAACGGCGGGACTGAAATGAACGAGGATTTACTGAGGCGCTTCAACTGTTTGTCTTGCGCGGAGTGCGATGCCCTGAAAGAGTTCGAGCGTTGAGCGATGCTAATGGCGCCCCTCTCCGGGGTGTAACCAACTTTGGGGAGCGTCACCGGGGTACCATCCTTGCTGGACTTTTCGGCGAGAGCCTTGATGCGCTGCGAGATGCCTGATGAAACATTACTCTTCTTGAGAAGGGACGCATCGCGCTGCGCCTCAGTCGCGTACGAAGCGGAAAAAGAACGCTGACCGACGCCAAGCTGCTGGCTAACGCCGAGCTGGCCTTCGGGCGAAGGGGAAAGCCGGGTCGGAGTGACCGTCCTGTACATGGAAAGAGGGTTGGAGTTAACGCGATGCTCAGCCGACTTTGTTGACAGGGTGGAGGCCTGGGATTTCCGGCGGGGGAAAATAGACATGATGGGCGATTTGGATACGGACATTGGCTTGGCCTCTTCGACCGTCGCGCTCTGCAGTTCCTCCATCAGGGAGTCGTCGGACAGGTAGTCAAAGTCGTCGTCGGAACTTTCCGCGTCGGGCTCGACACGGATGGGGTCGACGGGGACGCGACGCTTGCTCTTCGTGGTGGAGCGGCGTTCTGGAAGGGAAGAGGAAGACGGCAGTGCCGTGGTAAAATCCTCTGACAGTTCCGGGCCCTTGGCGGCCGCTGTTTGATGTTCTCCCGTCTCCCCCCTGTCAGGAGATGATGAAACATCCCAATTGGGATGCTCGGCACCGGAGGCCCGCGCTGGCGCTGGCTCCGCCGCCGATGGAAGACCGAGCGAAGTTTCCGCGGCCCCGTCGAGTGGCGACGCGATTTCTGCCTGCTCGTCTGAATCCAGTCCTTCCTTGCGGTCGCCACCATCTGAGATGGACGAGGGGCGCGTGGATGACGGATTCGACGACTCCTGAACGGATATTGGGGAGGACGCGACAGGAGTGGGTGGCCGAGCGTCTTCTTCATCTCCGGCTCCACTGATCATCAATTGCACGCCGGAGTCAGCCTTAGTGTGGTCGGGCGTTTCTGGAGCCTCATCAGGCTTTAAAGTCGACCCCGAATCCGTACTCGACGTCGTTTCGCGATGTGATGCGACATCGTCCTCCTCCACTGGCGCTGCCTCTGGCGCCGTCTCCTCCGCTGATTTCACCTTCTCCACGGCATCTGCCGTGGCAACTGCATCGCCATGCTTTTTGTTGGGCTTTTGTCTCGCTAGCTGCGCGGCCTTCTGTTTCTTTCGAAGCTCAACTGCGCGCATCAAGCGCTGCTTTTCTGGGGTAATGCCGGGCGACTTAACGGAACTTGCAATGGATTTCGCACCGGTGCTGGACGTGGGGCGCGCAGGGGTATTCGTGGGCATCTCTGAAATCGTGGGAACGGGCGGCGGGGGCCGGAGGCCTGTACTGGGCACCGTACTCGAATCCCTGGATTTGGGCCGCGAAGAGCTCCCCTTGCTGCGAACAGCGGCCTTCAGGCTCGCAGGGAGCTTGGCGCTCTTGGACTCTGCCGCGTGCGAAAGCGGTTCCTGAGTAGGGCGGGGACCGAGCTTGACTTTCGGTTTGTAGAGGTAGGAGAAGTCGATGTCTGCGCGGGCAGTCTGGGAGGAGGAGCGGCGGTTCGGGTCGTCGTAGTGCTGGTCGAAGTGGTTGAGAGATTTAAAGGATCTGACCGACTGTGCGTAACCCCTCGGACTGGCGATCACAGAGCTGGCGTCGCCCCCAGACGTTCCTGGCGTCCCGGGCCGCCTCTCTTCGTATCCGGTAGGCGAGAGTGGACGTGACCGTATTGATGCCGTATCGGGCGCCGCTTCTACCTTCGTTGTCGATGCCACCGTCTCTGTTCTTTCCAACGCAGCACCCTCGCCCTTCGCACTTGTTCCTTGACTATCCTCCGCATCCTCGTTTATCCCATCCAATTTTTTCTTCGAGCTTGTTGATGACGCGCTTGTCGACGGCGCGGCTGTGTGTAGGGAGTTCGCTGCTGAGAGGGCATGGTCGGAGAGCTCTTGCGGGGTTGAGAAGCTGAATACGGAGTCGTGCGGCGTGAACTTCTCTTCGATTTCGGTAAAGTGGACGGTGACGCGAGCTGCACTCAGATGTTATAGTATCAGTTTCCACGCCTCTCTTGGAGCAGACCGGCCCAGGATGGTTCGGCGTACCTTGCAGCAATCGTGAGGTGCCTTCGGGCACGTATTTGAGCAGGACCTTGCGGCGGCGAAATAGTAGGAAACCGTATAGCGGCGACTTCTCGTCGTATTCGAGCAGAGCTGCGCGGGCTTCACTCAGGCCACCGGCGCCAAAGTTGAAGATCTCGATGGCGTCGCGGGAGGCATACTTCAGTAGGAACCTGAGTGATGTCAGATATATCGTCACCACCCCTGCGCATATGTGAGACAGGCAGTCCGGGGCGCGGAAGGCTTACCAGCCGCCAGCCTCGGCCAGAGCAGATTGATATGCGTCGGAGACTGGAGCATCGTCCAGGCCATTCAACGACATGGCGGCGCGGGCGCGCTGGTTGGGTTGCTGTGCGACAGCGCCGAAGGGTGTCGGCGGAAGCTAAGCTTGAGGTCGAGTGTGGCACGTCAGGCAAGGGCGCGCTATCTTCGGGCCCTCAGGGGTTCAGACGGGATAGGGCTGATCATTGAAGCTTGGCCTGGGTCAGCTGTCGGTGGAACACGCATCCGACGGAGGGCGCGCGGCGACCGCCGGTCATGAAGCGGTATTTGAGCGAGGTGGTGGTGAATTGGATCGGTCTGTGGGAGGGACGCGAAGTTGGGCGGCGCGGACGTTGCGAGGACCTGCAGCAATGCATTGGTCTGCCCTGACTCCAGCACCAGCGCCAACGCGGCGGGCTGGCAGCGCGGGTCCGGCGCTCACGCTTGCCGATCACTGCAAACCCACCTGAGCCCTCTTTCTTTTTCCATTTCCCCCCGGTTGACGTGCCCCGGTGATAGGGCACGCGTGCCTGTGGAAATTTCCCGAAAAAGCCACAAGCGCAGTCCGCGCCGTGGTAGTCTCCCAGACTTTGCTCCCGCGCGGCTCTGCCAGGCGGGCCAGGAGGACGCGCGCAGAGCTTCTCGGACCTGTGTCGCACACCCATGTCGAGCACCACCACACGGCCGTCCCTTGCACCAGCCGGCATCGCATCGCCGACGACCAGCCCAGCCAATGGCCGGCGCGCGCGCGAACCGACGGCGTTGGACGCTCCCCGCGCCACGCCGCGCGCGTCTCCACCTCGCCCGAGCTGAGCCGTACGAGCTGAGTTCTGATTTTCAGGAACGGCCGCCGATGCGTCCAATGGCTCCGGGATCCCCGTTGCGCCAGAGTGGGTACCGTACAAGCGACAAAAATGGGCCCGGCGCGCAGCTCCAGCGCCGTGCGACATCCATGGCTTTTCACGGGCCCTGCGCGGGGAGCCTAGGCCGATCGGCCGCCCGCGGGACCTGGCCTATCGAGCGCCCCGGCTGCCCGCGTCTGACGTACATCGCAGCCTTCCCGCCTGGAAAAAGCAATTCCCTCGACGCCCCGCGCTGCCGCTGTGCTCAAAATCCTCCGTCCCCAGCTCTGTCTAGTCGGGCTTCTCCTGGTTCGCCCCGTGGCTCGAGATTGCTGCTTGTGTGCACCACCCCCTCAACCCAAATCCCGCCATGGACCTCAAGACGGTGCAGACGCCCGAGTGGCCGCAGCGCACCACGCCCACGCCGCCGACCCTCAATCTGCCGGCAGTCGCGTCGCTCACGACCGCCGCGACAGGCGACCGCACCTACGTGTTGGACTTGCTGTTCGAGCCGTCGCAGCCGCTGCACAATCTCGCCCTGCCTCTGCTCAGCGGCACGCAGTTCGCCTCCTATGACGATCTGATTGCTGCTGTTGGCATCCAGCTGACCGAGCTTGCCGAGAGCCCCAGCACCAGCGACACTGCGTGGTTGGAGCAGATCCTCGGCGCCCATCCGCGCCTTGGCGAGAAGAAGGTCGAGAGCGCACAGAGCAGGGCCGAGCAGGCCAATCTAAGCAAGGCTGGCCCTGGCGCCGAGGCCGAAGCAGCGGAGTTGAAGCGGCTCAACGAGGAGTATGAGCAGAAATTCCCCGGTCTCAGATATGTGTGAGTGCGGGGCAAGAGTGGGGTGAAGCCTGATGCACACATTGCTAATTTCCGATCAGTGTCTTTGTCAATGGCCGTAGCAGGCCCGAGATCTTCAAGAACATGAAGGAGAGAATAGAGAGGGGGGACGTAAACGCAGAGCGACATGAAGCCATCAAGGTAGAGACCCGCACGGAGCGATAGTTGGATTTGCGTCACTGACCCCTGTCTGTCTAATAGGCAATGTGTCAGATCGCATCCGACAGGGCCCGCAAGTTACAAAGCCAGCAGTAGGCCGCACTTGTTTTTCATGTCCGCATTCTAAAGCTCATATGAAAAACGTCTTCGGAAGTTCTCAACAATAATCAGTAGTCCCAATAAAGCTACTGGAGTACTTCTCTGGAGGACACGTTGTACACAGCCAGGCCTGGTGGAGAGCTTCAACCCATCATATGGTTGCATAGGGGACAGTCGTATAGTTAGGAAATAAATACTCATGCACATGTTCATAAAGGGGCCTCTCTTTTTGAGCTGAAATAAAAAACACTGCAAGGTTTGGGTGACGCTTGTTGTTCTTCGAGGACGCTGTCGCGGTCAGGTCGCTATGGCTTAGTGACCAACAAATTTTTATCCTTGTCTTCACAAATTCATTGATCTTGCTGAAGGGTTGTACTACTTTGCCGAACGCTAGTCCTTTAACTGGTAAATCCATACAAGCCACCCATGTGCAATTTAATTCCCCCTTGGTAATCAAGTTCCTTTTAACGAATGGTAGTGTACTGAACAACATTCATGTCCATGTTATGCATCTCAAGTGGAAACTTGCAATCATCTAGGAAGATGCAGTTCTTGCCGGTTTTCTTGCTGCCGAACGGCGGGAACGGGCAACGGTGACCATAGATACACTTCGGATCATCGCAACCTGTGCCGTGGATGCAAGGCGCCATACGTGCAACCAACTTGAGGGTGTCCAGCTCAGATTTGTTGGGTTTGTAGTCGTGAACATGAGTGCAATTGCTGCCGAAGGGGCACTCATGACGCAAGAAATGGACATTGCACATCTTGATACGCTTGACGCGGTTGGTTTCCTCCTTATCATAGTTTTTCGTCGGAGGGTCGATACGCTGGCCCTTGCGGTTACGAGGAATGTTGTTTGGATCGCGAGTACTCTGCTTCGATCCAGCAAGAGGCAGAGAAGCCGCCTTCGCAGCGACATTGGCCCAACCAGCAGACGCACCAGCGGTTGTAGCAGGAGCAACACTGGGACTGGGACTTGAGACTTTGATAACTCCGTTCACCTTGTTTGCGGTCGTTGTCAGACTGCCAAGTCCCGGCGGTGGAAAAGGAGTGGGGAGGCCGTCCATGCCGAATGTGTTGATTTTGTGCGGACGAAACAGACCCTCAAACTTTTGGATTTTGAAGAATGGCAGAGCTGCAAACTCCCTGCCAAACGGCACCCCTTCCAGCAAGGTTATCTTATCCACCAGATAGTCGTAATTAGAGATTTCTCCCAAAATGCGAGCATAACCGTTGTCGTGAGAGCACCCAAGCATAATGTGGCGGCAAGTCGGGCTGTAAAGGTTCAATTTCAGATGCTCTAGAGCCAGTTGATCAGCAGAATGTTAAGACAGACAGCCACGAACTATCAAGAGCTGGGGATACCGGCTCAAGTTGGGGCAGATGTGTCGAAACGACAAGGTCATTTGTCTCGAATGAACGACACAGCTTCCCTTGCTGGACATGGTTTCTGTAGCAGGCGTGCGGAGATAAACTCACCAACTATCTTTTCATCAGCCCTGTCCTTTCCAGAACCAACATCAACAAAGTCCATGAGGAACTTGGCGCCGGTGAATCCGATCATGAAATCTTGCACTTCAGCTTTGGTTGCAATTCCGGCGCGGGCGCAAGTGTCGGCCAGGCCTTTCGCATTTGCATATACGCGCGCAGTCACCTTAATGTTGGGTGGCATTCCCTTGACTTGGGTGCGTACATATTTGTAGACACCCTCTTCCAGAGCGCCGGCAGCGCGCTGGCCGCCGTTGGCGCCCTCAGACAAAAGTTGGTCGTTGAACTTCAAGTTCCAGGTCAGCAGCAGTGAAACGCGGTGCGGGGTGGAGGCTTACGATGAGGCCATCGCCATCAACAAGGACTAAGACAAATGCATCTCGATCCTGGGGCATCTCAGTGTGTGTAGTCAAGGACGATTCGTGAATACCGACCATGTTGCCCTGCATGTTCAGAATGGTGGTTTCCATGTCTTTGAGGCTGCGCTGGGCGATGCGGTTGTATTCGCGTTCGCGGTCATGATCCTCGATTTCTTTCCTGAACTGCTCGCTGAGCGTGTCGTAACGGCAGAGGAGTTCCTCGATCAGGGAGTTTGTCTTGTCGCTGGCAAGCTGAATCTCACGGTAGCGGCCCCAGAGGTCGCCGGTGTGGCCGTCGACGTAGGCGTGACCGGGCGACGGCGAGGCGGTCTGGTTTGACATGTCGAACGGCGTGGGTAGCTTGGGCATGGGGACGGGGGTGCGCACGGTTGTGATGTTGTGGAGGAGAAGGGTGGTATCAGACAAGCGCAAGTAGGCATCTGCTTTGTAGGCAGCAGGCGCGTCGGATCTTGTGGAAAGAGAGGGCAGGTGAGGGCGAGGGCGGGCGGGCGCGAACTGAGAAACGCTCGCACATAGGCCACTGCCTTTTTCAACAGGCCTCAGGGTCTGGGGTTACACCAACGGCTGTACGGTGACTTGGTGCTTTATTGGATCTAGAATGGCCGTGGACGGCGGGCGCCGCTGCTACGCGTCCCAGCCGTGCTAACCGTCCGCATGGGCGGTGGGACAGGCGCTCTCTGATTCACCAGAGCTGTCTTAGTCGGAGCTTCAGCTCGCTGTGGAGGAGTCATCATTCCGGCGCGTCGTTCTCGGGGCGCGCAGAGACCTGCAGTTGCTGCGCGTGATTGGACAGGCCCCGCCCGCGCCTGCGCGCTGGCGGGCTGGACGAGGCGGGCAGTCGCAGACTCGCGTGCGGCAGGCTGCATCTCGTCAGCGCAAACTATATAGAGTAGTGTGCTGGCGCTCGTGACGGAGAGCTGTCGATGTTCGTCTCGACCCCACAGCCGCGCCTTGCCCGATCGCGACAAGCTTGGCCGTCTGGCCCCGGCTCATCCTCGCCCGCGCTTCGACGCCGAACTCCAAGTGTCCTCTCGCCAGCTTGACCTTTCTCTCCCCATCCCCTCTGCGCATTCCCCATCCACTCCCCGGTGTTCGCTCGCAACCATGTGGTTTCCCAAGCTCACGGCCTCGTTGTTCTTGTCTCTGCTGGCGACCAATGCCTTCGCCGCGTCCGAGGTACGCTCTTCCAAATTACTTCCTAAATGACATCAGGCACATCTGGGTCATATCGCGCTAGCTTCGTCGCTGACCACTGATCCGTCCAGAACGCTATCGAGGAGGAGATTGACAACCCGAGCACTTCAGCCAACCTAGCTGTTTCGGTCAGCGCTTCGTTCCCCAACTCCGAGATCTTCGGCGTGAAGCTCGTCAATGGCCACCCCACCAATGCTATTCTCGACTTCAAGAACGAGGAGAAGGAGGCCGTCACGGTTGAGTTCATCGGCGGCTCCCTTCTCAGCCCTGCCACTGGCCAGCCCTTGCGCAACCTGACCATCTCCAAGTACAACATCAACATCGGGGCCGGGAGCAGCGCCAGCTTGACCTACAGCTTCCAGACCGAAATGCACCCTCAGGACCTCAAGCTCAACCTTGCTGCTGTTGTTAGGGACAGCAAGGAGGCTTTCTACACCCTCCAGGCCTACAATGAGACCGTCAGCGTTGTCGAGGCGCCCACCAGCATCTTTGACCCTCAGATGTAAGCCCATTCCTGCCAACCAATGGCAATTTCGCTTTGTTTTCTGACCGAATGCAGTCTTTTCCTCTACTTCGTCCTTGCTTCCGTCTTCGCCGGTACCTGCTACTTCATCTACAACACTTGGATCACTACGCTGTTCCCTCAGAAGAAGGGCCGTGGCAAGGGTGGCGAGCGCGCCAAGACTTCTTCCAAGGGCACCAAGGCTGTCGACCCCGCTGACCAGGTTGGCGTTGTCGGCGCTGACGGCCCTGCTGTCACCTCTGGCGCCAAGGGCTTCGATGAGAGCTGGATTCCTGCCGGCCACCTGAACCGCCCGGAGGCTCGCCGTGTCAAGAGCGGTACCCCTAAGACTAAGACTCGCGGTTAAATGCATACGCGACTCATTTGCTTCAACCTCGATTTCAGGACGATGCATGGGAGACCATCGAAAACACGAAAAAAATTGGTTCCCCCGTTTCGGCCAAATGATTGGATTGGGTTTTTGGAGAGGGGAAGTTGGGGGCGCGGTTTGCGAGTGCGGGTTTCTTTCTGGGAGGCTTTTGGTCATGCATCTGGAAATGGTGCCATGATCACAACAAAAAGAAATTAATTTGTACATTGGCATGTATCATCACAATGGACACTGAATGGGACATGATCCCACGTCTTTGAAACGTTCCTGAATCTCGTTCGGCATTCTACAGAGGCTCAAGTTCCAAATCTGCTGAATATCGGGTGGGGCATTCTGCTCAAAAGTGTCTCGAATAACAGTCAAGGTACATGAGAGGAAGCACATAAAACAGCCCGCGCCCGGTACGTGCCAAGAAGAAACGGGTAGGTCTGGTCACGATCGATCTACACTCAGTTGCGCTGTTCAAAGCCTCAAAAGGCACAGCACGGCGGCCGCACCGGCGTACAGAATCTGTCATCATTAGTGACGAACCATCAGCAAGAAACGAGTAATCCAGTCTGCCAACAAAAAAAAAAGAGAAAACAAACTGGGTTTGAATATTTGAAACCGAAAGAGGAAGTGAAGGAACCAAGCAACTACTAACCGAAGACAAGAAATACGGCAACCCCAAGGCCGCTCCGCCCAGCCCGATTCCCTTCACCCAAGCGAGAGTCATGAGCGGTGCACCCACGAGTGACCCCACCGTCTTGACCAGCATGACGACGCTATAGTCCTGTTGTGCGTTATTGCTATGGTTGTTGTTGCACGTGCTGTTGCGGTTCGGACGGCTGTCGTCATCCCGGAAGGACGACTCCTCTCGATCCGCCTGAGTTACATCCTCGTCGGCGATGGATGGTGTAGTTGACGATAATGATGAGGATGAGGCGGTGGCGGCGGCGGCTGCTGCTGCTATCGGTGCGGATTCGACCAAGGACATGGTGAACACCGGGAGGGCCGAGCCGAGAGCATATATGATGAGAGCTGCTCAGTCGCGGTGTCTTTAGTCAGTGAAAAAAAAAATCCAACTATGCACCACGTTTTGCTTATGGCTCATACTGGATACGCGCGCAGGGCGAGATGCAAACTTCAAAAGGTGGGGAAAGAGAATACATGAGATAACAGGAGAGAGGACACTTACCACACATCAGCACTCCCACCGTCCCCGCTGCTGCAATACTAAGTGCACCCAAGATGGAGACTGTGAGGCTGACCTGTGCGCCTCTGTAGTTCAGGCGCACCTCCTTTCCCGGCATGCGCTTCAGCAGCGTTCTCATGGTCACGGGGATGACAAGCGCGAGCAGCGTGATGTTGACGGCGGCCTTGATGGACAGTAGATAGCCGACGTGCTGGAACTTCCAGTCGTACCGCTTGGAAGTGTACTGTGGCAGGAGATGTGTGTTGGAGGACGCGAGTGCAGGGAGGAAAAAGCCGCCGATAAGGTGGATTTGGAAGTTGCGGCGGCCTAATACCAGGCGTAAAACTGTTTTGACGGGTGCAAGAATGCGCGCTGAGAGACGCGTGGGCTTATTGGAGCGTACGGCCGATATAGAGTCCGAACCAAGGAGAGACTCTTCTTCGTGGGCGTCGTCATGCCCAGTGTTGCTGGGAGAAGCTTTTCTGCGTTGAGGCGCAGTAGAAGGGAGAAGATAGATCGTAGGTAGCGCGGCGGTAAAGAAACCAATGCTCAGATAAAATGGAAGCCAGATATCGCGAGACATAGTAAAGGATGCCAACGACGGCCCGAAGAGCGATATAACATAGTTGACTGACGAGATATAGGCGATGTATGAGGTCCTTTTAGCGTATGAGTGATACGTGCAGTGGAATCAGGCATTGGGTGCTCGCCTTTGGATGAGATCGTCGGTTAGGTCAGTCACCATAGCGAAGATGGTCGACGTCAGAACGCAGTCGTGACCGCCCAGGATTGTGAAAAAAGGGCCAGCAACCATCGCTTCGACCGGAAATACTCCATCAAGGCGGCCTGAACAACACATTAATTATCCGTCATGAGGGTCATGTACAAACAAATGACTGATCCACTTAACAGGAGAAGATACATGTGCCTCCCCCCGGATAGCAACTCCGGGAGCGTGATAGAAGGCAACTCACCAACAAGCACCACCCAAGCCACCAAGCACGCAAACCCCACTGCATTGAGCGCCAGCACAACCTTCCTTCCGAACCTGTCCCCCACCCAGCCCAACGGCATCGTCACCGCCAGATCGATCCCGACGATCAGCGTCTCGACCACGCCCTGCAGCCACGCCAGCCGCTGCTGCACCTCCTTGACCTTGCACATCTCCTCCGGAATCTCCGCGACAGGCGGCACCGACGGATCGCCCAACCGCTCGTAGTAGGCGCGGCAGTACCGCAGCTCGACGGCGCGGTTGAGCGGCAGGCTGAACAGCCGTGTGCCCATGGTGGTGAAGGCCAGCAGAAGCAGCAGGGTCCAGAGCCCGCGCCGGTTGACGCGGCGCTGATGACGCTGCTGGCCCGGGAAGGATGGGAAGACGCGAGCGGCGGTTCCGTCGCTGTCTTCGCCCTCATGGTCATTGGTTGATGGTGCGTAAGGCTTCTGCTGCTGCGCGTTGCTGGCTTGGTGGAAGGAGAAGGGCTGCTCGTCCGGGGCGGAACGGTCCCCTCCGATGGCCGACATGATCGCGGGGTGAACTACCAAATATTCTCAGTGTGAAATGGTAGTGCTCGTCAATCATCGGCGATAGGAAGGAAGGACGTTCGAGGCGTTGAGAGTTGCGCTGCGATAAGCGATGCGATAAGTACTGCCCAAAACGGCAACTGGCCCAGTCGTCTACCCTCGACCGTCGCAGTCCGAGAAGTGCTAGACTAGCGAGAAGCTTATGTTATTGCAACCGTAAGCGACTGAACCGACAAAATGCACGTCTGCACATCACTAGCGGTACACGTTGCCCCTGGTCCGATCTCGTTTCGGCGGCCCTGGCAGCGGGCGCCTCGATCTCTGGGAAACTGGGAAACTGGGCCTATCACCATCTTGCATTTGTTACCCCGCCACATGCCTTCTTGTCAGTGCTTCATTGGCCGAATGCCCTTCCTATTGGCTTCGAGTTCCGATCATCTCACCGCATAATTGCATATCAAAAGTGGACGGCAGTGGGCAAAGTTGCGCAAGAGCATGAGAAAGCAATCAAGGAAGCCACGAAGCGGCACCTAGCAGGCGGGGTATCCAAAAGCAAACGCGTCAATTTCAAAGAAGTCTATGCTTAGGTCATTACTTGAAGAACTCTACATCCCACAACCGCAAACTTAGTCCACCGGAGCAGCCACCACATCCTTGTTTCTTCCATTTCAATTACAAAATAGCTGCCCCGCCATGAAAGATAAGTCCTGATCAGCTGAACGAAGAGACACCAAGCTGCGTTTGCTCTTCACATCCTCATCCCTTCCTTCCCGGAGACACAGACCCAATCTCTACCACGTCCGCAACCGCCTCCATGCCCAACTTACGAATGCCCAACGCGTACTGAAAGCAAAGCGCGACAAAGAAAAGCAAAAAGAGAGGATTTACTGATTCGTGCACATCAATGTGGTATAATGAAAACACGCCCTGGAGTGAGACAACAGAGGAAAAGGAAAACGACATCCTTGCTCCGCCCATGCTCGCTATGAAAATGGAAAACAGAAGAATTGAATCGCGTTCCGGGTGCGTTGTCCCGAGAATAACGCCTGCCTGCGCCGGAAGTGTAATTTTTTAAATCATGCCTTACGGAAGAGGGGAATGTGCCCACGCCACTACCATCGGACAACGATAGAACCAAGGGGAATTGGGATCTCAACCCTCCATCAGAGTCTTGGGAGTGTTTCCGAGCAGCTCCAGGCATCGTCGTGCCAGGCTGACGACCTCGCCCTCGCCGTCTTCATTGTCCTCATCGTCCGACTCGATGTTGCGATCCGCGATGCTCTTGACCATCGTGACAATAGAGCTCGATTTGCCAATGAGGTTGAGCAACCTGGAGTCGTCCGACTCGAGGAGCTGCAGGAGTGTCCAGATCGCAATGTGTTGGAACGTTGGGTCTCCGCTGTCGAGGAACCTCGAAAGGTAGCCGTGAATGCCGCCATTAGGCTCGTTCCAGTTCTGCAAGAAGATGGTGTAATCGCCCACTGAAGCTCCGTTAGCCATATGTCCACACTTTGCGCCAGGAACGAACAACATACCCTTGGACGAGAGATTACCAAGAGCAGCAGCACTGTTACCCTGCACTTCGATGCTGTCCGACTCGGTGAGGGGAATAAGCACATCGAAGACGCCAAGGTTCAGAAGATGAGGCTTCAATTCATCGCTCAAAGCAAGCACAGCAACGGCAGCGGTCATTTCCGACTGGACGGTCAAAGGCACATTCAGGACCAGCTGCTTGCACTTCTGCACAGCACCAGCCTCGAGCACCAGCTGCTTGTTGCGGTCCGAGCTTGCTGCAAGGTTGCGAAGGGTAGAGATGGCGTGGCATTGGATTTCCTCGTTCTCCGTAGACCCAAGGAGATCGACCAGAGGTCCAAGGAATCCGGCGTCGATGATAGGAGATTCATTAGAGGGGTGGATGGAAATGTTGCGGATACACGCCACAGCGGAGAGGATCAGAGGGAGATACGACGATTGGAGCAGTCGAAGGAGGGAGGGAAGCCCGCGAGCCCTAACAATCTCAAGCTGGTAGCGCTCGTCCGACGCAAGGTTCCGCAACGCCAAAGCCGCCTGGCACTGGACCTTGGGAGACGAAGAGTCCATAAGATGTACAAGTGACTGTACGAGACGGCTTTCGGTCTGCGCCAGCCTCTTCCGGTTCTGCCCATCGACAGCGATGTTGCTAAGAGCCGTTGTGCAGTAGTATTGGACGTCCACGTCGGGGGAAGAGAGCAGTTGGACAAGGACAGGTATCGCTCCGGCGTTCACGAGCTGTTGACGGTTGTCATCTGCCACTATGTCAATGCCATTTCGGTTTAAAATTAGGCGACACGGCAAAATTCATACCAGAGTGCGTCATGTTGAGTAGTGCGCCGGTAGCGTTTCGCTGAACCCGCATGTCCCTGGACTTCGCAAGTCTAGTGAGCGGAGGCAGAGCTCCTGACCGAGCAATCTTTGCCTTGTTTTCCTCATGCGTTGCCAAGTTTGTAATGCAGCCGACAGCGTTGCACTGCACCTCCACGTTCGGCGAGTTCATCTGCTTGATGAGCGGACCGAGACCACCGAGCTGGACGATGCGAACTTTGTTCTCCGCTGCGAGCTGTTAGCCTGTGGGAGATATCTGGGAGCCACGGCGACGTACTGTTGACGGCGAGGTTGCCTAATGCCGCACTTGCCGCCCGCTGCACTTCGATATCGCTGTTCTGGAGAAGGAAGAGGATGGGCTCCAGCGTGTCGCGATCGACTTCTCGGACGTCTGCTCGAAGGAAGACTGCAGTTAGCATACGTGGACGCCGCCAGACAAATGGCAACAGGCGAGCAGCTACACACCTCGTTCTGTTATCTCGGCGAAGGTTAAGCTCGCGCTCCGCTGCAGGTCAATGTTGTCGGAGTACACCAGCGTGCTCAAGGCGCGGAGAGGATCGCCGGAGAAGAAGTCGGTCTCGGCCCTCTGTTGAAGCTCATCAGCAAGGTGTCGTGGGTTGTTAGGGCCATGGGCCATCACGCACGTTCTCGAGATAGCCAAGCAGGTCGGCAACGGCCTCCCGCTCGCTGTCGGCGAGCACAGGATCGTACAAGCCATCCTTGGAGCGGCCTGGAAGGTGGTCAGAAGCAAGTCGTGGACGCGGTGGGCAGCAGCGGGGACGCACCGCCGCAGCAGGAGCTGAACAGCTTGGAGCAGTAGCCCGATAGACCCATCTTGTCGTCGGGCCCTCTGAGGCCGATGACGCTGGCTGGGATCGTGTCTCGGTTGGCAGAGGCAGACTCGGGCGATGGGCCGCGTGGTGAGCGACGCGGGCGGGCGAAGGGTATATGCGGCGGAGGGCGGTGAGTTGGTTGGACGATGGATAGATACTACGAGGCTTGAGCGTGTTTGCGATCGATGGCTGGCCGGCAAGCTCTCGACGGACCCTTGGCGTCTGCTCTGGCGGCTGGCTAAACTCCTTTCGCGGCTGCCGCAACCCACGGGGCCAGCACGCGGCCCACGACTGCCGCGCCGGTGCGTGCGGGTGCGCGTGAAATTATCACCAGAACCGCGCTCCTCGCCCGAAAACACCCAGATTGTCACAAAGCGGAGCCGTCGCGCTGGTCGCCCCATCGCCGTGACGTCGCGCGCCGCCGTCCGCTCCATGCCAGCTGGAGACGGTGCCCACGTGAGGGCGCTGGGAATGCCCGCCTGCCGCCCAACCCGCTCGCCCAGCACCGGCCGGCATGCTATAATAATCCTGAGACGCTGCTGTGCGCCGCCGTTTGCTGCAGATCGCCCGCCTCGCCTTTGCGCAATGTTTCTGGGCTGTGCTTCACGACATCGCCAATGCTGTCAATGCCTGCCAGCGCATGTGCCCCACTGCATGAAGGGTCTGACGGGAGTCTCCAGCCGCACGCGTGAAGTCAACGCAGCGCGGATCCCGCTGCATAGTCGCGCCTCTGAGGCGCGGCCCGCAGCGCGCTGGGTTGTTTGGGCAGCACCAAAGTCCTTGCTTCTGATCTGCTGCAGGGCCGCGGACCTATCCAGAGGACGCGAACCGGACGTGGAAGCTGGCTTCTGACGTCGGATCTGCGCGCGGTGGCCCAGGCAGACAGAGCGACGCTGCTCAAGTCACTACACAGCACGCAAAAGATTCGATCCGCCGACGCTCTGCGAAGGATGCTGCACTCGTCCTACCTGAACGGGTAGTTGAAGCATTTAACCGGACGCGGACGCGAGTCCTTGAACCCGGACAAATGCTCCAGACACAGGGTCCAAGTACCCACCTACCCACGCAAGTAGGGTGCAACATTTCTGCAAGACAGACGCCGGGAGGCTAGGATCTCTAGCAGCCCGCCACCGCTCTGCGGCGCGCCAAGGCCAGCGCCTGGGTGGACGGCGTTGCTCCGTACGGGTGCGGCGTGCCTGCCTGGCAGTGCCACCGGCGGCGTCCGGGGCTCGCCGGCTCTCGGAATGATAAAGAGCCGCCAGCGCCGCCGTGCGCAGGGCCCTGGTGCTCAGCAACACCCTGCAGAAAAGTCTGCGACACAGCTGGCAAGCTACTTTTTTTTTCTTTCCCTTTTGCTCTGTTTGCTCCCCGCCTCGGCGCTACTGCGACGTCATCCGCCCACCAGCGCGCGGTGTTACGAGGATAGGACAACTCTCATCCCACCGCATCGCCTACCGTCGTAGGACGCAGATGCAGCGCTGCAGGCTTCCTATTCGCTGAGCCCCACATTGCCCGCTGCCTCCAGCCTAGCCCCGGCCTCGCCGCCGGCCACCACCCACAAGCTTCAGAGTAATCCGCCAGCCTTTGCTGATTCACTGCGTGGGGGCGCCGCCGAAGTTTTATACTCCGCTGCCTGTCGCGTCGCCGCCTTCAACAAAGAAACCTACGAAACCCCCTCCCCCCCAAGTGCTCTGCAACTCCGCGGTCGAATGGCCCCAGCGGAGGACTCTCCGACTTTTCAGAAACTCAGGCTCAACACCCGCGCCTCCCCGAAGCCTATACCCTCCGCCTTCGCCTTGATCAAGCGCAATGATGGCGAGCACCCCGCTAGCCCGTTCCCCGAGCTGGACGACAGCTACTGGCCCCATGAAGACTCCGCCGTCGCCCTAACCGACTCGGAGCTCGCCGACAATGCCTTTCCCAGCGAACATGAGGGGGGCATGTACGTCCCAGACAAGCGGTCATGGATGGACTGCAAGACAAGCGATCAGTACATGCTCTCTGGCAGTTCGCGACGCTCGCCGTCGCTGGAGCAGGCGTTCAGCCAGCGCCATCGCGCCATCAGCTTTGCGCCGAAGGTGACTTTGGATGGCGGTGACCGCTTCCCCATGGACGCGCCCCTTCCCAAGCCCGATTCCTTCACAAGGCTGGGAGGCGCAGCCGTTGAAGAAGGCCACAATGACCACGAGACAGCCCACTTCCGCAACAACAGCGAAACGGGCAAGGCACGCTACGATACGCACACTGGAGAACCTATGGACATTCGCCGGCCGGGGTTGCCATATCGGACAGGTCAGTCTCGCCATCCTTTGCTACAGGAGACGGTGGATGATCTGGCCAAGGACGCCGAATTGGAGGAAAATGACCGAGTGGCTTCTCTCACTTCTGGCACTACCGTGTCTACAAACGATGGATCGCTTACCCCGCTTGACTCTTCAGCCGACTACCTTCAGTCTCCTCTAGCCGCTTCTTCGCCAATCGACTTCGCTTCTGCGCAAAGCTCGTATTTCCCCACGTCGAGGAGGAGCAGCTTGAGATCTAGGAGTTACTACTCGGACAAAGGAAGCTTGCGACGCAACAGCCGACGAACCTCGACTCGATCCGGCCATTCTTCGATGTCCCCTGCTAGTGCGTTCTTGTCGCAGTGGGGTAAAGAAGAAGCTTCGTCAGTCATCGAGCCGGATGACGAGGGCCAAGAGATCCCTGACCATAGTGGGTACTTCATCGGAAAGCAGATTGGTTTCGGCGGCTTCAGCGTGGTGAAAGAGGTGTCAACGATCCAGGACGGAGTGAAAATCATTCGGGCCGTGAAGATCGTACGGAAGCAGGTGACGGGAAAGGATGAAACGGAGAACGAGAAGCTGCAGACGGAGTTCGAGCATGAAGTCGAGATCTGGAGATACTTGAAGCATCCCTACATTCTACCTCTGCTAACGGTCTACGATACCCCATTTGCTACTTTTTGTATCACCAAAATGAACACCGGCGGTACGCTTTTCGATCTTGTCCGCGCGAATCGCAAGGCAGGTAATGCCGCTTTGCCCTCCAAGTTGGCAAAGCGTTACCTATATCAGATTGCCTCGGCTCTCCGCTACTTGCACGAGGACGTCCATGTCGTTCACCGCGACGTCAAACTCGAGAACTGCCTGCTCGACATGTCTGACCCCGAGGCGAAGACGGAGGGGGGCAACGTTCTTGTCTGCGACTTTGGCATGGCCGACTTCATCACGAACGAAAATCGAAACATGCCGTCTCCCATGGAAGAATCTGCCTACGGTAACGTCGGTCCCTCGGACACCAGCACTTGCATCAACGGTAGCCTGGACTACGCCTCGCCGGAGCTACTGCACGCTCGGACACCGCTGTACTCGACTGCCGTGGACATGTGGGCATACGGTGTGATTGCGTACACGTTGCTCACAGGCAAGCGGCCTTTCAGCCACCACTTCCAGCCAGCGCTCGTCATGCTCATCACGAAAGGCGAATGGGACGAGGAAGCGCTGCGGGAAGTCGGAGCTGACGAGGTTGCGATCGAGCTCATCCGCGGGTGCCTCGAGATGGATCCTCAGCTGCGGTGCACCGTCGCCGATGTGTTGGAATGTCCATGGTTCGATGGCTGCAGTGAGCTTTACGAAGACGTACGACGCGAATGGGTAGACTCCACTTGAATGGGGTGTTCCTTCCACGCCATGCCCACGGATCATCAGCTCGGATTCTCGTAAATTTTTTCTTTGTGGAGTTTTGTTGCCGGTTACTACTATTCTCGCGAAAGCGTTTCGATCCGGACACAAAGTATTGATACCCTACGATACCCTTTCCTTGGGCCTCGTTTTCTCTCCCATCTGCTATGGATTTTGCGATGTGCGATTGTGCATAATTCCTGGCACCATTCAACCTTTCAGCCATTTTGGCGTTTGATTGCGTGTGTTCACATGTCGATAATGGCCTTGCGCAGGCTGCTAAGCAAGAAGTGCTGCTTGCCTCTGCCCACTCACCAACATGAATTTTGGGTTATGGCATGGTTTGGTTGGTTAAGGAGCGGATTTTCAGTCGAGTACCGCAGAGGGTTGAGGAGCCACTGCACTCGTTTTTGCAAGTGTAAGCTTTTGGAAGTGTATTTCCTACCACCCATTGTCTATAGTAGTACGCCTTGCGAAGGTTTTGTAATTACACGATAAATGGAAGCTATCAATGGAAACAGTGGCTGAGGCTATGAGAGGGGCTGGGAATGGTCCGTTTCCGGGGGCCGGTCTTCAAGGATCGGATAGACCCTGAACCAGCGAATGCCGTGCGATGGATGACAACCAGGAATTTTGCGGGGCGAGTCGCGCTCTCTCCGCAAGTTGGCGAGTCATTCAGAGGCCGCCCCACAGCGGGTTGTCAAAGGAATTGAGCCCACCTCTCAAAGGCACTGAAGTTGGATCGTACACGTGAGGCTTTGGATTCGTTCAGACGTTGGACTTAGCTGTTCATGGTAGCGCTGCTTGGTTTGTCTTGCGCAGGCTTGGCCAGGTCAATCTCGAGCTGAGAAGGAAGCAGCGGCCGCGGGCTCGCTCTCAAAAGCGCCGAATGACATCAGCGGCGCTGGTTCCGTCAGCGACGAGGCAGAACGCCCGTCTCCGCACCCCGCACTCTCGCGAACGACTGGTGAAGCCTGTCACCTCAGCCTGTCAGCCCACGCCTCAGCCGCCGTCGTCGTCGGAGGGAAGCCTTGCGGTGCCCGGGTAAATAGCTGCCCGCCGCCATGCATGCGTGAGCGTTGCTCGCTCCCGATCTCACCACCCGCCTACCGTGACGCGACTGTGCTTCTCCATCGCCAACACCATAGCACCCTCAGCTACCGGAGCTACCGGACAGCAAACGAAGAGAAGGCGAGACCACACCGGCGCCAAGACCAAGCGTGTAAGTGGCGCAGCTTTGCTAGCCCCAAGGCGGGGGACGAGCACATCCGATCTTCCCTAATACCGACGACGCTCTTGATAAGTCTGCTTTCTAACAGCCCCGACGCCTGACTAGCCTCCGATAACCCGAGGAATTGCGGGGTGCGGCCAACGGAACCGCCCAAAACGGAAAGGACGCTGCTACTACACCAGACATCATGGGTGAATGTACTGCCGACGACAAGAGGGTGTGCTACGTGCCGATGCCGTCGCTCGGCCACGAGCTGGGCATCATATTCGGCTTCCTCGGTACGTCTGCAGTGAGACGATGCGGCTTCCCCTCTGACTGACAATCTCTCGGCAGCTCTGATGCTCATCTGCATGTGCGCGTACGGCTTCGCGTGGCAGATTGGCAACAGGCGCTCCCTGCGCAAAGAGGAGGAGCGCATCGCCGCCTTGCGCGCATCCGGGCACCTGAAGGACGAGAAGAGCTCGGCCGAAAGCGGCGGTGTCCGACCATAGCTTGTGGCACCACTCTCGCTCGCCTGGGGTGGGTGTCGCCGAAGAAGCGGCCGGCCTGTATCAAACGACGGAAATTCTGGACGATCGCTCTTCTTCTGCGGGGTGGGGTATGCAGGTTTTTCTTGTGGTTGTCTCTTTCCGCATGTCGACTCGGGGCGCACGGCGACTGGCCATGGCTCTCTGCTTCTCTCCCTCAACACCGACCGCCCCGGAGATTCCTCGTCACCCACAATCTCCGCCCCTCAGCCGGCTTTTGATGAGGCCCCTCTCGGTGGGCTCTCTGCGCAGACCCAACTGCGCTCCAATGCAGTCTCGGCCGGCCCGTTCCGTTTTTGCTTGTTGTCGAACGTTGCCTTCTCCTTCTCAATTCGGTACCTACCATAATGATGATTCCCCCTTTTCTCAGCCATATTCGTGCTCTTTCCTTCTGTATGCGATTGCCGTGAGATTGGGATGCTCCGCTCTGGGCCGGTGTGGGAGCAGCGTGAGCCGTTACCGGGTTCAAGGGCGATCCAGACAGAGCAGTGGTAGGACGGAACGGCGACTTGGCGGGCGGCAGTCGGCAGCAAACGACGAGAGTCCGGTGGTGGCGAGTCAAGAAAGAGGGAGAAAAGGCCAACGACGACCAACAAGCCAACAAGCGGCCCTGTGCAGGTGGTGCGCATCACACACGCTGCATGAACGGGCTCCACAACACACGGCGCCTTCCCACGTGCCGATGATGCCCTCCGCTTCGGCTCCCGTCACATCGCCTGCATGAGCACTGTCCTCCCATCATCGCCAGCACCTGCCCTGCCTTGCCCAGCCCGACACTGACACGCGCGCACAACCAAAACCACATTGTATGACGATATTGCCACCACCCACCACGCGACGCCAACGCCGATGAAAGCGCACGAGCCCCTGGACCCTGAGCGGTTGCGATATTGTACCCACAACTCCACTCGCCCGCCGGCTCCACCCTTATCTCCAAGCCTCCCGACAATCCTCGTTAATTGTCAACCTTGATGAGTGCTTGCGATCGACCAATGCCGCCCCCTCCCCTCTCCCAGCCAGTACTGTGGCGGGTAACCGAAAGACGAGGGTCTTCGCTACGAAATGCGCGCTACAGCCTCATGTCGAGAGTCTTGGCGAGAAGGAGAGAGCAGAGAAGAAGCCCAATGCCAAGCAGCTACCATAGTACAGAGTGTATTCTTGCTCGCTCCCCATGCACATGCACCCAAATTTCTGCCCAATTTCGTCATGTTCGCTCTTGCTCTCTCTCTCTCGTGCGCATCGCACTGAATATTGTTGTCTTTGTTCTCTTTTCATCACTGATGGGAACGCGAGCTTTCACCTCCTTTTGTTTGTATTTCTTGATCTCTTTTCATATTAATGATATAAGAAAGGAGACAATAGAGCATGGAGGTAAATACGTAGTCGCCGAGCGGATGATACGGCCGCCCAGCCACCAAAGAGAGAGCGAGAGAAAAAGGAAAAAGGGAAGGGACACATACGAGGAGATAGTACGGACTACACACACGCGCGATAATAGTGCGACGACAAGCAAGGTTGCCTTAGTGTGGCGCCGTCGCCACCACTAGGCGTCTTTTCCTATTTTTGACGGGAAAACTAGAACTACTCCCTCACCAGATGCCTAGACCGGCCCCCCTCTGTAACGGGGCCATGGATTCTCCCATCCCCCTTCTTCTACGGCTTTATTTTTGGAAAGCACTGACGTGGTCAAGGAGTTGATCATGCGGGTGAGGATGACGCCTGAAGGCGTACGTCGCCGTGTCTCACTTGCTTTTCTTTCCTTGGAACCCATGTTTGAGAAATACATGGAAAGAACGCCTTGCATGTGTGTGTATGTGTGTGTGATGAACACACGTGTTACGTGCATGTGGCTGTGGCTGTGTTCCCTGTCCCGTCCTTCTCATCTTCGTGGAATTTGCCTTCTGGGACGCGTGCCGCAAGACATTGGCCAAGGCTTTGACTATGGGGGGGCCACCAACCCGCAACAGGAACAGAGTCCGGCCGGGACGCCGGCGATACGTAGTGCATGTCGTCGTGAACTCTACGTCCAAAAATAAAGACGTCGTGCCTGTCCGTACTCAATGCTCCATGCGACGGACCCAGAAGCGCGGTAGAAACAATAAAGAAGCCTGTTCGAATTCAATCCTGCGTCGTGCCTTAAACTAATGGAAATTCTGGAAGAAGCCGTCATGGCGTATCATGATGCTTGCTCCGCGATATTGATAGTACAGAGAAGTCTAGCTATAGAACAACAACCACAATACAAAAACGTGACGGAAGATGCCGAGTCATTCAATTTACATATCCCACCATGGTGGATCTTAGACGTGAGCGATTGTTCATCCAAAAGCAGATCTACAGGCAATGACAAATTCAATAAAAAAAACATTGTATGACAGATAACTTTAAACAAGGCGCGTCGGTGTCCCCGGCATAAAAGAGAGAAACCCATGACTAATCGCAAGCATGCGATACAGGTGCCGTCCCTTCTATAAGCTGTCCGTCAGATGAACGCCATAACACCAGACATATGAGGTAATCCAGCAGCGAAATGCCCAATGTGCGATGTCGGGGAAATCAAGGGTGCGTGTCGTAATAACCAATACAAGAAAACTTTCATAACGGTGTGATCGAGGAGAGCCAAGCTTTGTCGTCTGCTGCACCTTGAGAAAAAGGAAGGAGGGAACAAGATTCCTGCCGGCAGTGGTGTGGTGCGCCTAAAATGAGAACGGACCGTCCGAGCGAATGCAGGACGGTGATCTTTGACCAAGGCGAGTTACGTTCTCCGTGGCGGGAAATTGCCGGAAAACGGCGAACGTCCGTGATGGTCTCGGCGACCACCTACCAGCAGCGGTGGCTTGCCCGCACCCGTGAGTTACGAAGCAACGGATGGCGGAGCAAGCTAGCGTTATACTTCTCAAACAAGGCCTGGGAGGTAGACGAATGCTCGTGTGATTACAGCAGTCCCGGGCATGGCGGACTAGTGGAGGAACTAGAAGCGAAGCGGAGAATGCAGGCGGTTGGGCAGGCGTTTCAAAAGGGCAGGGATCAAAGCCACCACGACTCTTTAGAAGAGGATTTGGTGCCTAGGTCCGTTTAGTTAGCGCTTGTTGAAGAAGACCATGTGCCGCGAATAAGGGAAGATTTACCTCTGTAATGCGTATTCCAGGCTGACGTCACTCAGCTCTGCGTCGTCTGGGATCTCGTCCATGACTGGCACCAGGCCGGCAAACTTCTCGCTGCCACGATACGCAAGGATTGCGGGCACGCCGGCGACATGCATCTCCGCGTCCTCGTAGTGGAACTTGATGAACTTGACCATGCCATGTCTCCGGGCTAGAGTGCGCAACGCGTCCTCAACCATGGTGCTGATCTCGGACTGGAGTCGGTCAGTGCATGTATCAGATAGACAGGGCGGAGCAGGCACCGACCTTATCGTCATAGATGAAGACCACCACGGTGGTGGCGGATGCCGTCTTCTCAATGGCCTCCAGGTAGCCATCTGCGTCAACCTGCACGAGGCGGCCATACGCCCTGGAGCCAGGGCTGCTGGTCCGCGATCTCGAGCGGGACAGAGCACGCTGGCCCTTGGGCTGGCTCTGGAGCTCGCGCAGCCTGTTCTCCCTCCACCTGGCCAGGAACTCGTCCTCGCTGCCGCTGGCAGCGCTCTTATCGCTGAAGGTGGTGTCGGCGCGGTTCTTCCTCGTCGCGTTCGCCTTCTTCTCGTCGCTGCTGCGGAACAGAGAGAAGCGCTGAGACTTCTTGGCCTGCTCGAAGGCCTGGGCGTCGGCAATGACGCCCTTGGGGCCAGTGTTGGCGTCAGAGCGCACGTGGGGAACGGTGTAGCGGGAACGCATGGTGTCTAGGTCGACGGTGTCGTCGTGGCGGTGGTAATCGTCGTCGTCGTCGGAGTAGTCGCCCTTCTCAAAGAACTGCTCAGAAGGGGATTCGTGGCCGGAGTCGAGGTCGGAGTCGTCGGCGTCTTCAGGGTGCCGGGTGGAATGGTCTTTGTCTCGGACGAGCTCGTTGAATTCTTCTTGAGCGGCGTTCGACATGGCGAAAGGGGAAAGCCTGAGCTTTCGGAGGGGCAGCAGGCTTATAACGGCAGTGAGAGAGCAGGCTGCAGACAGCGTGGGCCCGTTCGCAGTGACAGGGTTTGTCCGCGGCTGGAGGTGATGGCAGCGGGCACGGCGCGTCGGAGGTCGCTGAGTGGGCAGGCAGTGCGAGGATCTGTTCTGTGCTCTGGTGGGTTTCAGCCGTGCAAGTGCTCGAGGAAGAAGGCCCAGGCAGTGCGCGCTAGCCGGGGTGCCCCACGTGCAGTTGCGGACGACGTAAGTAAGGCTGAGGGCTGTAAATGGCTCCGGCCGAGGGCTGCGACGTTGACCGGCGAAAGGGGCAGAGGGTTGAAACGCCCAAGAGCCCGGCTGCGGGGATCAGGCCCAGCCGCCCACCGCGCCAGACGCGCAACGCCGGCTCGTAACCGTTGTCGCGCGTCGTGCTGCACGTTGCTCCGTCCGTGTCAACAAGACACCAACGTCAGGGCGCCTGCGCCCAAGCCTCATCACCACCGCGAGCCCAAATTACGAGCGGCTCTTCAACGGCGCGCGCTACCAAACACGGCACGGGTTACATCATGCCACTCACATGGATGTCCTCATGATCTGCCCTCGCCAGCCCGCCGATTCTTGCAAACCGCACGAGGTCGCGCGCTGGCCCGCCCCCGTCGTGCGGCATCCAGGGCAGCGCCCAGCTGTCCACGGCAAGCCCAGAGCGTCTCTGCGCCGCGCATGACGGATCGTCGACCAACCCCGGCACTTAGCTCACGGCGATGGGCTTGCTTGCCTGCCCGCCGCGTTCCGATACGGCACCTGCAGCCGCGCATGCTGGCTGCCAGGGTCCCTGCCGGTGCCCACATTCAGGTCGCGTCCGTTCGCTGCATTTCCGGCAACACCGATTATCTCTTGTATTGTATGGCATTGAACTCAGATTAAATGCATGCTAGCCAACCGCAATGGACACCTCACCATAAGCCACCACCTGTATAGGAGCTGAGTAAAGAAAAGGGAAGAAAAAAGTACTAAGAACATCTCTCGAGAGGAAAAAGACTGCCGAACCGTCCGGGAAATGAGCACTTCTCGACCGAAAGAGCGAGGGATATCGGTGCCCGTTGCCTTGCGCCTTGGTGAAAGAATCCCGTACGTGACGCGCTTGGAGGGTTCGGATGACGGTAGCTGAAGGTACAGGGAATCGCAGCTTTTATTCCAAAGCAGAAAAGAGTAAAGAAAAAACCGTACCGTCGCCACTGAACAGCGTGGGCCGAAACCACCGACCCGACCCAGACGTTCCACCCGTGTCGAAGAGAAAAAGAAAAAATTAGAGCCGTTTAGGAGTGTACAAGCCGAGACCAGTATGCTCGCCAGTTACTCGTTTGTAATATCGTGCGTAATAGTGAGAAAAGCCGCGTATGATACACACAAAGCATGTTAGCGAGCTTCCCTGTGTGTGCGGTGCGAGAGCGCAGGTAGGTGAGCCACTGTCGGGTCTGCTGGTGCCCGGGGTATTTGGCGCCCGCAACAATCGTCGTTTTAAGAGTTAAGACGGTTTTACGCCCAGATGCGGAGCTGTCGAGCAGGTTTAGCCATGTTGCAGGTTCAATCATAAAGGACCGGTCGACACTCACCATCGAATCCCACGATCCTGTGCAAAGACTCATCGCGTCGTTGCTAACTCCCAAGCAAGAAACACGGTTGTCGTGGCCTTGCAGCGTTCCGACCTTCTCACCGCGCAGGACATCCCACACCTAATACATATGAAGTTAGCACGTGCCTCAAATTCAACGTCCCGACGTAAGTCTTGCACTGACCTTGCACTCAAAGTCGTCGTAACCCGCGAACAGCAGCCTGCCGGAGACGGAGAAAGCGACCGACGTGATGCCACACACGGGCTCACCGATCTGAAACATGTGTCAGCACTTTCCGAACAAATCTTGTGCCCGATCCGGCACATTCAAGCGAGGCTTCATCTTACAGTGTAGCTTTGCAGCTCACGGTCGGCACGGATATCAAATAGACGACAGGATGCGTCGTCGGAGCCGGTACCGAAAGCATTGCCGTTGGGGAAGTACTGGATGGCGTTGATGTCCGAGTCGTGCGCTGCAAAAGTCTGTACACACTTCTGCTGGCGGATATCCCAGAGCTTGGCAAAGGCATCGCAGGCACCGGACACGAACTGGTTGTTGTCGAGCGGGTTGATGGACAAGCTCATGACATCGCCGAGGTGGTCGGCAAACTCGTGGATTTTCGAGCCGGTCTCAAGATCCCACAAAACGCAAGTCATATCACCGGACGAGGTAAGAATGCGCCGGTCGCTGATGAACCGACAGCAACTGAGGTAGCCAGAGTGGCCGGAGAGCTCACGCGCGACGCGAGTAGGACCTTCCCGCGCAGACAGGTTGTAGATGGAGCAGATGTTGTCGAGACCACCGCAGGCGACAAAATTGCCGCTGGGCGAGTAGGCGCAAGTCATCACCCAGGACGAGCGCAGCGGGATGGCGTGAACCTTGTTGGTGGTGTATGCATCCCAGATGATGAGCTTGCCATCTTGCGACGCGGAGACGAGGTGCCTGCGGTCCGTCGACCAGTGCATGGCGTAGATCTTGGCCAAGTGACCCTTCAAGGTCCGCTTGGTCTTCATCGTCAGACGGGGCAGCGCCTCAACACGCTGGCGGGCGACATCGCGGACTGCGGCAGAAATTAGCATTCGAGGCTGCTGGGCCATTGGCGCGGCGCTCTGCTGGCGAGAATGGGCACGTACGGGTGGTGTCCGCAAGCTCGTCCTTCTTCCGCTTTATCCGGTCTTTGAGCGCCTCTGCATCGCGCCGTGCGATCTGGATCTTCTGCTGAATGCTCTCGGCATTCAGGTCGGCCATTGCGACGGGTGGGTGCTTGTGGATGGAGGGAGGTCAGGAGGGAGGCGCGGCGTCGGCTGCGACGAGGCACGAAGATCCAGGGGCGGTTGCGACTGGCGGGCTTGCGATGCGGGCGGAGCGAGTGAATGAGTGACTGAAGGTGCGGTCCGCCAACCCGTTCGACGAGCGCGATGTAGTTTGGGCGAGCCCTGAAGTTGACGAGATTCGAGCTGTGGGCAGGCAAGGAAGGTTGGAGTTGAATCGAAGGGAGAGCGGCCGGCTGGAGGGTGCAGGTCGAGCGTTCGCTGCTTACCGTTCCTAGAAGACGCTAGGTCGCGCCCCCTAATTATTAACTACGCGAGAGTCGACGCTGCCGCTCTCGCGCGCTCACTTTATTCAGAACAGCAGGACACCGCCAGCACGCAGCACCCACGCCGTCCGACGACGGTGCGACCGCTGCGGTGCGCACGCCGTGCAGCACCCGCAGGCCCTGAGGGGTGCCGGAGCGTGCAACAGCTTCGCAGAGCTGCAATGCCGGCCTCCAGCAACGGCGCTAGCGCAGCCAGAGTGGGCCCGGCCGCCGCGTTCAGAAGCAGCCCACTCGCTGATTTTCTCTCACCCGGCTGTCGATCCCTACGCGGCACCGCGTCCGCATTCCACCCTCCGTCGAACCTCGCCGCCCACGCGAATCGCGCGAGAACGACCCCTCACCACCGCCACGAGGATGGACCAGACTGCCGCCCGCCGGCTTGCCAAGGCCCTGCCGAAAGTCGAGGTACGCAACGAGGCCCAGTGCCAGCCGCAATCCGCCTAGCGGCCCAGCGGAATCGTCCACCCGTCCCGGCTACCTCGGGCTGACTGTTCGCCGCCAGCTCCATGCGCACCTAAGCGGAAGCATCGATCGTGACTGTCTGCACGAGATTTGGGCTCGCCGACGGCAGGCAGATGACCGCTTCGACCTGCAGGACCCGCTGGACGCCATCCCGCCCGGCAAAGTCGACTACGACCTCAACACGTGAGCCGCCTTTTCCTCTTTGCTGCATCGAGCATGTCGCGGGGTCAAATGAGCTTCTGCATGGGCGCGCTGAGCTCCCACACCTGCTTTCGCTTGGTAAGCCGTAACACGGCCCGGGAATGAGCTTCTATGCACGCCCACCAAGAATAGACGCTTCTGTGAGACCATGCGCGCGACGACATGGGCACACCTGGGCTCGCTATCGGCTTCAGAAGCGAGCGAAGCTACATCGCGCCACTCGCACGGCCGGATGACTGCTTCGGTCCTTTTCATAGGCGTGGTCGTTCCTCTCCTCCGGGGGAACCTCCTGTATTTCAGCCCCCTACAACAGTCATTTCGTAGCCATTGCATTTCAGTTCCCTGCTCCAATTTGGAGCTCAAGATACTTCCTGAGAGGTTGTCGCGGCTGACTGGTTTGTATGTAGCTTTTTCCCGTTGTTTTCTTCATACATCTACAAGCTGTGCAGTGACGTAGAAAGTATCAAGTACGCTTGCATGTCTCCGCTTTGATCGCAACGACGGCTCACCAACCAGGTACTCCACACTCTCGGTGCTCGAGTCATTCCGTCGGGATAACGTCGTGCACTTGGAGTTGAGGACAACGCCACGCGCCATTCCAGACCAAGAAATCACAAAGAAGCAATATGTGGAGACGATACTCGCCTGTATCGAGGAGCACAATGCCCTCCCCTCGAACACGATGCGTACAGGGCTTATCCTGTCCGTGGACCGCCGAAACTCCTTAGCCGAAGCTGAGGAAGTTGTCAGTTTGGCATTGTTATTCAAGTCGAGGGGCGTCGTCGGCATCGACTTATGCGGCGACCCTGTAAAAGGCGATGTACGCATCTTCTCCCAGGTGTTCGCAGGTGCCAAGGCTGCGGGCATGAAAATCACTGTCCATTTCGCCGAGGCCGCTGCCTCCTCGACCGACACAGAACTGTGGACATTGCTGAGCTGGTCCCCAGATCGGATTGGACATGTCATTCACGTGAAAGAAGAAATCCGCCAGAAGATTATCGAACAAAAGATTGGAGTTGAATTATGCATCAGCTGCAACGTCCATGCTAAAATGATCACGGGAAGCTTCCAAGACCATCATTTTGGGTGGTGGAGAGATTCAGGGGTTGGGGTGGCGCTCTCAGTAAGCAACGAGCCACACTGAATCATGTTCGTAGGGGATGAACTAACGCTTAAACTTTAGACAGACGACGTCGGTGTTTTCTGCAGTCCTCTATCCGAAGAGTATTGTCTGGCCATCACACATTTCAACTTGACTAGGGAAGATGTCAAAAAGTTGTGTGAAGGCGTGGTGGATGTCATCTTTGCGAGCGACGAGGAGAAAAACCGACTGCGGGAGTTGTATTCGTCTTGGGACGGATGGAATTGAGCGCTTGGTGCAACCATTGCCAATATGCGAAAGCAAGTGCGAAGGCTGTCCAATTATTGGACGCAGTAAGACACTCGTGAGACTGAAATATTATGATTAACGGATTCAGAGCATCATCGTTAGTTCCTGAGTAACACTGCAGCAACTGCATTTTTAGTGTGAGGCTTGCTTCATGAGCCGTTTGTGTGAGATGGTTTCAAGAGTGCAATGCACCATGGAATAAATCTTCTCGACGTAACAGAACGAATCAGTCGACCCACTGAAAACAAGAGGGAAATGCTGCGAATGCATTGGACCCAATCTTACCCGGGCATGCTGCATGTTCTAGCAGGGTTTCGCAAAGGGCTTGCAGATGAAACCGAAAACCGGCACACGTGCACATGTGATCGCGCGTGCGCGTATGTAGGCTTCCACCCGAAGTTCTCGCTGACGCATGACGAACTTTCACCCCGCCGCTTGTGCTGCCTACCATTTACTCCCCGCACTCGCGCGCCAAACTTCAACGCGATCACTAGAAGCGGCAACCAGCGAGAGTGCCGGCGCAACACCTGTCCTTTGCGGTCGTCCAGTCCGTTTCGCCATCGGGCGACTGCGTCGCACGTTGCAGCGATGGCGCCCTCAAAAAGATCCGCGCGCCGCAAGCCGCAGCAAACACGGCTAAACTTCACACCACTGCCCTCCTCGTCGCCTGCTGCCGCACATTTGTCGCCTGACGTGCGCAACCGCGCCGCTGCGGTAGATTACACGGGCTCACCAAGTCCTGCGAAAAGGCGCAAGATGGCCCCGAATGATAGCGCTGTCGGAGGTAGGCATACATTCTGGTGTCCGATTGAAAGATGAGATATTGTCACTGTGCCCGGCTCCGTCGGGTATGTGCTCGGCATGTCCATTCGGAGATCCCCTCCCGCGATCCTGCTTGCGAGACTAGATCTTACACAGGCTCTACTCTGCATCTGCGTGACGGCGGTGCCTGCACACGCGCTTTCGCCGTCGCCACACGCTCTTGTACCGAAGCGACCCTGCGAAAGCTGTTTTGAACACGAACCATACATCCTGCATACATTTGAAAGCTGACCAATCCTGATGCTCAATAATAGGAACCACTCGAGCCACCATGACACCAATTACCCAGCGAGAATTGGATCTTGAAAGAGACGATAGTAGCGACGACAGCGGTCCCATACCAAGATCACAACGGAGTAGCAGAACATTCTTCGCCAGCGGCAGAGCCAAACGCCAAAAGAAGATCACTCTTGCCCAACCGGATGAGTCGCTACCAAAGGTCAAGGAAGAGGACAATGATACCCCGGAGAAGGTGCTAGAGAGCGACAGCTCGTCTGAAGATATTCCAGTGCGCAAGCGGGCTCAACCTGCCACCCCGAAGGTGGGCGCCTCGAAGAAGTCTAAGAAGAGGAAGGCTTCGCCTGACAGCTCCCAAGGCTCGCCTCAAGCAAACAAACGTCAGACGAGAGCATCTAAGCGGGGTAGAAAGTCTCGACAGGCAGCTGTAGGCATTTCTGAGGACTCGGAGGACCTCGAAATTGTGGGCGGGCCATCAAACGCCTCAACTCGTGATTCTGACTTTGGTGAGCCCGAATCCAGCGACGACAACGTTCTTCCTTCCTCGCCTGGGGCAATTCCGAGGAAGAAAAGGGGAAAACGATCCCCTAAAGTGTATAGCGAGGACGAGGCAAGTGACGACATGCCCGTCTCGACGAGAAAGAGGAGAGCTCCTCCAGTTTCCGACAGTGAAGATGAACCAGTGACTCAGAGTTCCCGCATACGATCGCCTTTGGCGGTCCAGCAGGAGCGGGAGGACCTTGCAGAAGACCTTGAGTTTCTTGGCTCGTCACCGCGGAAGCTAGATGTCCCCCGCAGGCCACGGAAAGCTCCACCGGCGATGAACGCCCGTCAAAGGGCACTGGAAGCACTCAGGAGACGCCGTGCTGGCGAGAAAGATCTATCTCCAGAGGTCGAAGAAGAAGTCCGGTCAAGGCGCCAGCGTGCTCTATATGACACAGACTCAGAGTCGGAGTCTGAGGCTGACCAAGACCAAGATGACGAGGAGGAAGCAAACGATGACGAGGACGAGCTGTCCGATCGGCCTCATGCCAGAGTCCATCAGGCCACTACAATGGACATGTTCCAGGAAGACGATGACGACGAAGATTTCCTGGTCGAGGACGATGAAGACGAGACTATTGGCGTCCCGGGCGAGACCGACACTATACCTCTCGCATTCACCAGCATCAGCCGTGCCAAGGGCAAGGACCTGTTCAAATATGCAGTGGAGTGGATGGTACAGAAGAAGTTGAATCCGGGATTTGCCAAAGACGATGAGATTTACAGGCTGACGTTTAGGAAATTGGACGATGAGGTCAAGGGGCTCGCAGGCTCGAAATTCACGTCTTCAGCCTGGACTCGGGACTTCACCAGAGCTCTTCATGCCAGGCCACGGTTGGATTCTGTCGAACTCGGCGGTGCATCGAGGGCTCTACTTGAAAATCATTGTCAAGCATGCAACCGCCGGACTCATCCTGCCACATGGGACATCATGTTGACGGGAAAGGCCTACAAGGGCGACACACTCTCCGATGTAGAAGACAACGATTCATCCGACTCGGACGAGTCAGAAGACAGCGATTTGGATGACGAGGACCGTCGTTCTGTGGATGCGAACGGACACTCGCTCCCACCGGAATCTACCGTTTTCCATGTTGGAGTACACTGCAAAAACAACGCGGAGACGGCGCACACGCTGACGCACTGGCGCTGGCATTTGTATGATTGGGTCAAAGACCATCTACAAATGCAGGGTCATCTTGATGCTGAAAAGATCGTCGAGCGCGACGGATGGAAGACCAAGAAGAGGACGAAGTATGCGAACAAGGTCGTCGACGAAATGCAGGCGAACGGTGAAATCAAGAAACTATGGCACGACTTCCGGGCCACTATCAACACTGCCAGGGAGGCTAAGGTGAGTTCGCAGGCTTCCTCCACCATTCTTTGAGGATCATTTTCTAATCGTTATTTCAGCAAGCTGGTTACAGTCGGTACGCCAGATAGCCTGGATCTCGATCGTGGCATCTGGATCCCCATGCACGTCTTCGAATAGAACATTCTCGGAGCCTTTTGGGTCTTCCCGTTTCCACGCCATTTGACTTGGGATGTCGGAGATTGGCACGCACAAAGACGTCTGAGAGAGGGTGGCACATTGTATGAATAGTTCAAGCTTGGGGCAAGGTGGGCGGCTTCTGTCTTCCCTTCTTTTCATCATTATATGCATAGATAACCCCATAAGCGAGAGTGAGTCGGTGGAAGCCTCTGTCTTATATTTTTCTTGGATGAAGAATTATCCATATTGTCCTCGTAGCTTTGCATTGACGAGAAACCCCCGATCACATGGCTCAAAGCATCGGTCACCACTCGTGTGCCTGAAGCACCAGTATTCATGTAGTAGAATAACCGGAGGGCTTTTCTTGTCCCTCATCCTCGAATTCTTATATAATTACTCCAATAATCGGTCGATGCTTCGATAGCCGGCAGCTGCTAGCATTGATGCTGTTCATTAAACATCAGTGCTCTTCCCCTTTTCTTCTCGTTATTGCATACGACTCATGTACCATCCTTTCGTCAATCCTTAGCTTCAATGACCCCAACCTCATTCAGCGAGTTTGGGCACGGCTGTACGGCATTCCCATCACCTTTCTTTAACCTTCACACCGGGATCAGTCTGAGATCCCCCCTCCCCTCCCCGCTCTCCTTTCCTTTCACCGCGGCAAGCCACTCCCGGCGCTCCCGCCCGCCGCAGCGCCCTCGCCGGCACCGGCACCGGCACCGGCACCCCTGGCGCGGGACGCCAGGCTGACGCGGACGGGCTCGGTGGGCCCGCGGGCGAGCAGCTCGTCGAGGCCGAGGTCGCGCCAGGCGGGGGTGCGCTGCTTCTGGGTGGCGCGCTGGATGCCGAAGGCGGCGTGCTGGTCGGGCACCACGTCGTCCTCGTCCTCGGGGTTGATGGGCTGGTGCTGCGGCGCGACGTAGATCTCCTCGGGCAGCAGCGGCGTGCGCGTGAACTCCTCGAAGAGGTCGGCGAAGTGCGGCTGCGGGAGGTGCAGGTAGGTGCGGGAGGAGTCGCGGGACTGGAGGGGGGGGGTTGGGGTTAGTAGGGTGGTAGGGGGGGTTGGTTGGTTCGCGGTGAGGGTGTGAGAGGGTGGCTGGGTGGGGGGAGGGGCGGTGAGGCTGATGGCTTTGGGGAAGTCGTGTTGGAAGAAGGCTTACCATGGTTGATCGAGTTGAAAGTCGGGCGCGGAGTGTGAGTAGGTGAGTGGTCGTCAGGGGGTGTCTCGTGGTCGACTTGAGTAGGGCGGAGAGCTGGGTTGATGCTCGAAAAGGCAGTCAAGGCCCAACGGCACTAGGCTTGGTGGCTCAGACGTGTCGCCTGCGGAAGATTGGACGCCAAATGGAGTTTCGCGAGTGTTTGGCTCTTTCGCGGCCCTCAAGATAGGCCTTGATGCGGATTCTGATTGCCCAGGCTGGCTGCAGTTGGATGGTCAGGACGGTCCAGAGGTAGGCGCGAATCAAAGCAGCCTTGAGAGAAGTCATAATGGGCAAGCATGTGATTGGGAGTGAAGACGATAATTAAGACATAGAGATGGAAGAAGACGGGTGTGGGCGGCCGGTGTTCTTATGTGCAGATCCCCCCACAGCCACGTCGTTTGCAATCCGGGTTGTGGAGCAGTGCACACGGAATGGAGGCTCAGCAGTACACGCAATGGGGGCTGACTAGAGGAAGTAACGAGAGATCTCAGGCGTACCAAGCCGGGTTACTCACGGAAGCGGCGCGGTGAGGTCGACGGAAGAGTCGGAATGCGAGTGCCGGGATCCGGTGAGCAGGCGGGAGGCGGTCTTTTTGTTTAGCTTGACTGCTATCCGGTTTCAGGCCCAAGGGCAGAGTGATGTTCCGTTGGATGTTTCGAGCACCTCTGCGTTAGCGCGCAGCGGGGCGCAGCGTGACAGAGGTCTGGGCTCCAAACTGCGCGCGCGGTTGTTCCAGCCGCGCGTACAGATGCCAACTGCGCAGACGGAGCGATTCGCCCACCGCAGCCACCCACACCAGCGGGCAGCTGGCGCCAAGCCTCGGGCCGACCTCGCTTAGGAATTCTCGCACTGTGGATAGCGCAAATCGACCCAAACGCGACACGCAGAAACGACGACCTCCGAGACGACCACGACGGTAACCCTGCCCCTCCGGACGAGCTTCATTCAACGAGTGCGTGTTGCTGCTTGCCGTGCTCCTGCGCTGCTGCATCCATTCTAACACGGAACCGCTCCAGACACCTCCGTCCCACGACACCGACACCTCGCAACCATGGCCCACGAGACCGTTTACTTCTCCCGTCCCCGTACCTACGGCAAGGGCGCCCGCGGCTGGTACGTCTGAACCTAGCCCAGTATGGCATCGATGGAGGAATCAAGGTTGCTTTATGTGCTCAACGGGGCAAGGGAGGGGGGAGCACCTTGATGGAAGCGATCGAGATACTCTGTTGGGCGCCCGTTGAACCATCCGCTGACGGACCCTCCTTCTAGCCGCGTTTGCACCCACAAGGCCGGTCTGATCCGCAAGTACGGCCTCAACATCTGCCGTCAGTGCTTCCGTGAGAAGTCCACCGACATTGGCTTCGTCAAGGTACGGATAACTCCCGCCCCTGGTGGAACAAATGCGCAGCAATGCGACGTGTGGGGGAGCGAAGTTTTGGGAAATGCGGTGCAGGAGACGGCATTTGTGATGATGGATGGCTAATTCTGGCACAGCACCGGTAAATGCGCTACTGGAATGGAGTGATGAGCTGTCTGGGGGGTTATCTTTGGGAACCGGTCATGAGCGGTCATGGGCTATAAAAGCGTACGCGAGTGACGCAAAAATGGAGTTTCCTTCATTCTATGGGCCTTGCCTCACGACCTGCGATGAAATCTCGCATTGCTCCGTGGGCTGGATTCACCGCGTTAGGAATTCAGTTCTTCGTCTCGACTCCCATTTCCTCTGGCAATGAAATGACGCCTTCAGTTGGAGAACTCATTCCGCTGTCCATGACGCGAACAAAGAAGCCAATGTCAGGGAAAGCACGAGGATCGCATTCACCTTGGAAAGAAGCAACGAATTTTCAATGTCCATGACTTTGCTACAGTGTCGGACTAAGGAAGCCCTTTCCAAATGAATCACTCCCCCCTTTTGTCGACCAAGTACACTGTCTTTCGCTGTGGGCATTACCAACAGAGCGCTCCCATTATTTATTAATCTTGCTACTACGGGCTGTATTTTCACCCGCTGCGAAGACAGTAAAGGGTATCTAAAGCGGTTACGTTCAAGACAGTCACGTTATACAGGGTACCCCGACGACGAAGCGCACGGGATTCGCAGATGCCACTGCACTGCACGAGACCTAAGGTCTGGCGGCAAGCTTCCATTACAAGCATCAGCCTATGCCCGCACTCTTCGATGCCATCTACCACGCTTGCTGAGCTGGGCCTTCTCTTGAAGCAAAACTGACACTTGCCGATGTGCTCCAATGCTCTGCTTCTATCACAGACATTGAAGTCTCACCTTCAGCGCGCGCCGCAACCATGGCTCCGGTGGGTCTGGCCGACCTCGTTCGTCGGGGCACGAACTCGACCTGTCCAGGTTGGCCTTTCATGAATTTCACAACCCCATTCCTCTCCACTTCCGTACCGACAAAGCCTTCCACAAGCTCGCCGATTTCACCTGCTACTCTGAGTGTCCTCAACAGCACGGCCAGCGCATCGTCAATCAATCACGCTCCTGACCCAGGAACGCTCGTTACAGAGCTCTCGAACATTTCAATACTGCAGTCACCTTCAACTCCAAGGCCGCCGTACGCGAGTGCCATGGAATTCACCACAGAGACTACCACAACGACACTTTCGCCTTCAGGACCCACGATGCCCAATACCACCACACTCTTCGTGACCATGACTGATTTGCAGACAAGCACCGGTACTACTACGATCTTCAGGACCGTCACTATTCCACTACCTCACCCGTCCTCGCAAGGGCTTACACTTTCGAGATTGGTCGACACCAGCACTAAGAGACGCCCCACGACGGTAACTATCACGAAATTCCCGACCTCGACTATCCACACAACCATGACTGTCACGTGGTTTCCACCACCATCCACAACTACAATCACAGAGCTCACGACTCAAGCTCAAAAGACAAGAAGTGCACCAGCTCCTGCACCAACTGTGACAAGCAGTCTTCCTGGAGTCCTCAGCAGCATGCCAGCCACCACAAGCTTACAACAAGACACTAGCTTAAGCATCTCCAGTACGAGCTCACCATCCTCGTACTACCTCACCGTTGACTTCCCCTCCGCTTCGATGCCGGACAGCCCGGCAACCACCACATACCCGCCATCCTCCCACTCGCGCCCGACCCACACGAACCAGCCTACACATTCAGCCGTCGGCGGCGCTGGGAACGGGTCGGTCGGAAATGAGAAGTCTATCACGACGATTGTGGGCACGGTATGCGGAGCCGTCACATTTGTTCTGGCGTTGTTTGCAGTGGGAGCATGGTGGAGGAACAGAAAGACTGAGAAGAAGGCCAAGACTAAGAGGTCGAGGCCGATGACGGCGGTGAGTGCCAGAAGGACCCCGACAACAGCTTCGTGGATGAGCAGTGGGCTCGAGCGTGGAAGAGGCTTGGAGGGAGGCGGAAGAACATATGCAACGGCGATGGAAGATTGAACATGGTAGAGCGAGTGAGATCGGGGTGCTGCTGTTGGAACGAGGGGCATCCGGATATGGCGTATGATGCTGGTCATGGCTTGACTTCTAGATTGCTTCTCTTTACAAGCCCATAATCTCAATGGAAGACAATGCAGTTTTCAGCCAATTCCCGGGAACATGTAGCTCTCAAGGTCTCGTCCCGCTAGCGGAGTGAGTCGCTTCGTTGCAGGCGACGCGCGAGGCCGGTGCGGCTTAGCTCTGGCTGAGTGCTAGGGCCGTGGTATGGATCGGGTTGAGTGTGGCGCGGGGTAGGGTCCTATTTATCCACCATTGAGACCCGGAAACTGAATCGCGCGCCCTTTTTATTTTTCTCGCCCGTCTTTGCCATGGAGCCTGCAAATCGCATCGACTTTCGCATACACACAACGTCAGGCCAGCCGCGATGACCCCGGAGACGCAGGATGATGTAACCAACGAGGGGCAGCAGGACCCCCGGCTCGCCAACTCCTCCTGCTCCTCCAGCAACAACAAAACCACCACCAGCGTCCCGCTCTCCTCGATCGCGCCGGCCCTCGTGCTGGGCGGGGCGGGCCTCAGCAACCAGCTGCACCCGAACCCGGCGTCGCTGCCGACACGGCACATGGTGCAGCGCGCGCTGGACCTGGGCTTCCGCGCCATCGACACGTCGCCCTACTACGGGCCCTCGGAGGTGCTGCTCGGCGACGCCCTCGCGCAGCCCGAGTTCGTCGCCACGCACCCGCGCGACAGCTTCCTGCTGATGACCAAGTGCGGCCGCGTGGCCGCCGACCACTTCGACTACTCGCCCGCCTGGATCCGCAAGTCGGTCACGCGCAGCCTGCAGCGCCTGCACACCCCCTACCTCGACGTCGTCTTCACGCACGACGTCGAGTTCGTGTCCGTCGACGCGGCCGTCGCCGCCGTGGGCGAGCTGTTCGCGCTCAAGGACGAGGGCAAGCTGCGGTACGTGGGCATCTCGGGCTACCCGCTGCCGCGCCTGGCCGAGGTCGCGCGCGCGGTGCGCGACCGCCACGGCCGCCGCGTCGACGCCGTGCAGGTCTGGGGCCAGCTGACGCTGCAGAACACGGTGCTGCTGGACGAGGGCGGCCTGGGTGAGCTCAAGGCCGCCGGCGTCGACTGCGTCTTCGCGTCCAGCCCGCTGGCCATCGGCCTGCTGAGGAAGAAGGGCGTGCCCGTCGGCGAGCTGGGCGATTTCCACCCCGCGCCCCCGGGCCTGCGCGAGGCGGCGGCACGCGCCTCCGAGTTCGTCGAGGGGAGCGGGGGTGTCAAGCTGGCCGAGTTGGCGCTGAAGTATGCCGTTGCGCAGGGCCTGGCTGCGGGACAAGAGACGGGGCTGAGGTTGAGCACTATTCTGGGCGGAGGCACCACGCATGAGATAGAAGACAATTGGGAGGTTGGAAGCACCATCACCGGTCGGTACGAGGCCAGGAGAAGAGCAACGGACAACGGGAAGGGAGGAGAGGAAAGACTCAGCGGGCTTCTCACAGAGAAGGAGCTTGAGCTGGCTAAAGGGACGAGGGACATACTTGGGCAGTGGCTGAACCACAGTCTGGGGAGTTGATCAAGGAAACAGCCGAAACATGAAAATTCAATACGTCTCCAACCATCCAAATGGTCCATTCTGTACTGCGTTGGCGCTAGATTGACGGCTCGGGTTGTAAGGCTACCGTCTACTCAACCCGCCATGTAATTTGAGGTACTGACGGCACGGAATAATAGCGATGCGGGTCGCGTCAGCACGCACAGTATGAGGGAGGCCGAGGGCGAAGCCGAAGGTGGCTTGAAGTCACAGTTAATAATGATAGTTGCATATCTATGCATCATGGAAGGATTTATAATAATAACGGTTGCATATCTATGGAGCATGGAAGGAGTTATCGCTATTAACTCCGTTTGCAGCTGCTTATCTCATGCTTCCGCCCCCGAACTGGTGATCGACTCAGGCAACTCTTGCCGCATGTGCCCTGCGTCCTGCACGGAGTTATCCATGTATGCGGAGTTTAAGTGCTTGGTACGCTAGTGGTTATATATACAAAGAGCTGACAGTGAACAATTGAATCTCAGCTTGTATCAAATACCAAGACTTCGTCACCACCCTTGAGAACAGCCGGAAAAGACAAACACCGCAAGACAATGGCAATCTTCCTCACCGGAGGCGCTGGCAAGACTTCAAGCCGCGTCGCCTCGCTGCTCCACGATGCAAAGATCCCTTTCGTCCTGGGCTCGCGCAGGGGCGCCTCCGCAGCTCCCGCGGGCATGGCTGCTGTCAAATTCGATTGGCTGGACGACTCGACTTACAAGAACCCGTTCGAGCACGCCTTTCCCAACGGAGAGACCATCAAAGCCATCTACCTCGTTGCACCCGAGCAACAAGACCCTGCGCCGGTAATGGACGCCTTCATTGACTATTGTGTCAAGCAGCACCGCGTCAAGAGGTTCGTTCTGATGGCCGGGAGCTCTTCCACGCCCGGCAGTCGACATGTCGGCAAGGTGTGGCAACACCTGCTCGACATTGGCGTTGACTACGCTGTTTTGCGTCCTTCTTGGTTCATGGGTACGGGGTGCTTTCTTCTTCTTCTTTTTTTCAGTACTGGCCAGACATTGCTGATGCAGTTGGCGAAACAGAGAACATGTCCGAAGGCTGGTCGCAGGCGTCCGTCAAAAGCGGCCTGCTCGTCACCGCTTGCGGAGACGGAAAGATCCCTTTCATCAGCGCCGATGACATAGCCGCTATGGTCTTCCACACACTCACGGACGAGAAGCCACACAACACCTCCTATCGTGTACTGGGCCCTGAGTTGCTGACACATGATGATGTACGTATGACCCATCTCTTCCCCCACCTGTGATTCCTGTAGTCTCGTTGCTAACTTTGATGACAATTCTCAGATCGCACGGAAGCTTAGCGAGGTGCTTGGACGTGAGATCGTCAACATGAAGCAGTCTGGAGAAGAGCGGAAGAAGGCGCTCCAGGGATACGGCCTGCCCGATCACTACGCCGACTTTCTGACGGAGCTTGAGCTCACCGCAGCGAGGGGCGGAGAGGCGTACGAGGGCAATGAAGTGGAGAAGGTCACCGGCCGACCTCCTCAGACTTTTGACGAGTTTGCCAGGAAGAATAAGGCGAAATGGGACTAGACGAAAGCATGCATCGCTTCCCCTAACGCGCTACATGCTGGCAGACTCCTTTCTGTCCTGTAAATGCACATCCTTCATTGCATTCCCATGTTGGAGCTTCGGCCGATCTTTACCAAATCTATCTAATTACCAAATACCACTCAATTTTCCAGTAGTGGCCTCAGTGTTGTTGAAAAGGCTTACAAGCTCCAGAGTTCGATCCGAAATACAAAAGAAACAACTCACGTATAGCTCTCATTTTGTTTCTCTAACGTAGTACGGTAAGAGCAGAGCAAAGTAGAAGCCTCGCATTTCAACGACTCAGTAATGCGTTCGCCTGGGCTGATTCCGATTTCAGATCTTCCTCAGAATGCGGGGGTCGATCCGAGGAATCGGACTACCAGTAGTACGTCTAGGGGCAATCCCTACTCTTCAAGTTTCGTGTTTCCTCTCTACTCCTCCCAACTGCCACAGTGCTGCTGTTACGATTCGCACAAGCCTACCTGTTCGTAGGTCTTCATACTTTCCACGCCTAGCATCCCCTTCATACCATTTCTACATCTCGGTCCGACATGACTCGGTCTCGGCCCGGGAGGGGCCCATAACCACCACCGAGATTTTCATCCACCATCACCAACGCGTATCGAGAAACATGGTGGCTAGCATTGATACAATATGTTTACCATACTAGCCAAAAAGCTTTCCACGATTAGGATGGCGCAGCCATCCACAACACAGAGGAAGTCAATAGGCTTCCTGCTCAGTCTCTGTGGTCTAGTCGGTTATGACGTCGGTCTCATACTCCAGTATGACTTCCTCTCAGAGGTGGCGATCCGAAGGTCCGCAGTTCGATTCTGCGTAGGGACATTTTTTTTGCTTCTTCCCATCCGGATTGGGGTTGTTGGGCTTCGCCTTCTTTTTTGCTCACTTTCCATCCAGCTTTGTTGGTGTTTTGTTTGTGGCGGTGGGCGGCGGCATAGATGCGGGATAGTTTTTCATCTTGTTTCCATCTGCCCCCCTGCCTCATTCACTCGCTGATGGGTTGCAGTGGGAATGAAATTATTCTTCTTTGCTGTTGTGTGGAGGTCCTTTCGTGCTTTTCGGGTTGAACGTTTTGTCGCCGGTAGTGGATAGCGTGTACCAGTGGTGCGACTTGATCCATTCCGCTTTTATCCGGAGGTGGTGCTTTACCGAGAGCTTGTCATGGGCCTTGCTAGATCTCGTAATTGGAAGATATCCAAAAGGCTCGATTAGATGCTCACAGGGAAGCATACGTGAGTACTTTTTCTGAAGCCCGCAAGACCCGGATCCTTTCAGATCCCGTATTGCATCAGAACAAGTTGATTATGTAGCGAGCTGGAAGCTCTCGATCTGCTTCAAGAGGCAGAAATTGGAGTGTAGACGCGGGAAACAGGTATCCCTTCTTTACTTCCAAATGCCTATGACCAAAGAGTTCTTGAGCAAGAGCTTGAAGACTTCACAGTACCTTCGACTAGAGATGTTCTCGCACTGAGCCTCTGCCCAAAGCTTCGACAGCATTTAATTCGACAGTTAGGAGAGGACGCCGTTTCAAAAAATAGTGGGAATTTAATTAAGACGCCAGCTCAAATTTGCCAAGTTGGATTAGTCTGCAAGCTCAAAAATGCTTTTGGAGACTCGCCACCCCCCAGAAGATAGTTATATAGCGCCAACCAGATGCAATCAAATCCGCAAACACCTCGCAATGCCAGGATTACCCGACCCGATGGTACCTTTCTAATCCTTTTCGTTACCCAGTGCATCAGCATAGCCTTGTCTTGCATAGTGCCATAAGTAGATTCCCTCATCCCACAATCTCGTCCCAGTCCGGCGTGACGACGAATTTGCCGCAGACCTGACCGACGCTCATGGCCTCACCGCCATCCCTGCCCACTCTCTGCTCCTCTGGGATGATCTTGGTAACGATGATGTCCTGAAGGAAAGAGGCGTCCATTCCCATGCAAAGCTCCAAGCTGGTGCCGCCCCAATCCAGCGTCGTGCGTCCGCTCTTGTGAACCCGCAACTTGCCGACCGCGCCAGACGCGAGTTGAGCGGGGAGCTCGGGGCTCACGGTGTCGATACCTGCTGTTTCATCTTCGGCCTTGGTGGGGTGGTTAGAGTTGGCCTCGGGCGTCGCAAGGTCGATCGGGTGGCTGCGGGATGTGGCTTCGGGTGACTGGGGCTCCCTCTTGACCGAGTCGTCGACCATGAGGCTGGGCAGTACAGGAGGTAGTTGAAAGAGGTAGGCACGATCCTTTTTCTTGTCGACGGGCTGTTCCTGCTTCGGGGCCTCGGCGTCTGCCATGGTAGTGTCACCACCAGCGTCGGAGGCCGCAACTGGAGGAAGAACGATTTCGCCAAGCTCGTCTGCGAGCACTTTCATGCTCTGTTCGTGGCGCTCTTGCTCTTGCTTGTCTTCTTCGCTGACGAGTGCTGCGCGGACGTCTCGGAAGCGTGGCTTTCTGCGCTGCTTGATCCTGGGTTTTGTCTTCTTCGAAAGTTCTGGGGAGGAAGGCGCGTCCTTTGTATGGTGTTCTGGAAGATCTGTCGACACGGCAGTTGGCTCGTCACCTGGCTCGTCCTTGATCCTCACGTGGCCTTCGTCGTCATCATATCCCCAGGCTCCCTTCCAACGACCTTGAGATCCGGTGACCTCGACTTCCTTCGCCTTTCCCTTGCCCTTCCGAGGCGAAGATGTGTCTGGCTCGGTCTTGATCTCCGGGTCTCCTGGTGCCTCTGCCGTGATTTTACGCGGCGCGTTTTCGTGCTCTCTGCGGCGAATGCGGATCGGAGCGAGCCCAGGAGTGTTGAACCTAGTTTTGCTGCGCCTTGATTGCGAAGGGCCGCCTGCCATCTCAATATCCCCATCTTCATCATCGCTAACGAGGTTAATCGTTTCAATGTTATCAACGTCCTGGCGAGGTCCTAACATCTCGATCTCAGGATCAGACGAGATGTAACCCTCTTCGTCGTCTTCAGCCTTGACTCCGTCATTGTTGCCATCCGGCCTGATAACTGTGCGCTCGCGCTTGACTTTGCCCTGCATGGAGGAGGCTCCAAAAGTCTTTCCGCGATGGATCATACGCGAGCGGTTCTCTGCCGCGCAACGTCAGTATGAGAGGGACATATACCAAAGCATGAAGCATGAGCTTACCGTTCACAGTTCCGGAGGCAAATACACCACCCATGTCTTGTTTTAGGCTTGCCTCGAAACCTCTCTGGCCCATGTATCCGCCGCGGCCACCCCGCCCACCACGATCTCCCCGACCACGTCCCCTGCCACGGTCTCCTCTGCTGCGACCAGCCTCATTGCTGAGTTCTTGGAGCTTCTCCCTCCTCTTCCTCTCGGCCTCGGCCTCCAAGGCCTCACGTTCCTCCTTGCTTCTGCGGCCCTTGAAGGTGGGCATGCGCGCTCCTGCCTTTTTGCCGCCACGACTCGCGCCGGTCGACGGCGCGGGTGAAGCAGCAGGGGTTTGTGAGCCGCGAACCGCGGATACGCGGGCATCTTCAGGACGCGATGCGCCAGCGCTGGCGTCAGCTGCGGTGTTGGTGTTGGTGGGCTCGGTGGTGGAGGCGATGTGGGCGTCGGTCATGGAGACGTCGGCGACTGGCGCAGCGCTCGCCTCGGGCACAGGGTCGTCCTTGGGAACGAACAGAGAGTCTTCGTCGGCGGCATTAGGCTCTTTCGCTGGAGGAGCGGTATCCTTGGATTGTTTGGAGGCGGCTGCGGCCTGCGCGCCGCCACGGCCGCCGCGGCCGCGGGTGCTGGTGCCCCGGGCACGCCTGGCGCCGCGTCCCCTCGTTGTTCCGTCGGCCTTGGGTGGCATGCTGGGGTTCGGGTTTTCAGTGAATGCAACGAGACTGGAGGATGACGAAGTTAGTGAGCTCCAGCTCCAGGGCTGGTGGACTTTTTTCAAACTGAGTCGGTCAGAAGTCGGCGACTGCTTTTAGCGGTTTGGTGGGCTCCACGCCAGCCAGGATGATGACTCTGGTTCCCCGCGTGGGTGGGCGATCAACCAGTACCACTGAACTCACTATTGTTATTCTTATTGTTATTGTACGTATTGTGTGGGTCACGGGATGCACTAATTTGCGTAAGGCAACGCAAAGCATCATATTCTATGGTACTGTTGAGCGGACCGGCAAGCGCGAATTGGAGCGCTAATGGAGGCTCGTCCACCTGCACCTGTTAACACCATACGTGCATGAATGACGTCGAGATGCGCTTCTACCTCCCAGTCTTGCAGTCGATGAGCTCGGGAAAATATGGCCAGGGAAGCCACCGACCCGTCTAACCGTACTGCATACCCAGCCAGTCGACGAACACGGATCGTCTCTGCTTTCGCGCGTCAGATTCGGTCGGCATGGCAGCCTCATCTTTTGTTCTTATCCCGCTTGTCACTTCAAGTGGGAATCGAATGCTCAAGTGCCTCAATCAAATGCAAACGTCTTGCCTTTGAGCACGATTCCGCCCAACAGCTTTCCCACCGCATAGCCAGCATATGCCCCGCAAACGATGGTGACAGGCCACTTCTGCCACTCACGGTCCCTGATCAGTCCTCCAGTCAGCATACACCCATTTGACACAGCCGTTGCGATGGCACTTACCAATCCAGCGGAATCGGCACGGCGCCGGCCCAAGCACCGAAAAGTGTTCCAATTGCAGCACCAAACACTTCGTCCGCCGGGACCATCAGCGCAACCAGCTCTCTCCACTTGGCACCATCAACCCCAAATGCATAGATGGCGGGAACGGCGGCAAGGTACGCGATGTGGGCGGCGCAGAGAACGGTATGGCCGAGATGTGTCGTCAAAGGTGCGCCGAAGAGGACGAGAACGACGGAAACGAGCGGCACACCGGCGATGGTGGAAAGGATGAGAGAGAGGACGGCGGTCTGAGACAAAATCAGCAGGGTGGAAGGAGAACAGCTTGGGGATACCCACAGAGACTTTGCTTCGGTTGTCTGCCTCAGCCTTGCCGCCAGCACCTTTCCTCCGCGCGCCGCCGGAGGATTTGGAGCTAGAAGAGCCGGCTGCGGGCAGGCAAAGGATGGCGTAGACAACCTGGAGGACGCTCAATGGGATGAGGGCATTGAATAGCGAAGTAACCGGATCCGCGACAATGCCACCGAATTGGATGGCGAAGACGGAGACAACGAGGAATGGGTGGATGTGCGTGTAGATGCGGGCGATGTCCGTGTTCAGGGTTTCGATGGGCTTGGAGGATGAAGCAGGGGACGAAGAGGCCGGGGGGAAGACGACCGAGGTGGCCTTGGCAGCGGAGCCTGCGGGCTCTTCGAAGCGCGTGAAGACTGTTTGGGGTTGTTGCGACATGTTGGTTTACCGGCTAGCCATCACTTGGGTTGCGCGAAGCTCTGGGATGCGCGAGGTGTTCGCCCGCCTCTGCTGGAAATAGGGCCGGAGCTTTCTCGGCCGCCGTGCACTCGACACCGCCAGTGTCAATCAATCACGAGTAAATATCTCGCACAACGTGGCCGTGGACGATTGCAGACTCTGTCATTACTATCTTCTTTTGTTTCCCGCGTCTGTCTCTTCAAGCGCGGATTGCCTGATACCTTGATGCACGTAGCTCCGTCATCAACTTACTGCAGCTATCCCTCTACCCTGGCGTTGGGCCACTCAGCTGCTTTCCGAAGGCACCAGATTCCTAAGAGAGAGATCGTAGACAACATCCTCAACCTCCTTGACCTATCGAGAAACACTCAGTACCATTTTGATAATGCAAATCCAACCGAAATTCCTTACCTTGTACTTGATGGCATCGCTGCGCCTTCTCAGAGAGTCGTTCTTGAGGTTGAGGATCTGGAAGCCGGCGTGGACGTCCTTGATGAACTGGGAAATCTGCATCGGGCGCGTGTAGTCTCCCAGAGTGACAGAGTTGCGAGCGAGGCGAGCCTGTGCCGTGTCAGTTTTGGAAGGCGCTGTCAAAGCTTCGCCATTCTCGACGTACCAGCTCTTCAATCAGGGAGATAAGAGCCTGCAGGTACTCTTCTATGGTGATGTGGAAGGCGTCCTTGTCCTTCAGGTTGACCGGAACTGCAAACGAATCAGTTGAGAGCGCTTTCGTTGTGCATATGAGTAGCAGCACACCGTTCATGATGCCTCCAACTTCCTCGATCGTCAACAGACGGCCGGGCCTGGTACCACTGCCCTCGGAAGCAAAGCCTCCAAGGTAGCCGCAGTACAGAATCGTGAATATCTAGGCTTAATCAGTGCTCTGCTCGTCCCAGTACGAAACTCGTCGGCGTGAACAAATGATGGCACATTAAGTATGCAGAGCCTGAAGCTCTGATCCGGACAAAGAGTCCATCCGTGGATCGCAGCCTAGGGCTCTTGTGCTGGATGGCTTCTTAAGATGGCATCGTGACTGCAACTTACAGTGTCTTGGACCTGGCGAGACCAGATGCCATTGAACTTGTAGTACGGATGCTTGCTAGCAGCCTCAGCGAGCTTCTGGACGGCCTCGATCTCCTGGCGGATGGCGCTTTCGGCGGCGGTGACAACATTAGGCACTCAGAAGATGTCAGCAATTGCAGTCTCGTGGGATGCCGTGGGGCGGGCTCCATACGCTCAGCAGAAGGAGTCGAGTGAGCACGGGCGAGAACAGACTGAGCAGAACGGCCGTGCTTCTCCAATGCCTGGATGATGTCGCGGAGTTCCTGATAGGTGCGGTCAGCCGGGGGTGGCGCGGCGGATGGGTGATGGGCGCCAGGCCAGGCTCACCTCGCGCACGCTCGAGTCCTGGTCGACGCGCTCCTGGAGCTGCTCGAAGATGGCCGGATCGACCATTCCCTGTCTTTCAGTCATTGTGGCAGTGGTTGGTACTTGCGGCGGAGGGTTGGTGTTGCAGTCAGAGTTTGCCTGCGGCGGATGAAGTTGGCTCCGCTTGCAAACACGGCGCGCGGCAGGCGCGTTGCATCACTCGCTGCATTTCGCAAATGGGAATTTCACAGTTTGTCTGAGGGATCCTAACTCCTCACACGGCGATACGCGCTGCCTTGCTAATTACATGTTGTTGTTGTCGCGCTGCCGCCGCACGGCCCAACGCCGCTGCAGCGACTCCAAACATGCATACGCGCAAACAATCCCTCGACGCGTACCCTCCCAGACCTCATGCTCACGTCTCACATCTCATATCTCACGCAGCCTCGTTCACATGTCACTTACTATGTATGCCATCTCGCTCCTGCTCATAGCTTCAACGCGTCGTAACCACTGAGGACACGGTGTTGGCCAGGAAGACGCACCGCCAGGCAGCTGCGAAAATTTTTTCGCCAGCAGCACCCATCACATCGCAGCATGACAGCACCGCGTTCTCCATCACATCTTCCTCAAGGGCCTGCGCAAGGCAAGCATCTCAACGAAAATGTAGTGTTCGCGTCAGCCCGAGGCAGTGCAATACGGGCGACACTGTGGGCGGCGACATGAGCAAGCTCAGCGGCCGTCGCCCGAGATCCAAAAACAAGATTAATCACGAATGTCTCCGTAGAGACGTTTCAGAGATTAAACTGAAAAGAACAGATACTACACTTGATCTAAGCCAAAAGGCAAAGAGAGCTAAAGAAGAAAGTTGTCTGGAGGTCGGGAGGAGGGCGGCTTATATAGCGCTTGTTGACTGGCGGCTGACTCAGCCCCGCTTAGCTGCGCCCAGTCCAGGTTCCGGCCCCGGTCCCACAGTGATGCCACTGATCCACATGCGATGAACAGGGGGGAGCACATCGCCGGGTAAATTGTTATGATGTCCAAGGGAACTGGTGGAACCACGGGAGGGACGGCACTGGGCGCGGGCCGGTGCGATGACGACACGGCTGGGCTGCAATTCGCCTAGCAAGTGGCATCTTTGTGGGCGCGATGCCGAAGAAGCTGGTTGCGGCCGTTGAGATAGAGCCGCTGCATGCTCGCTGCAGCAGGTGCAGATGGTTGCGGGTGCCTGCGCCGGTGACGTCGAGGGCCGGTGGACTGGCGCTGCATGGGCGGCCAACGGCGAGGCGACGAGATCTGACCGCTCTTTGTGTTCGTGATGAAGATAGTCGATAGGGAAGTGGGAAGGTACTCTCGTACGTAGTAGTCGCAGCCCAACCTCACGATTGGAAGCCCTGCCATTTGCGCAGGCGCGCATCGCGCGGCACCACCGCCTTCGGAAGCTAGCAGGCAGCGCCGCTTCTGTTTGGCGCCCACCCGCAGCGGCCACGCGACGCGACTCAGGCCGCTTGCTCGCAGCCTTTCTTCTCATCAAATCGCGGCCCTGATCGTCCCAGCAAGCGTGTTGGGCCGCGCCCCCAAGGACCAGGCATCCCAGGCATGTCCACTCGCTGCAGTCAGGCGGGGCGGAGCACATCCCCCACGGCCAACGCCAGCTTGACGTCCAAGTGCCGCCAGTGCGATAAAGCTCCAAATACTCCATCCCGTCACCCACTCACCCTTTCCGCCCTCCTGCCATGAGTAGCCAACGTCGGTAGCCCAAAGCCCGACTGCTGCCCGCCATGTCATTCAAGCTGCCGCCCCTCCAGACCGTCACCCAGTGCGCCTCGCTTGTCACCGCCACGCGAGCCATATGGGAGCTTTCCCGCATGGTCCGCCAGAAGAAGCGCGAGGTCGAGCAGACAAAGGAGGTTGAGGACCTGCTCGATGAAATCGAGGAATTCGTTCACGAGGGCGTCTTGACCAAGCGAGAGTGGAAGGCCTTTTGCGCCAACGTCGAAGAGGCGCTGTCCAAGAAAGAATGCACCCCGCGCGAGGCACAGGCAAAGGTCCTGGATTTCCTGGAGGCTCTGCATTCCATCGCCCAAGAGTTCCAGGAAGAGGACCGCGCCTACCACTCCGAGCCAGAAGACGTCGACCAAGTTCCGCACGCTCACCACCACCGAATCGAGCACAAGGCACCGCAACCTCGCCGCGACTCCGCCGTGAACACGTCCAGAGACTCCCAGTCACGGTCTCGTACCGCCGCGTATCCGCCTTCGCCACGTCTGCCCCGCTCGCACACGGCTCCTGCATCCGATCTCCGTCCACGCCGAGCATCTGCTCCGATGGCTCATCACCACTATCATGCGCCTCCAGCGAGTACGGCGCCTGCCACCCCAGGAGGTTCCGTCTCTGGTATCCCCCATGTGCCAGTCACACTGCCCAGCCAGTTTCAGAACGGTCAGCACTATAGGGCTCCAAGACACGTGAGCCGCCCCACCTAACTCGTTCCTATCAACGAAGCTTGCTAAGGGTAAAGGTTCAGTCCGTTCCCTCTTCATCTGCTGTCCCAGCTGCCAGCGGAGCCTTTTCGCCGGGAGCTGGTGCAGGTGCATTTTCCCCCGGGCACATGCTACCAAACCAACCAACCTATTACCCCAATGTTCCACCTTCAATGTTCGCTCCAGGCACTGCGTCTCCCTTCGTAGCCGGTAATGGTGGTACTGCATCTCGTGCATATTCATATGGTGGGGCTGCAAGTTCACCTGAGCATATGTCTCCTACTTCTCATGTGAATGCCACTGTCTCGCCACCGCACCCCAACTACTCTGGTCCGCTTCCCGTACCGCCATCCCGATCCTTCAATCAACCGGGCTGGGCTCCATTGCCTACACAGACCCCAGGAGGGCCCACTTCCCCTGCGTCGACCGTTTCGGCGCACAACACATGGACCGCGAACACGACGTTCCCTTTCCCCAGTTTCCCTGAGAATCGCAGCCGAGATCAGGGCAATTCCAATAGCAACCGTCCTAGTGCTGGTCCCAGCCCTTCTCACTCCCATCGCAGTCCAGTTCACCAAGAAGCAAGGACTCCAGCATCGTATTCTCCTCCCGCCAACCCCGCTTCCAGCGCAGCATCTTCGCCCATCGTGCCACCATCATCGCCCGGTGGTTCAACGAGCGCCCGCACGAATGGCTGGGACGGTAGTCAGCAGGGCAGCAGCCCTCGTGGCTTCATGAGTCCGACCCAAGAGGCTCAAGCACAGCGTACGGCGGCCGCGAAGCTTCGCGAACACGAACACCGACAGCGCCAGGCCCAAGCCCTTTCCGAGGAGATAAGCGTCCCGGACTTGGACATTCCGCCGCCGCCGAACGCCACACCCCGTCATCGCAAGCAGCAGAAGTCGTCGTCGTCAGTCAAGTGGGCTAGCGGTTTCGACAATGAGGATGATGAGAAGAAGAAGAAGGTCAACAACGATGCCAGGCAAACGGATAACCCGCCGCCGTCTGTGGACTCGGTCTCGGAGGCCGGAACGTACATGAGCCCCATCGGTGAGAAGAACAAAAGACGGCGGAGGAAACAATGATTCCAAGTCGGGTCGATCACCATTTCGCACATTAGAGGGGCTTACTTGACGGCCCTTCGACCTTTGGCATTTGCTCATCTACCTTCTATGATGACACCAAGCATGGGTCTTTCTAACCATATTCTCTCTTTTTTTTTTCTTCTTTGGTCTGAACTTTGCGGCTTGTCTACATCACTGCACATTCACCTCTTCATTCTTTTTTGCTGTATGGCATCCACTGTTGCTGTTATATACCCTCTCAATTTGCCTATTTTGATGCTACATTCGCCATAGACTTAATGAATGACATGGAATCTTAAGGCATGAACGTTGCAGAAAGCGGTTTCTGTTGGAGATCCATCAATGAAGTCACCAAAGAAATGAGGGCAGAATGATTCGACGTAGTGTGTGGTCCACGGACGACTTCACATTTCCCATGACATAAGACACGAGAAGTCAAACTATGTTGGTTATGAATTAAGTGCTTAGTGCTATTGAACTGCCCGCCGAGCTACTGCGCGCAACCATCCTATCCATTACGAAAAGTTGACTCGCACGAATCTGTCGAGTCACACCACGGTCTTCCACCGGTTCCAGGCAGTGTCCACCTTTCAAAGTTCTGGTCTCAACGCCTCGAGCCCCTGCTCCGGCTCCTGCTCCTATCCCTTCTTCGATCCCTGTCCCTCTCTCTGCTCCTGTTCCGATCATCCCTCGAGTTCCCTCCGCCCACTCTGCCACCACCCGGGATGTATCGGTCGATATCACCGCGGCTCCTGTAGTCGCGGTCGCGGTCGCGGTCACGGTCCCTATCCCTCTCCCTATCTCTATCTCGGTCACGATCGCCGCGGTCCCTATCTCTGTAGTCGCGGTCCCGATCACGGTCGCGGTCCCCCCTGTCGCGGTCGCGGTCTCCCCTGTCGCGGTCTCGATCCCTATGGCTGTCCCTCCTCGAGCTTCCGCCACCCGGTATGTACCTGTCCGTCTCAGGCGGACTCCTACTCCTCGACCTACCACCACCACCGCCGCCGCCGCCGCCGCCGCCGCCACCACCACCACCGCCACCGGCCCTGTAACCGTTTCTTCGCGGCGCCGGGCTCCGGCTCGCGGCGCGGTAACGGCCGCCGGACGGGCTGCGCGAATGGTTGCGGTAACCGCCACGCCTGTCGTAGCGGTCGCCGCGATCGCGGTCGCGAGCGTCGTAGAAGCGGCTGGAGCGGCGGCGGTCGTCGTCGTAGCGGGAGGAGCGAGCGACGCTCGGGGAGCGCGAGTGGTAGCGGCTGCGGCGCGAGGCGGTGGCTCGGCTGCGCGAGCGCGAACGGCCGCCGCCTCGGTGCGAGTCCTTGTCTCTGGAGCGGGAGCGTCCGCCGCCGCGGCGGGACTCGCGCTCGTGCCCGTCGCGCTCGGCGCGGGAGGAGCGGACGGAGCCGGCGACGGAGGCGGCGCGGACGGACCGGGCGTCTTCTTTGGTGGATTCTTCTTTCTTGAGGATGGGGATGTCTTCTCTTCTCGGCACGGCATCCTCAGGCTTCGGCGTAGTGGGTGAAGATAGGGGAGCTTTGTCCTTGGGGTCCAGCCTTGCTAGGCGCTGAGCTGCGGGATCGCGTGGGACGATGGACTTGGGGACCAGTGACTTGCGGCTAGGCGGCTCCAGAGAACTGGACCTCTCCAGTTCGGGGCGTTGGCGGGACTTTTCAAGCGCCTTACTCTCTTCGAGGAGCAGGCTGAGGGCTTCTTCGTCAGAGATCTTAACCTCCTCAGCAGTCTTCTCGACCTTCTCCGCCTCATCAGCCGGCTTGCTTTGGTCCGGAGAAGAAGGGCGTGCCTCTGGAGTGGGTGACCGCCGCTTTTCCTTGCTCCGATCTCTGTGCTTGTCCCTACTTCTGCTCTTGTCCTTGTGCCTATCCTTACTTCTGTCCCTGCTTTTGGCTCTGTATCTGCCTCTGCTCGTGTCCCTGCTCGTCGATCTGCGGCGCCTGTCCCGGTCGCGGTCCCGATCATAGCGACGCGAACGCTCACGTTCGTACTCCTCATCCTCACGGCGTCGTTTTTCGCGTCGTTCCTCCCTCTCACGTTCCCATTGTCTTTCTTTCTCCCTACGCACTTCGCGCTCTCGTTCGTACTCGCGCTGGCGCTCAGCCTCCCTCTCTTCGCGCAGTCTGCGACGAGCTTCCTCACGCTCTTGGCGCTCCTTCTCCCTTCGTTCCTCCTCTTCGCGCTTGCGGCGACGCTCATCCTCTGCCTTTTTCTTCTCCTCGCGTTCCCGCTGTTCCTCCATTTCCAAGCGAGCGTCACGGGAAATCTGTCGTACCTCACGGCGCTGCCCAGCTTCTCTCAGATAGTCTTCCTCCGTCTTGCTACCACGAATAAGCTCCTCCTTTGCTGCTTCATCCCCAATGTCGGCGCGGCGGATCTCGCGCATGCGAGCCTCGGCGCCGGCCTGCTCCTCGAGGACGGAGTGCAGGATGTCGCGCACACGGGTTTCGGCAGCGCGGTAGATCTCGCTGCGCTCGGCGGCGCCTTCGAGTAGTGGGGCGGCTATGCGACGGTCCTTGGAGAGGAGGGTAGGGTTGCGGGTGGTTTCGCTCTCGCCGAGCTCCTCCAGCGATTGGATGAGGGTGGACTTTGCATCGCTCTGTTCGAACTTGTTGAAAGCATCCTTGCGCAGGGAGTCGAACTCGCCCTTCTTCTTGAAGGTGTGCAGGATGGCTTCGATGGCAGCGCGCTTGTTCTGAGTGAGCGGCAGGTCGGAGGTCTTGAGCTTTTTGCGAGCAGAGACGGGGTCGGACATGGCGTCGGCCTCTTGCTCGAGCGAGCGCTTGCGTCGGTCGACCTGGGCCATGGTGTGTGGTGTTGCGACGTTGCGCGCGGGGACACGAAGAATGTCGCGGTCGCGGCGGCGATGGCGGATGGACGAATGGTAGCGAAGCTGGACCTGCTCACTCGCGCCAAGGCCGTCGGGGCGGCAACAACTCGAGGTCGATGGCACTGTTTCCACCTCCAATACCACCACCCCCACTCGCCCAATCCCTGCCGCGCAGCCACATCCCATAGCCCGCTGCTGTCCCCCTATTCGCACGCTTGCAGCTCGAATCGCCCGTCACATAATGGTCTCCAAGGTTCTCTTCTGGAGCGGCTTCGGTACGCCTGTCCGGACTCCTCGTCCGCACCACCGTGAGCCGGCATTGGCTGACCTGTCGTCGCTTCCCCAGGTGTCGCTGTCCGGCTATGGCAGCTGGGCATGGAGATGCGCCCATTCTTCAACAAGGGCTCGCTCTGGGTCTATCCTCTGTACGCGACCGTCGGCGGCAGCTTCGGCTACTGGCTGCAGGGCGTCGAGTCCCGCCAGTACAAGCTCCTCTCCGACCGAAAAGATGCTTTGCTTGAAAAGCGCGCCCGCGCCGCCGAGCAGGAGAAGGCCGCCGCGTAAGACAGGAAGGTGCAACGGGAGGAGTTGGGGAAGAACTGGGAGAAGACGCAAAATCAACACGGCGTGGATGCAGAAGCGGAGGAACGTTCAGGCAGGCACACTGCAGACGGACTTGTACTACACCAGAAAATGGGGGCTATCATATCTGGAGTGCTCAAGTGCACATATCTATCTGATGCATGCGATGCCGGGGCCAGACCAGCCCACGGCGCACAGAGCTCGAAATACACCTTATTCTCGATTGTTAGACGTGCATCTTAGCGGCATCGTAATGCGTTTTGGCGGCGGCACCGCGTTGGCGATGACGTTGGCTTCAGACCAACGGCTATGACTGGCGGCATGGACCGGCGTTGCGCGTTGTGCTTCTCCTTCCGGCCAGTCACGAGCGCGGCGCCCGAACTGCACCGCCACTCGTACTGTCCTCCCCCAGTGTGTTCGGTCTTGCAAACTGTCCTATTCCCTTCGTAAACGTGTTCTGCTCCCGGTCCTGTGGAGGTTCGCTTATCTGTTTCTTCGCAGCGCTCGCCTTTCCCGGCGTCGTCTCGGTCAAGCCACCATGGCTCTTCCGGTGCTTGGAGAGTCGATCAAACCCAAGGGAATCGTCGTCTTTTCGGGCGGAAGTGCTGCGAACAACCTGGTCGACGTCTTCAAGACGGTGGCCGAACGCAAGCAATGCTCTTTAAGCTACGTCATCCCCATCAGCGATAACGGTGGCAGCACATCGGAGCTCATCCGAGTCTTCGGGGGCCCAGGTGAGCATGCAGCTTTCTTGTGAGCGCTGGTCGCTGATGGACTCTAGGTATCGGTGATTTGCGGAGTGCGTCAAGCATCCCCGACTGCAATGTTTTCTGTTTCCCTGACCCGCCTCGCAGGTCGTCTCGTCCGCCTGATTCCTGAGAACGGAGACCTAGAAAGAGCCGCCATCAAGACCTTCTTCAACCATCGTCTGTGCCTAGACGCCGATGAAGCAAGGCATGAGTGGCTCGACATAGTGGAGGCCCGCCACCCTCTGTGGAACAACGTTCCTTCGGAGAAGAAGGAGCTGATTCGCTCGTTCCTGAACTTACTGAACCTGGAGATCGTGAAGAGACTTCGGCCAACCTCCACCTTCAACTTTTCGTCTGCCAGCATCGGGAATCTCTTTCTCACCGGGTAATCAAGCCTAGCGATTCCTGATCCTCAAGCGCCTCCTCCTGACTTTTTGTAGTGCCCGCCTCTTCTCCGGCAGTCTTGAATCAGCCATATACCTTCTCAGCAGTATCTGCGGAGTGCCATCTAACACTTCCGTCCTTCCAGCCATCAACACCAACTTCTCGCACCACATCAGTGCCGGCCTCGCCAACGGCACCGCCATCACCGGCCAGAATGCCATCTCGCACCCCTCAGAGCCCACCGCTCTTCCCGACATGGCCTCCAAGCCCCCGGACGACACCGAAGACGACGACATTGTCGAAGACGCCAACCTCCCCGGCTCTCTTCCCATGCTCCGCAAGCCAAACATCATCTTCAGCAAGGCCGAAGAAGAAGATCTCCCCGCCCGGATCGACCGCATTTGGTACATCAACCCTTACGGCCAGGAGATCCGCCCGCCCGCCAACCCGAAAGTCGTCTCCGCCATCGCCAGCGACAGCCAGGCCGTCGTCTACAGCATCGGCTCGCTGTACACCTCCATCATCCCCTCGCTGATCCTGCGAGGAGTCGGCGCCGCCGTCGCCGCGACCCCGGCCGTGCGGCACAAGATTCTGATCCTGAACAGCACCGTCGACCGCGAGACGGGCCCGTCGTCCCAGCCGTTCACGGCGCTGGACTTCGTGGCCGCCATCGCCAAGGCGGGCGCCGAGAGCAGGGCACGCGGCGGGGCGGATTCCATCACCCCCCTGGAGTACAGGAAATACGTGACGCACGTCATCCACCTCGAGGGAGCCGGCACGCCGGCCGTTAGCAGAGCGGATTTGGCTGTGCTGGGCATCGAGACGGTGCGGCTTTACGGGAGAAGAGGCGGGGGAGGCGGGGGCCAGGGGGAGGGGTTCTTACGGTACGATGAGAACGCGCTCACTCAGGCACTGGAAGTGGTCATTGGTGGTGGGAAAGATTTGCGAGGCGATAGGAGCAGGAGGAACACGTTGGACAATTAGGTGGTGTGGCTTTTACCATTTTCTGTTTGCTATTGCGACAGTAGATGCAGAGCGAGTGGAACTACAGTAGATGATACAGGATAATACAGCTCTTCATTGAAGTGGCCTCAAAGCCTTGTCGACACCGATAGCGTATATTGGGTTGCGGCATTTGCCATAGCAGTATCTCGTGTGGTGGAACATCATCAATTTTCATGAGAAGCGGTGATTCAAGACACGTTCGGGTATACAGACAAATCAAACCAACGTCCAAAGAGCAAAGCGAGTCCACCGACGCCAAGTGGCAATACGCTACTGGGATGCAAGTATGAAATAATGTGAGATGACGGCTCAGAAGCGGAACACGCACATCGTCCCGTGCGGATAGATGTCGTAGTTCAAAAGTGAAGACCGGATCAACTTTAGAAATGTAAATTGGGTATTCACAGAAATGATTCATCAACGGACGTTCTGTCCGAATCGCCCACAACGCCACCTTTGCCCTGGCCCACCGAGGTCCTGTCATGAGTCGCTTTTGCCTGCCAAATGATGGGCTTGGCAACCACTCTATGGCATTAACCGTGAATAGTAGTACCGTGGATGTGGTAGATCCTTTGGTAGCTGGGCTCCGTTTTTGCTCCTGCCATTGCAGGCTCGGGCTTTATCGTCGTACCCGTCTCCTTGACACAGCAATCAAATGCTCTACTTGAATGCTGCTTTGCGACAGCCTCGTCAAGCGGATCTTTTCCTTCGGATTTAAGCTCCTCTAGATCTCCCCATAGGATGAAAAGCTTGTTTCGAAGCTGAGAAAGCGTCTTCTCATCCTTCCGTAGGCTGTTGCAGGTAGGTCAGCGCGTGAACCTGAAAAACAAAATACGCGACTTTTACTTACTCCACGGCATCAAGACAAAGAAGGCATTCCGCATCTTTGTGGGACACTAGGAGCGGTATCCTAACAGGGCTCTTGGATCCTGGTGGCTGCCTTGCGTCTTCCACCAACAAGAAGAAATGCCATTCCCAGCGTGGGGTACCGGTTGAGAGTGCTGTATAAGTCGTTGAGCTTTGGGTTGGATTTTCCTCGCTGACGTCATTGAACCCGGGGTCATCCAGCGATTCTGAGAAATCTTCTAGATTGTCCGGCCAGAAATCCACGACGCGAACCCGAGCTTTGTACATCGCATTCACAAAGGGCAGATCGCAGTCCACCCCATTGGGCGTCCTATACATACGTCGCTCGTTGTTCTCGATGTCAGTCAACCGTGTCGTTGGATCTTGAGGCCTCTCGCATTTCACTGGCCGGAATCAGTGACGACGTGACAGAGCCCATCCAGGAAACTTACCGTGAGGGTTGAGTCCGACGTGGTCTGAATCACTCACAGGCTCCTCTGTTAGTGCCGCTTCTCGGTTCCTCTTTCTCAAATTTGCCTTCTTCTCCTTCCGTTTCTCCTTGCGTGTTTGTTGCTTTTCCGGGCCTCGTTGCTCTCGACTCACCGTCGCCTGCATGTGGGTCTCCTTACGGCCCTCCAATGCACAGACCCGCGGGTCCCACTGTCTGTGTCGCATAGAGATGACATTTATGCGGTCTGGATATTGCCTGTCCCCATGCAGCGCACCCTCGATCTTCGTGCCTGAGCTGTCCATCTTGATGTGAACGTTCTTCAATTCAACAATCTCGCCTTCTCTGATTCTGTTGAAGGCAAAAGTACCGTGGGGTTCCCAGAGCTTCACCTGTAGAGTCATTTGTCCGAATGGCCCTGGCCACTCTTTCCGGCGGGTCTGTCCAGTGTAGTCATATGCATCACCGTCCCTACCCATGTCGATATCCAGATTTTCGTTGGGATGGTTGTACCGGTAAAGGAGGTTGTTCTCCGTATAGTCCGTGACATAGATCTCGCCGGCATGCTGGTACATTCTGACCACCTCGACCACTATATCGACAAACTGCCCAGGGCCAACATTTTTGATGAGATTGAATTTCTCAATAGGCTGCTTGGAGGGCGCCTGCACGATAGAGCCTGTTTTCACGGTTGAATTTGAGCACAGGGAATGTCGGAGCGAGATAGCCCATACTTGTTGTTCGGGGGTGGGTGGTTTGGCGTGCTGTGGCATGGATGAATAGTGCAGCATTTGGCCTGAGGCATAGGAGTCATTGAAGTGAGGGTCGGGCATGGCACTCGAGCGAAATGCTATACACTCGCTGGTGAAGTGCCGCATCAAGAGGGGCGTGTTGGCGTAACAGCTGACCTGAGAGGGTAAATTAATGCGAGGCTGATTGGCCAATCATGGAGTGCAGACCTTGAACTTTCGCAGAATGACCGTGTCGCCAACCGTCTCTATTTTTGGGGCCTGTTCCCCATGCCTGAGAAACCATTTGACTCGGACACTCCGGCCCTCGCCAAGCTTGGCGGTGACGGACTGGTCCTGTAGCTGGATTGCGAATTGCATGTCTGCGGAATGGTCAGCCGGAGCGTTTGCACGGACAAAGTGGCGCCTACCGGATCCTCTGGAAGGTTTTACTGGCAGGATGTCGCTGACGACGCCAATGACATTCACAAACGCGTCTCTTGGGCGTGCAATCGCTTGCTCGACTGTGAGGAAGCCGTCAAGCTCCCTCACGGGAGCTCCCAGCGGCATGGCGGGCGTCGTGAGGACAAAGAGCAGAAAGGCCGTTCGGTGGTGGATGCTCAGAGCGGCGATAAAATGGGGAAGGTCACGGAAGGGTGCAGGACATCAGCCGCCCTACCACGGCTGCGGCGTCGCAGGCGAGCAGTCAATACGCGACCATTGGCCGGCGGCTGGCGACGGGTAGGCGGGGCTGCTTCTGGCGCTGCTGGCGGCGGTTGGGGCTGCAGCAGGCCGCGCAACAAGAAGGCGCGCACGCCAGTGCAGACGACGGTCGCAGGCTCCGCTCCCGGGCCGGCACATGCAGCGGCGCGTGCAGGAGCAGGGCTGGCTTCGCGGCGTCGTCATGTCGCGAGCAGCGCCTGCCAAGAGCTCATCGCTGACTCATCGGCGCTAGTCGAAAACAGTGCCCAATCCTCGCAGGGCTGTTGCCCGCATTATTTTCCGCCCGCTCGACCTGAACCTCCAAACACCCCACGAGCTTCTTGCCTCACCTTGCACCCGCGCTGCCTGCAGCGATCTTCGTTCTCTAGAACATCCCCCCACCACCCGCGCCCGTCTCGTCCGCCGCTGCGAAGCCCCGCCACCATGGCCGATCGCTACATTCCCGAGCACCGTCGCACGACGTTCAAGGCGAAGAACACCTTCAAGCCCGATGAGCTGCGCCGCCGCCGCGAGGAGCAGCAGGTCGAGATCCGCAAGCAGAAGAGGGAGGAGAACCTTGCAAAGCGCCGTGGCATCGCCTCCCGCGAAGGCGGTGGCCCCGGTGCTGCGCTGGGCGCCGCTCCGGACAGCGATGATGAGGGTGGAAACATCGAGAGCCAGGTACGCCACCCCGCGCCGTCATCCACGCACCCTGCCCACCCGAGCATCGTCTCGTCGTCGTCGTGGCGCCGCCGCTTGTATGCCTCGTCGGCCTTGCGCTCAGGCTTTTATTGCCGCTGTTTCCCCGCCTGATAGTTGCCGGGCGAACTGGCCACCCCTTATCCTTATCCCCCAGCACGAGCCGCCACGAGGACCATGACTGCCTCTTTGAATGCGTCAATGCTCAATTTTTTTTTGAACCTGGTCGCTGACATGTGGCGCGCAGCTTAACGAGGAGCTCCCCCAGATGGTCAAGGGCGTCTTCTCCGAACAGATAGACGAGCAGATCCAGGCCACCACCAAGTTCCGCAAGCTCTTGTCCAAGGAGCGCAACCCTCCCATTGAGCGTGTCATCGAGACCGGTGTCGTGAGCAGATTCGTCGAGTTCCTGCGCTCCCCCCACACCCTTGTCCAGTTCGAGGCCGCATGGGCCCTCACCAACATCGCCTCGGGTTCTGCTCAGCAGACCCAGGTCGTCATTGAGGCTGGTGCCGTTCCTATCTTCGTCGAACTTCTCAGCAGCCATGAGCCCGATGTCAGAGAACAGGCCGTCTGGGCTCTGGGTAACATTGCTGGTGACAGCCCTGCATGCCGCGACTTTGTCCTGCAGGCCGGTGCTCTCAGGCCGCTTCTCAACCTGCTCGGCGATAGCCGCAAGTTGAGCATGCTCCGCAACGCTACCTGGACTCTGAGCAACTTCTGCCGTGGCAAGACCCCGCAGCCTGACTGGCAGACTGTGAGTAGACCCGGATTTCTTGTGCTTTTGGCAAATGCTGAGATTCGACCCAATAGATTGCCCCTGCCCTTCCCGTCCTCGCAAAGCTTGTCTACTCGCTGGATGATGAGGTCCTGATCGATGCCTGCTGGGCGATTTCCTACCTTTCCGACGGTTCCAACGACAAGATCCAAGCCGTCATCGAGGCCGGCATCCCGCGTCGCCTTGTCGAGCTTCTGATGCACGCTTCGACGTCTGTGCAGACCCCTGCTCTGCGCTCTGTCGGCAACATTGTCACTGGCGATGACGTTCAGACCCAGGTCATCATCAACTGCGGCGCTCTGCCTGCACTTCTCTCTCTGCTGAGCTCCACTAAGGATGGCATCCGCAAGGAGGCTTGCTGGACCATTTCCAACATCACCGCTGGCAACTCGACCCAAATTCAGGCCGTTGTCGACGCCAACATCATCCCTCCGCTTATCCACCTTCTTTCGAACGGAGATTTCAAGACGCGCAAGGAGGCTTGCTGGGCCATTTCTAACGCAACCTCCGGCGGTCTCCAGAAGCCTGACCAAATCCGCTACCTCGTGTCGCAGGGCTGCATCCGCCCTCTGTGCGACCTTCTGGCTTGCCCTGACAACAAGATCATCCAGGTGGCTTTGGATGGCTTGGAGAACATCCTCAAGGTTGGCGAGATGGACAAGGAAGCCACAGAGGGTGGCGAGCCGATCAACCGCTACGCGCTGTTTATCGAGGAGTGTGGTGGTATGGAGAAGATCCATGACTGCCAGAACAACGCAAACGAGGAGATCTACATGAAGGCCTACAACATCATTGAGAAGTACTTCTCGGACGAGGACGACGCGGCTGGCGACATGAACGAGCTGGCTCCTCAACAAGGGCAGGACGGCACGTTCGGCTTCGGCGCCCAGCCCCAGCAACAGAACTTCAACTTCGCCAACGGCGGCGACTCGATGGACATGTGAAGTGGCAACCAAGCGTAGTCCGGCGCAGACCTGTCGACAGGATGCGGCGGATGATTGCAGCATTCTAGCGGCGGCACCCCCGTCCATGTTCGCGCGTAATCTCGTCCGATGCGTTGGGCCATACCGACAGAGGACAGGCCAGCGCTGCTCTTGCTCCAGCGTCAGGCCGGGGCATGGAGCATGTGTGCTGATTCTGGACAAAATCGAGGACTGCATTGCTTTTCCGTAGCAACATCGACGGCCAAAATCCCTTTCAGCCCCAAAACACACCCAATACCACCCTTCCGCCCCCCCCCGTCTCCGCGAGTCGTGCCCCCTTCGTCATGACAGATCACGAGCCCCCCCAAGATTCACCGTCATGTATTCTCCCTTTCGCAGTGGCGAGCTGCCACTGGCATCATCATATCCCCGGCGTTCTCACCCGATTCTCGAGTTCTGGTTGTGTCTTCTATACGGGAAGGGTATTCTTCATGCTGGCGGATGTTCATATAGACACTCCGTAGGAATTGATTCTGAAGTCTGTTGTCAACGGACGCGATGCCGATCAGCGTGACTTTATACTCATGTGGGGCAATAACGTGCCGCGGAGACCGCGCCGTTCCCAAAATAGGTCTGAGTGAAAGCTGTCGGCAGGGGCCGGGGTAACGTCGTGCAAAGACAGCAAGGAAGACTTGCGGCGTTGGCACATGCAGTCAGCTCACAGCTTGTCAATTTCACATAACAGCAAGCCCGGCCCGGCGCGCCTGACGAATGTCGACGTTGACTCCGGCGACGCCCGGCTGAGATGTGCGTTTTCTGGTGGCTGGGTGTCGGAGCTGGGCATTACGTAGTGAGCGGAGGCGCGGAGAGATGGCGCAGTACCGGGGTGCACTGTTATGATTACGAGCCGGCCGGTCAGCCGACTTCAGCTGGCTTGATATAGAGTTGAAACGGCCAAGGACAAGTCCTTGCAGAGCTGAGCGAGTCTGTCAGATCCGCCGTCGTGCGAGACAGGATCGTTGCACGGATGGCCGAAAACCGGTTTGCATTGGTTCAGATCGGGCTAAATCTGGCAGGCCTAGCACGCAAATGCCGGGCTGGCGCAGGCTTTGGGCACCGGTGCGGCCGGCAGTGGGGGTTACTGCGGTAACGCTCCCGCCCGGCGCGCGGCTCGTAAACACTAGCTTCAACACCAGGGCGATCCCGCGTCTAAAGACGCGTTACGTACCCACCTCCTCGCTTCTGCGCTCTTCGTCTCGCCTCTTCTTCGCTCTCTGAGATCACCGCCGAAGCTCGCTCGAGAGCGTTTGAGGCCTCGCAGTCCCTAGCCGCCCGCCCGCGTTTGCGCCCACGATCGTTACCAACGCGCGACAAGCCCACCACTCGGAGCAGCTCGCCTATCTGCACGCCCGTCGCTCGGAACGCTTTCCGACTGCCCTCCTGCAGTGTTGCATGCCACGTCGTCGTCCTGCCGCGTTTTCGCGCCCACGCCTGCACGGCCATGGACACTAGCTACCTGTCGCAGCAGGTCACCACCATCATCGGCCAGCTCCACGGCCTCTTCGACGAAATCGGCGTCCCCGACCATGAGCGCGATTCCCGCGAGGAAGAGGTGCGTTTGCTACTGCACGACCGCGCGCTTCTCGTCCTGACGTATCTTTGCAGCTCTTCTCGGCGCTGTCCGCGACGCTGAATAACCAGCTGAAGCTGGTGAATGCGTACGTGAACCTACCGGCCTCCCGGCCCTGGCGTGACTGACGCTGTGATAGGGAAAAGAACGAGAAGGTTGAGGAGGCGCAGCGCCTCATCAAGACCATCAAGCAGCTGGAGGCTTCGTTGGAAGGTAGGACCGCACGCGACAGCTACAATCCCGAGGATGAGGAACTACAAATCACGTATCCTCTAAGCCGCTGCATCCAAACCCTTAAGGAAAAACAGAAGGCTGTTTCTAGACAGCATCGCGAGCGCTATGAGCAAATTAAAAGCAAGTCGCAACCCTCCAACCACATCCTCGATCTATGCGCTAACAGCGTCCAGAACTTGCGCAAGCTCTTGAATCATACGCTTCTCATCTCGAGCCTTCCTTCCTCCATATCAAACTCCCCCCGACATCGCCGAATGCGAAGATCTCCCCGACCTTTGATGTGTCGCCGTCGTATGTCGATTCCCTCGATGAGGAATTCTCGCGAATATACGAAGAGTACACCCGTCGCGTGGGGTGGGTACAGTCAACAGCGGACGAGATCATCAAGCTGTGGGCGGAGCTAGGGACGCCTCAGGCACAGACCGATGCTGCTATTCTTGAGTTTGCGAGAGATGCGCCTGAGCAGCTGGGTTTGCATCAGGATGACTTGGACCGCTTGCGTGCCAGGAAGGACAGGCTGGTTGAGGAGAAGGCGCAAAGGGAGAGGCGCCTGAGGGATCTTCGTAACAACATCGAGGCCCTTTGGGATCGCTTGGGGGTTGAGGAAGCCGATCGCAAGGCTTTCTTTGCCGGCAATCGCGGTTGCGGCATTAGGTCCATCAACGAGTACGAGGACGAGCTTGCCAGACTCAACGAGCTGAAGCGCAAGAATATGCACCTGTTTGTCGAGGATGCCCGCGACAGACTCCAACAGCTCTGGGACAGCCTGTACTTTTCCGAAGAGGAAATGCTGGACTTCACGCCTGCTTTCTCAGGTAATTGTCTCCGACCCATTCCCCTCGCAAGTAGCTGACATTCCGCAGACGTCTATAGCGATGCTCTTCTCTCAGCTCACGAAGCTGAGATCGACCGACTCGAGGCTTTGAAGGAACAGCGTGCCCCCATACTTGCCTTGCTGGACAAGCACAAGTCTCTCCTGAACGACCGGAACGAGCTCACCGCATCCGCGCAAGATGCATCCCGACTCATGGGTCGCGGCCAAAAGGGTGAGCGACGGGACCCTGGAAAGCTTTTGAGGGAGGAGAAGATGAGAAAGAGGATCGCAAAAGAACTTCCCAAGCTCGAGGCTGAACTCAGAAAAGCTCTTGAGGCTTACGAGGACGAGTACGGTAGGCCTTTCATGGTCCAAGGTGAGAGGTACCTCGACGAGCTTGATAATTCAGCTTCTGCAAGAGCCCTGCCGCCTCGTTCGAAGACCCCGTCCGCGGGAGCAACTACTCAAAGACCTACTTTGCACAAACAGAGCAAGTCGGCGTCGTCGTTGAATCGCGAGGGATCGATAACCCGTTCGAACAGCGTTCGTGGCGGATCACAGGCGCCTCCTTCCCGGACTAAAACGCCGGTTACGACGAACTTTAACCAAAGCACTGCCAGCTTCAGAAGCAACGCCGATTACAGCTTTGGTAGTATCTCCAGGGGACACAACCCGCTATCCGCATCAGTGTCGTCCAGCGGTAGCGTCAGGGGTGGAAGCCCCACCAAGATTCCAGGTCGCGCTCCGCTGCGAAACATGCTGGAGCGCAATAACTCTGTGAGCAGCGACCGCCATTACCAACCTGGAAGGGACGACTTGACTATTCGAGGCAACTCTACAATACGCGGTAACATGGCACCCCCGCGTGCTCCGCCGCCCAAGATGAAAGATCTCTTCACGCCTCCGCCTGAAAACACCAGCTTTGACCGCGAGACTTCATCGGACCGCGGCAGCATCGTCCGCTCCCTTGCTCCAGAGGACCCCTACGATGACCGCTCGTTCATGTCTTTTACGCGACCTGAGTCGTCTGGCCGTGGCAGCTACCCGCCGATGGCGCCCCCTCATGGTCGGTCGGACAGTCGCCAGACATCGACTACTTCATCGACTGTGCAAACTGCTCACTCCGGGTCTGAGAATTGGGAGACCTACAGCGACGTATCAGAGCCCGAGCCGGACGCCAGCGAAGCGTACTATGCCAAGCTGCGTGCTAATCACATGCAGCGCTATACCCCGGAGCTGAATAGCACGCACCGCAGATCGAGACCGGCGATGGGAAGCATCCGTGGGGTTGGTGCGACTCAGCGGATGATCGAACGCGAGGATGACCGCTTGATGAGTGCTGAGGGCAGTGAAGCCGGCTGGACGGACGACAACGAGACCTACTGAACTGCAACAGCTTGCGGATGATGCGATCTTGATCACCGCTTTGTTGACATAGACCGAAGATTTCCGGCTCACCTCCATGCTCTAGCCCATTTCTCATCTTGATTCTTTTTTCTCCTGCTTATATGAATACCCTCTACAGGCTACACACCGTCTGCAGCAGCGAGGATCAATTGCCTTGGGGTACACACAATACCAGCTCGGACTCCTCTTGGCGGGACCAAGGTGTGTTCGTCTACACAATGCTAGGACTTGGTTCAACTTTGCTGTAGACGGGGTGTAGTTGGCCGCCCACATGCTGTCTGGACAGCAGGGTTCCTTTCTGTTCTCTTCTCTACTTCGGTCTGTATACCACGAGCAATGGGTGAAAACGACTTCCAAATTCTTCCTTTTTCTATTCTAAACTTGATGCGTCCTCTAGTTTTGTTTCCTTTGTCTGAATCCATTCCATTGACGATAGCCCAGGAGACGGGTGATAGTCTCCATAGTTGGGACTTGAAACGAATGAGCAAAGGCGCAAGAGGGTGGCTGCGACAACACAGCCAGGCAATGCATGAATGATGACTGTTCTCATTTTCTCTTCACGGCCATTCATGTCGGAGATGGGGGAAGGGGAAAGTAGTGAATCCTGGCGGCATCCTCATTAGCCTTTTCTCTTCCTTGTATGTTGAAATGAATTTGTATTTATCTCCTTTGTCTTTGTGTCCTGATCTCTTCTAGACGTCGAAGCCCAAAGTTCCTTTATTCTTGTGTGTGGTGTGCATGTGATCTTTCCACTTGTCCTGTCCAATTTCTAATCAATATGTCCTGCTCTACATGAAGCTCGATGCAACATGAGTAAAACTATCTAAGTAACGTAAGGGAGTGACCCAAGTGAGCATACGAGCCTCGGGATTGCGCCTAGCACATGAGACGGCTCGGATAAATTTAGATATCGTATTTTTCTTTCGGCTCGGATGACATTGAACGCATAGTACCAGCAAACTCCCGCTTCATGAAAAACCAATCTACAAGGTGGTGGCCACGTGTAGCCTTTGGTAGGTGGAGGCTGCACTGCTTACTCATGGTATTTGGTGCTCTGACCATTGAGTCTCCCTCACAATGGTTGACTGTCCACGCATGAGGAAGGTAGCGCCCTTGGCGGGGCTTGGAGGGCTTAGGCAGGGTCCTCTCTAATATGCTGTGGCCCACCCATCTGGAGCAGAGACCACCGCACGCATATGCAGGGCAGCCGGATGTTCCACTTTTCTCTTTTTTTTTTCTTTTCCCCAGGACGAAAAGAGTAGGTAGCAACTGGGGCAGTGAGATGCGCTTTCCGGAGCTTGGTATACATCGGAGAGCAGATTGAAGCGGCGGGTCATTGGCGGTGTGGACTGGATGCCGTTGGTTCGTGTTTGCAGTTTCGTTGAAATTGAAGCTGGCTGGGCGCGGGATACGTAAAGTGGGAGAGACGGCCGTCGGCCTGGGTACGTTTTTGCATTTTGTGATGAGCGCCGTGGGGCTGAGAAGCTTGGGGCACCGATGTAAGAGGATCTGCAGCGAGGCGCCAAGGAGGATCGGTTGTCATTCATCAGTGTTGGACGCGCTGCCTATTTCATGTCTTGGGCTGTGCACGTACGCCACTGTCGCGCGAAGGACACGCGACGGCACATGTGATCCCACGTGAGGCTGGCATGAGAGAGAGATCACGAGCTGTCGAATGCAGATGATCAGCCCTGGCGTGCCGTGGCCTTCGCGGAGTCTTTTCGTAACTCTTACGGCAGTCCCCAGCGACAGCCTAGCTCAGCGCGCCTACATTGCAAGTCATTATTACAGTAGGTGCAGTAGCTGCCCAGCATTGAGCGCCATTGGTAGCGGAACTCCGGTTAGAGGCGCCCGGTGCATTATGCTCGCTTCACGCCGAATCGACCCGTGGATGCGACTGAACCACTACCCCATCTTTGAAGGACAGACTGTGGACTGCTACCACCGCCAGCAGGGCACGCTCATCAACATGATAAGGGCATGGTGTGCGCCTCGGCACAGAAACTCGTTGGGTATGAATGCATCCCCGCTGCGATACCTGCGGCAACGTCCATTCGCCAGTCCCCCAGCCCTGAAGCCTCCAGTCGCATCGTACTCGTCGGCGGATCGGCGCGCGCTAGCAGCGTCATGAGCTACATGAGCTACTTGGAGCGTGGAGGTCCGGCAGCAGGTTATCATCAAGCAAGCTAATGGAATCAAGATAAGCCAGACAGTCACTTCTGCGGGCTGCCGTCATCCCGCGCCCAGGCGGGCCAGAGATGCAGCTGGAGGCAGCCAAATCAACAGCCGCGTGCGGCGGTAAATGCATGACGAAGACGACTCGCGTGTCAGGCAAGCAGCGGCAGGCTGCTGTACAGCTACTAACAGCTAGCCACGCAAGCAGCGAGCAGCCGTGGGAGACGGAGCGGCCCCACCGCAGCGCAACAAGTGGCCGCTTCTACCACCTGTTCGCATTGAGCGCGCAGCAGCGCGTAGCAGTGCGTAGCAGCGCGTAGCAGCGCGTGATGGGCGGGTGGAGGCACGCTTATCTGGCATCGAAAGCGGTGGGCGACGGGGGCCTGTGTTGATGAGCAGGCTGTGAGGCGGCCTCCAACCCCGGATCTGCACACACGACTGCTGGTTGCAGCATAGCGCAATGTCTGTGTCCGTTGGAGCTCCGGCAGGTGACGCGCAGGAGTGTGGGCGCGCTCAGCGGCTTTTGCGGCGCTGGACGGCGGCGCTGCTTGGCTCCTGGGGCGGGCAAGGGGGGTGCGATTGCGCTGCAGGCGATTCCCGAAGAGAGGAGCGTGGAAAGCTTGGGGGTGGTTAACCTCGCGCCGGGTGTTGTGGGGTGCATCAGAGATAAGGACGGCTGCTCTGACAGGCCTGCGTGGGCGCGGCGCATCACGAGACGGACCATAGGTACGTCAGGAATGCGACAGCGAGCCACCGAGCTTGGCAGGCACCGACGGAGCCCTGGAGCGCGGCCGTCAGCGCGCCGGCGTCGCAGCAGCAAGGCGGGCAGCCGCGCGAGGCGGCCGACCGCGCAGCGAGACTCGGCCGGCGGCGGCTGCAGACCCTGGGCTGGTTGGGTGTGCTCGCCGGGGCGAAGGCCGTGGCTGGAGCTTCTTGCGCGCAGGGCTGGGGCGGGCTCCAGCTCGCGTGCGTCCAACGGCAGCTGTGCTAGCCGACGTGGGTTACGTGGGTTACCAGTCGCGCGGCCTCCGTAGCGATCGCCCTCAGGGACCCTGGCCGCCGCTGCGCGCGCGGCAGCAAAGGGAAGGCGTGGCTCTGTACGTAGTGGTAATGCGGCCGATACGGCTGGCTGGGTCCCTTGCAGCCTGCGGTTGGCCAGCCGCCAGCGCGCCCTCGCTCCAGCTGCTCGCCACCAGCCGCGCGCAGGCTGTCAGCAGCCCTTATCGCGACTTCCCCGTAATCACTCCCGCGCATGCGCGCTGCCCGCGTGCTAAAGCTGTCGTCTGGCAGTGCTGCAGGAGCACGCTGCGAGGCCCGAGTGTCCTTCGTTCATCTCCCCAAAACTCCCCGTCAGCCTCATGGTTGCTGTCTCCTCACACGCCCTGTTTCCATTACGAGACTGCTCGGCAAGCAGCAGTAGCTTCGGAGCCTAGCCCGGCCCAACGTCACCACCACCTTCTCCACCGCGCGCCGCCCGAGCCAGCCAGCCCGAGCATATTACCACCGTTCGCAGTCATGATGGTTCCACGCTCCTACCGATACTCCTCCCACCACCCTCCCCCCGACTGCAGCATGGGTTCCGTCAGGATGCCGCGATCCCGTTCTCCCGCCCAGTCCGCCCCCCGGAAACAGTCGCCACGCCCTGCTGCTCCCCAGCAGCTCTCTACGAAGCCCGCCCATTCGAAACCCATGGTCATCCCGGTCCGCAGCCAGCCCCAGCAAGCTCCGCAGCCCGCCCGCAGCAGAGGACCCCACGGCTCTCGCAAGCACCGCTCGTCTTCCGAGCACCATCCCAACGCCGTCCCGCCTGCCGTTGCAGCACTGCTCGCTGTGACGTCGATTCCCAGACCGCGCCGCGCCTCTTCGCCGCGCCGTCGCCTGCAGTATGCCGACCGCCGCATCTCCATCGACGAGCTCATCGAGGAATGGAGAGCCGAGGACAAGGAGATCTCACCCGGCAGCTATGGATCGCCGTTGGACATTTTGTTGGAGCGTGTCGAGGATTGCGATACTGACGACAGCTTGAGCTTTGACGGAAGCCAGAAGGAACGCGGCTTCGCCTCTCCTCGCTCCATCTCGAGCGAGTCCATCCCATCTGTGCCCGACCTGGACGAGGATCGGTCCATCCTCTCCTGGAGCAGTCCTTCCACCCCGAGGTCGCCATCATTGGCAAGACGGGCAGGCGAGCGGAGGGAGAAGAGGGTCGTGTCGTCACCGCCGAAAGAGGAAGCTATCCTTGACCACCCCCTACTGCATTATGGCTTCGTCGAGAATGAAGACGAGACACCGGAACCCCCGGCCCCTGAGGTTAAGATTGAACGTCAAGCGCCCGCATCAAGGCTGAAGTCAGCTTTCACTTCGAACCTCACCGCATCTATCCAGGCACTGAAATCGGCGGCGAAGTCTTTTTCCAACTTCACAGCTCCGAGCGTTCCGCCCGACGATCTCCTTACTCGCTCTCTGCTGTCTCCCCGGTTTGCGAGTGAGATGCGCCCCAAAAACTTCCAGGGTACCCCCGATCCGGCTCTTCGCCGCTATCTTAACCCCAGCACTTCGAACAGGACGCTTTCGCCGACCGAACTCTCGCAGCAGCTCCACGAGGCCCTCTTGCACGGCCAACCCGTGGATGACCCCAGCGACGGGCCCATGATTCAGATGCAAACATACGAGCGCCGCTCACGCAGCCAATCTCGCGGCAAGCGCCGTACCACAGACCCCGCGTCAGAGGCCGGCCGTGCCTTGAGCCCGCAGCCAGCCGTGCGCCAGAGAGAACCCCGCGAAAACAGCGACTTCCTACGTGTCATTGTGCTGGAGATGAACATGCGCCGCGAAGGCAAGCTTGACGCGCGTGCTTTGGGCAAGGCCAGGATCTGGCTTCCGCCTCGCAAGACCGGCGCGCGTAGCGAAGAGGAGGACGCAGTCAACGGCGTTCCGGTCCGATGGGTGGGTGTGCTGGCAGATGCGCGTTGAGCGGCTCTCCGGAATCTCCAACGAACAGTCACACTTGCATAAGGAGGCGCAGGGGATGCGGCTGGGAAGGGTCGACGTGCGACGTTGACGGTGCACCAAATCCCCGTCCCGGCACTACGTTGGATCTGCATGCGCCGCAGGAGACTCAAAGGAGCTTCCCAAAAGCGCACTCTCACCGAAGCCCCATACCTCACCGGCTCCCACCAATTTCTGCAGCCTAAGCCCTTGCTGCAGCTAGGTACCGGCCGAACCGGACCGCATCGAGTGCAATTCCATTCCAGCATCCCGAAAGTCGACTATCACTATGGAATTTCTCTCGCCGCCCCCTGCCGGAAATAAGATGGGATTTCGCGTCGACCCGGGCGGCCCCGCCAAGCGAAAAAGCAATAGATGCGAGACCCTGCGTCGAAATCGTTCTCAGGGACCACATCCATCCTTGTGCACGACACATGGCCTCCGATCACATGAGCGTCGCGCTGCAGAGCGCTACAAACAATTTTTTTCCTGCACACCGCTTCGGGCCTTCAACGCTGGGCGCTGCGATCTCCCTTCAAGCCCGGTTCCACCACCTTCGGGCCGTGCGGCCTTACCGTGATTTCGGGAGGGAAAGGCTCTTGCCGGCTGAACGTCTGCAAACAACCCACGCACCACCACCTTTGGTGGACAAAGGGTGCTAGCTGCATTAGGCAACTGAGTGGAACAGACTGGAACGAGCAGAAAAGAGCATGGGCGCGGGTTGAGCGGGGCGTGGCTTGCGTGGGCGCAGACAAGAGCACGGGTTACATCGGGTGCTCCAGAAAAATTCGTTTCGTTTCCGCCATGTGGGGGCCGCAGTGCAGCGCGGCGCGAGAGTGGAAAAATCGAAATTGGCTTAATTCTTTGCTGCCCGAAGCTCGAGCGAAGAGCCTGTCGCTGGACCTTCCACTTCTCTGCTGGCTTCGTTAGCTCACCGACTTGACCTGCCTCTTGCTTGCTGGCGTCCTTGTCCGCCTCTTCGCAACCTGACGCCGCACACCTCGGCCGCCTGACTATCGTCTCACCGAGACGGAAAATTGTTCGTCTACCGGGCCGAGCTCGCGATTGTTTCCGTCGCAATCACCACTCTCCTATGTACTCGTCTCGGCCTCCAACGCTTGCGGACCGCGTGCTGGCCGGGCCTCGCCTGCCCTGGTACCTCAGGATATGCTGCGCTCATCATTCATGACCTTATGACCAATACCTGGCTTGCTACCATCCTTCGTCAGGCAACCACTCGGCTCGGTACCCCAGCTGCCGACGACGACGACTCATCTGTTTGCTGGTCAATATAGCCGGCTTTCTTTACCTCGATCGCCACATCTCCACCCTCGTCATTGCTTCACCGTCGTCATCATCGTCATCATTATTAGCGAGCATCACAGAGCATCATGATTGGCATGCGCATTTTCCACCCTGATCGTTCTTTGTCAAATATTATTCTTTCCGACTTTCCGGATTATACATAGGTCCGACCAGGCAAGCAAGCAGGTGGGACCTCGCCCGCGATATGGGTGTCTATTGTCAACGGCCTACACGCATTGTTTCACTCGTTTGGTGTGCATATTTCTTAGCATTTTGTTATATCCCACGGGCTTATCGGCGTTTTGCGGTGCATGGTATGGTGGGATACATAGGCATCAGGTTTCGCGGCGACGGGTCCTTGGGTTCAGCATGTGTGTGTTCTTACAAGTCCCCCCTCGAGAAGTTGGGGCGGACAGGCGCGAAAGATACCTTAGATTAGTTGTGCGACTTGATTTACGCGTGTATGAGAGAAGGCGGAAGAATAAACTCTTGACATGACCTATGAGCTCTCAGTCCCAGATTCGTTTTCGTGAATAGCTATTTCATGGGAGCTTCCCATTGGTGATCAGCGGTGCCCGGCTGGTCGAACGTGGTTTGCGAACGTCATCCAGACCGAGCCCTCTTGAACGCTTGCCTCATCCACTTGATGTGCGGACTGAGAAGGGTGCTGCTCCCTAGGTAGTTACTTGACTGACTTGCTGCCGATGTCCTTGTTGTTCGGGCAAAGGCTTAGTTACAACGTGCACGCACCCCGTCATGAGCTCGAGATCGTCGGTGGGGGGGATGTACATTGCTGAACTGGCCACGACGCAATATTGCCACCTCAATTCCAAGTCGGCGAGCGGCCGGTCAGTAGTACAGGTCTCTGGGAGGGGCGCCAGCGCACGAAGACGTGCTAGAAACAATGGAGATCATGAAACACATGGAGATCATCAGCAGATTCCGTTATCGGTGTTTCCGCTGCTTATCGGAACTGATAGTCCTACCTATCGTGAAGTGGAGAGGAGAGGGGGGCTCTGCAGAACAGCGGGGTTTGATTTTGTGAGATCGCCTGGGTAGAGATAAAGAGTACGGGGCTTCGAGACTCCTTTTCGCCAAATCCTAGCGGAAGCGGTGACGATGGCTAACTGGAGGCTGGGGG